CAATGGTGTAGTCGGAGATGGAGATCGCGGTGGTGGGATAGGAGAACGTGGCCTCGGCCAATTCAAACACGATGTGGATGTTCATGGGCTCGAATGGGTCGTTGATCACCTCGCCCACGCCCACATTGCTCGTGCAGTACATCGTGGATTGCTTCCCATCTCCCATCGTCCACAGCGCCACGTCCCTCGCCCCATCGCCCGCCACGCAGCGCAGCGCAGCGCAGCGCAGCGCAGCGCAGCGCAGCATCGGCAGGATGGGCTGGCAGGAGCCCGTCCCCTATCGATCGATCGATCGATTCCCACTGCTGATAGGCGTTGCACCCATCCGTGATCATGCCCCACTAGTCCACATCGCACTTCGTATCCAACACTTGCCCCAAGTGCCCTTCCGGCTACCCCGCCGCTTCGTCCGCGGGGCACACCACCGCCACGCACCTCACCTCTCTTCCATTCCACCACTTCCCACACGCCCGCACCACGCACACCTCCACCTTCCCATGCTCCACAGACCCACAAATGCAGAACTGCACCGTCTTGGAACTCGCCTGCTCCCACTGGCCATTCCAGTTCACTCGGCTCGCATCAATCAGAGGCGAGGACCGTGTCCACAGCAGTTCGCATACTCCGCCTTCTTGTCCCATTCTCCCAAGTTCCACACACGCTCCGCTTCTACAAACCTACAGCTCTTGCTCCCATAGTTTGCCCTTTCACTCATCGCAAATCCGTTCTCTCTACCACACTCTACCACCTCACAATATGAAAATGAAAATACGAGAAACAGAACAGATATCCTAGGCAAGAACGTCGTGCCTGTACCAGATACCTCCCACGTTGCAAGTTATCTCCATGTATCCGCGGTCCCACATGACATGAATGGGTTCGCCACGTTGCACAGTTTGAAGTACAGAAATTCCTCACTCGGAACACACTCCACACAGCAAAAATGGAACCAGGGTCCACCGCCATTATGGTATTGAATGCGTTCACGATGCATATCTCACACACACAGTTTAGTCAAAGTAACGATAGCACAGACTACACTAGCTTCTTCAAACACACCAACTTGACGACAGAATCCATCCCAGCTACAATACTTACACTCCCACAACACAACACACAAAAACACATAGAAGTCCGAAAACAAAACAAAACAAAACAAAACAAAAGACAGGACATACAAGTCCAATTCCAAATTTTGAATACATTCAAACCCAGTAAGACGAAGCTAATAGCTTTTATTGTAAAACAAATGATTTCAAAAATACACAGGAATTGTGCAATTGTGAAAATAGTGTTGAAATTGGGTATGAGTGGAAGAATAGATTTCGAATAGGGAGGGAGTTGTTTTTACTGTGAAGTGGAAGGAGATGAGTGGAAATGGAATATTGTGGAATGAATAGATCGAAGAGTGTTGTTTCCAGTGGAAGCGTTTTGTTTTTCGTTCTATTCATTTGGAATTTTATCTAGATGGGATAGAAAGAAATAGGGTATGTAGAAGATGATGATAGGAATGAAAATGGAAAAGCTAGCGATAAGCAGTTTTTGGGTTATCATTTATAGTAATAATATGTGATATGTGTATAGTAGAATCGAATAGTAGAGTTTGTGAGAAAGGTGGGTGTGTCGTTGAAGAACTGAGCAAAATAAGGTAGAATACATAATATATTTTATACGAACAAATAGAGATATATTCATATTCCACTGTTTCTAGGTTTTTCGATAGTTGGTGTGCAGTTTTTGTCGTTTTGATGCACTCTGAACCTATCAGAGTTTGTTATATTGCTAGAGAATACTATTCCTTATTCTAACCCATATAGTATCCCCCACCTGTCAAATAATGCAGAATATCTCCTATTTAAAGGAAGGATCGAATTGTACACCACTTCAATAGGGATACAAAGTGATTCACAATGTTGTTCTATTACGAGCATGAATAACAATAGTATACATAATACTTGCTGTTTGAGTTGGTTGATGAAAGTGAAATGCTTTGGTTCCCAACTCATTAGGATGAATAGAATTACTCACTAATAGTGATATCAGTATTGTTGATGATAAAGCTGAAATCCATAAGAATGGACTCTATGGGAATGAGTAGTTGTCCAATATCAAGCTGTGAGACATATCTGGCTGATTTGTTGGAGGCAACAATCAAACTATTACTTTTCAGATATATAGATATATGTATATAGAAGATAGACATTGATATCTATCTATCTACTTGAATACCTTACTGAAGTTGTGCTTACAAGATATCGTGAATGAGATGTACACATTCGAATTCAAGGAGATCGGGCGGTCATTCGCGTCTGTCAGTACCCAATCAATGGAATCCAGGTTCGATTGTTCAATCACATCGATCGATAGGTTGTCCCAGGTGGTCATGTTGTTCAGTCCCATCGATACATGAATCAGGTTATCGATCAGCGGACTCTTGAGACCGAATGTTTGAGCATTGATACTACTGTACACTCGGATCACACTCATGCCATTCGTGATGTCGTAGGGTTCCTCTGGGTATTGACACCTCGTGTGGGGATGTCTCCTCATCGATTAATATCACTTGATCGGATGGTACGTTGTGCAACACGAAGTCGGTATAGAGTGACACAAATGAGATGTATCACTGATCGAATGACAGAGAATTGTCCAGCTTCACTTCCTTCTTCGTAGTATTGCCGAACACTTCCATCATGGAGAACTAGTTCATCGGTAGAATTGAGGAAGGCACTTGATCATACACATCTTCGATCGTCAACTGGAGTTCGAATTCGCCGTTCAATCGCATGATATTACCATCCATATCGCGGAATAAAAACATCAATCCGGCTATCATCGGAATGCAGATGTTTTCCATGGTGCGGAGATAATTAACCTCGGGATCGTCAATGATCATTGTGGTGAGCAGGTTGTTGTTCTGGTTGGCAATCTTCAGATCGGAGGAATGCACGAGAGACGAGTACACTTGGATCACTTGACGATTTCGCATGATATCAATCACGTTCGATCCATAGAACGAAGCGGGTAGAATGACCATTTGTCCTTCCAAACCGAGGATTTCTCGAATGTCAGGAGCATTGGTGAGATCGATGGTATGTGGGTACTGGATATAAATACACCCATTACTCGAAGCCTTCGTAGATATCGAGAACATAGTATCGGTCATGGTGTTGAGGATGGCAATGATTTGACCGATCGTGTAGTATCCAGGAGGAATCGTTAGCTCCTCGTCATTCGTGTTCGTGACCACATTCGTAGAATCCACGTTGTTGAACATGACTTGATTGGGTGTGAACAGGACAGTCATAGAAGTGATGTAGGGATTCTGATACTTGTACGAGTTGATCCATTCGAACTTGCCTTGACTAGGTGAGCCTTAAATGAGCACGGAGTAGTGTATGGCTTACTCTCTTTACCATAGTAGTTGGTAATTGGCGTGGTTTTGCGCGAAAATTAGATCCCTGCCGACGTGTGGTGTCATGATTAGCCCGGATTCCATGGAAAAGAATGGCAGAAAAGCATATTAATACTGCCGACAAATGGTCTATAGTTTTATGGTAATTTTGGCGCGAAAAAGGCGGTCATGTTTTTTCGCGTAATACGCTCCAATTATTTACTACTTTATTATTACTATAGATGCTTGCCTCTCAAAGTAATAGAACCTATAGCATTCAAATAGTAGGCATAGAGATGAAACATGAACACTCTATTTTTTTACCAGTTATAAGCGTAGTGATTGTGACAGCAATAAGTTCATTTACTGAACTGCGACAGCCATTTTCTATTTTTATACTGTGTTTTCATGATCTTACAGAATACAGATATCATTTCTGATCATTGTGGAATAGACAAGGTGAATTACGACCATTTATACTATCTACACCACGATTTTATTAAACTTATACATACTCTAAAGATCGTAGTATCATTGCACCAAGTTATAATTTCCATTCTGTTTTTCTTTCATGATTGCTTTGTTCTGATTTGCTCAACCTTAAATTCAGTTGATGATTTGAATTCTTAAGAGTTCTATTCATAATAGATATTTTGGGAAAGCAAAAATGAAATCGTGAATTCAAAGCTATCAAAGAATCATTTCCATCAGAGTAAACAAAGATTGATTGCATCCGCTAATGATTTGCAGTTGAATTACCTTTTGATTACTACGAGACACTAAAGGTTTTGATCACTTTCAGTGGAGTTAGATCGTGTACTGATGATATCAGTAGTAATGCTATTTCACCATTATATCTCCTTATTGTTGTGTGGTATATTTGAGCAATAGTTCCTTATTCTATGAAGTAGATATTGGCAAGTATGGACTCATCATATATGACCAAATAAGTATTTGTCAATACATAATTAGTAACCAACAGTAAATATCTACACTGGACACTACTTAATGCACATTTCCACTGTAATAATACTACACTCATTTCAGCATATTTCAAGTCCAAACCTTCCATTTCATACCACGAATAGATAGCACATTCTAGCTATATGTCTAGTCTCTGTTCACATATCATCACCCATTATTGGAGTATTCACTATTTCGTTCACAATTCCACTTGATATCGCTCATTAGGGTAATTCAATGCATTCACTGTTTCTTTCATCAATAATACTTGTGAATTATAAGTTGCAGGGAGAATGACCTCAACTTCTTAAAAGAAATACTACACAAGAATGAAATGGTTTCAGTTGGATCTCATCACAACATTAAAAACAACAGAAAACGAACTATTCACTCCATTTTTCTTCAGCTACAAAGTATCCGATTCTGTATTGCTAATCTATTCTACTATTCATTCTATTTTCGGTTTTCAACATAGTGATTCAAAAACTATTCGATTGTCGTATATTCACAATCTTTGAGAAAAGAAGGGAGTTTCATTCATTTGTTCCCAACCTTTTCTTTGTTCAAAAATGAGCTATCTTTCTACATTAATATTCATTAATTATTTATTTATTTGTTTATCTATATTTACTCAAGTTAAGAAATGCCCGTCACGATTCGTCAAACTGCTCCCAACTTTTGTTTGAATGGAGCTCAAGGAACTGAAACCATTTCTAATATTTCGCTTGATAACTACAAGGGAAAGTGGGTAATTCTGTTGTTCTACCCCATGGATTGGACTTTCGTTTGTCCCACCGAAATATTCGCTTATAATGATGCTGCGGACAAGTTGGCTGCAGTGAACACTGTGGTGCTTGGAATTTCTGGAGATTCTCCTTATACTCATTTGAGTTGGTTGAAGGCATCCCGTTCTGAGGGTGGACTGGGTGGTCTTATCAATATTCCGTTGCTTTCGGATGTGACTCGTGAGACGATGAAGAACTATGGAGTATACAATGAAGATAAATCGGGTTTGGATTATGCTCAAGCTTTCCGGGGATTGTTCTTGATTGATCCGAATCAGAAAATCCGTCATATTTATATAAATGATAATGGAGTTGGTCGTAGTGTGGATGAAACGATCCGTGTGATCAAGGGACTTCAGTTCAGTGATGAACACGGAGAAGTCTGTCCTGCGAACTGGCACGAAGGTGATAAAACTTTCGTTCCTAACAATGCAGGAATCTCGAAGTTCTTGGTGAATTTGAAGAAGTAATTATGTATCTGTAGAATGTTTGCATTTCTATTTGTTTGAATACACAACACAAGTACTATTTGTTCTCTAATGCAGTTGATACAGAATCAGAAATGTAACTCAAAATATGTGAGTGAATGAATGATGATAAGAATGTGATATTTAAATAGGTAATTGAATAATAATAAAATGAGAACGGCCATATCTGATGGAAAGCGCCCTAACCCGTCCGATCTAGGAAGCTAAGTCATCACGAGTCGAGTTAGTACCAGTGTGGGTGACTCGCTGAGAAGTCTCGATGCTGTTCTTTTATTCCACTATTACATTCTATTCTACTCCTCTCCACTCACTCACTCATCCAGTATTTATGTTAAACAAACCCATCCTTTCTATTCTCTAACTTACTCATTATTAATCCATTTCATTATTTGTTGTCAATCATGTTATTCTAATGTACGAATTACACTGCTTTGATGTTATTTAACATTTTCCTTTGCATAAAATACAAAGTAAACAGTGATATAACCATGATTCCATTTTCGCTTTTTAGTATTTGAACTTCATAAATGAAGGCAATGAGCTTTAGTCATTATGATGATACTGTGGATTTATTACATTTTTCGCTTAAAATGTATCTTATCGACTGTTGATTTGTAATATCCTCAGCAGTTCATTCTATGATCACGGTCAAACTCTCTATGCTTATTTCCTTCATTCCCTGCAACCAAATGATTTATAAAAAATACAAAGAGAAAATAGATAAAACTGTCGGATTGTCGAGGAATCAAGCATCGCATTATCACATATTACACTTCTTCTGTTTTAACAATCTAACTTTATTTCTTAAAACATAATCGTAATCAATCACATTCCTGTACTATTCACACATATATTCTTTCTCTTATATTATTAGTCATCTGCGTTCTGTCCCTATTGATTGTAAATCATTAAAGCAAGCTATTATTTCAAATTCATTTTGACCATTTCAAAAAGCATCATGCCAATTCAATGAGTTGTACTTGGGTAGTTGCTTTTTGTTGAACAAGTCACAAACAGAAGGTAGTTAAGTGAAAGAATGCTGAATATGATCATTTGTCTTGTACTCAGCACATCATTTTTTTGAGTTGTTATGGATGATGTTAAGCGATGTGTTTTTGCTATCAACTTTATGTACATTTGGTTGATAGTACATCACTCTTGAGAAAAAATAATTGTATTGTAATAAATGCATTTATGTTCTTCTATTGACCTGCTGTATTCCAAGGAATCTACCGAAAAAGTTATGTAGTTAGATATGTTGCAATTGTATAATGTGTCTGAGTACTGATTTTATGCTTTATTTATCCCTAAAAGCAAAATAACAGATGCTGCCATGTGTTGACCTTTACTGGTGTTATACACTTATCATCGAATCGACAGTTGAAAAAGTGAACATTATTCTAAATGATCTATTCAATATTATCTCTGTAGAAATATACACATATTTTGTTTCTAATATCCCACCGTTCAATGATTTGTGATTATTCATGTATCAACGTGCTCAAGCTGTTCTTGTATTAATAGACGACTAATTACCCTATTGTGTGTCTGTACTATCGATTGATGAGATATGTGCTGGGAAAGGAATACCAAAAAAGCTAATACTGTATAGATTGGCCATACAATAAGGGTTATATATATATATATCAGCTATTGATATACATCTTACAGCCAGTTTATCATCCTCAGTATTGTCTTCAGAAACAACCAAAATGTTCATCAGTCCCTTCTTCATAAGTAGCTCATCATTCTCTTCTATATAGGTCTATGATCTAGCATGTTTTCATTCCTTGCTCACCAAAATAAACCATCATGGAACTATACTGCTTTTTTCGATTCACCATTCTAGACTCCTGAAATAATAGGTGCCTTTGGAAACATCACGCATAGAACACATACTTCGCCCTTCCCCTCCACTGCATTCCCAACGCTACCGAGCTTGAATAAAGAAACGAACCTTCATAATCTCTTTCATCATTCACCAAAAACGCGATCTCTAATATCGATAATTAATCACTTGGGCTATGAAACGATGGTAACACTGCCGAAATAATTCTCATTGATCATCGAAAAGCAGTACCTCAAAGACAATACCATTTCCAGCTTCTTCATTATCCGATTGTGCCTGAATAACAGTCAATGCTTACTGGGATGAAGAATTTAATTGTATTCTGTTTGATGGGTTTAATGGCAACCAATGCACTTACTATCACATTGAAGAATGGAGTTGAACAGTGTATTTGGGAAGTGGGGAAAGCTGGAGATCAGCTATACGCTTCGTATGAAGTAACCAAGGGAGATGAGAAAAATATAATTGTTTCTGTACTTTTCTGAGAGTGTGCTAATGTTGCAGATTACTGATAAAAACAAAGCAAAAGTGTACCAGTCTGAGGGGAAGCCAAGCGATGATTTTAGTTACAACTTTGAAGGCGAGAATCGAATAACAATGTGCTTTTCCACTCGCCGTTCGGAGGAAACAAGTATTTCCTTCCGGTATCAAGTAGGAAATGAGCTCAAGCCGATCAACAAATCTCCTCGAACTGAATACGTGACTTCCAGTAGTCGTTATCATTCTCTTTACCTTGCAGATGATGTAAATAACCTGGCTGATAAACTGCAGTATGTCGCCACTGAGATTTACGCTATGCAGGACGAGCAGCGTTACACGCGTGAGAAACAGCATAACTATAAGCAAGGTATGATGAGGTGCTTTGTGGACGACATTTAGATCTGATAAAGCTGAAGAGAAAGGTGATAATCTCTTCTCTTTTCGAGGCTGTTGTGATGTTGTTGTGTGTGCTACTGCAGTTCTTCCAATACCGTAGTATGATTCGAGTGTGATTGTGAGGATTGTTTGTGACAATAAACTTGTATATGAAAATGTCAAATGAAAGACAGGTCTTCCATAGCTCAGTTGGTTAGAGCGTGCGGCTGTTAACCGCAAGGTCGACGGTTCAAGCCCGTCTGGGAGAGTTTCTTTTTGCTTTTTGCTTTTTTGTTTTATTCACACTTCACTCATATTTCCTCTGTTTACGATTCTTCAATAGAATGGAGGTGGAGGGAGATCCACCAAAGTCTGTCCTATCTCCTACGTTGGAATCTTTTGAAGCATTTATCGGCGCTTATGTGAAATACATCCCAGAAAAAATCCAAGTGGAAAAGAGAATCAGAGAAATACAGGAGTATAGCAAAAATAAGCGCGTGAGAAAGGATATTCCCAAATCACCTGAAAAGGTATTACTTTTCGAAATGAAATAACTCTGCTTAGACACACTGGGATTACATGTTGGCAGAAATGAAATGGCTGGCAAACGACTTTCTGGAAGAGCGAAAACGCTTTATAAAGAAGAGGAAAGAAGTGTGCAAAGAAGTACTTACCGTAGCTAAGCTAAAGAAGGAGGCAAAGGAGAGGAAGAGACAGGCACGCAAGTGTAAAGGCTATTTGATTTGTAGGAGATGGCAAAAGAACAGAGAGTAGTAGCGAAGCATATCAGTAAGCATATCACAATGTATTGGAACAAAATTGACAAGATTGTCGTCTACAAGCACAAGGGGTTTGCAATCTGAGCGTTTCTCACATCCAGTCAACTCTACGAACGGCGCAGCGAGCTGATGGATCGTCATCTGCAGTTTATGTTGAAGCAGACGGAAGATTACACAGAACGCCTTTCCAGTCGCATCATTGATGGTACAGACCCGAACTGTATAACCTGTCCGCCCATTTTATTCTAGCCAAATCGAAAATCCGCCCTCCCTACCTGCTGAATCCCAAATACAAGCTTCGTCCCTATCAAGAAAAAGGTCTGGAATGGCTCGTTTCGCTCTATGAGCAGGGACTAAGCGGGATCTTAGCCGACGAAATGGGACTTGGGAAGACCCTGCAGACCATCTCTCTCTTAGCCTATCTAGCCGCAGTAAAGGGCATCTGGGGTCCTCATCTGATCGTTGTGCCGACGAGCACTATGTTGAATTGGGAGTGCGAGTTCAAGCGATTCTGTCCCGCCTTGAAGGTCTTGACGTACTACGGAACCGCCAAAGAGCGCCAAGTAATCGCGAACCGATTGTTCTTTTGTAGGAAAAGCGAAAAGGCTGGTCGCAAGGCGGCGGGTTTCAGGTGTGCATCACCTCGTATCAGCTCGCTGTGCGCGACGTGTCGGTGTTTCGTCGCAAGAAGTGGGTGTACATGGTGTTGGACGAGGCGCACAACATCAAGAATTTCCAGTCCGAACGCTGGCAAATCCTCCTTCATTTCAACACAAAGCGGCGGCTTCTGCTCACCGGAACGCCTCTGCAGAACAGTCTGATGGAGCTGTGGTCGCTGATGCATTTCCTGATGCCCGCGCTCTTCCGAAGCCGCGGGGAATTCGCGTTCTGGTTCAGCAACCCAATGAATCAGATGGTGGAAGGCGAGCGGAGCGTAAACGCGCGGCTGGTGCACCGTCTGCACGAGGTGTTGCGTCCGTTTATTCTCCGCCGACTGAAGAGCGAAGTGGAGAAGGAAGTGCGGCGCAGCGCGAGGCTTGAAGTCTAGATGCCCAAGAAATACTTCCACATCGTGACCTGTCCGCTGAGCAAGCGCCAGCGGTTCCTCTACGAGGACTACATCGGGCGGCGCAACACGCGCGAGCAGCTGGCTAGCGGGTCGTTTCTCTCGATGATGGGCGTGCTGATGCAGCTCCGAAAGGTCTGCAATCATCCCGACCTCTTCGAGACCCGCCCCATCCGCACGCCTTTCATTTGTGAGTGTATTGAGTTCCCAATTCCCCGGCTTGTGGAGCGAATGGCGCGAACCGAGCGCGGCGTGGTGTTTTCGCACACGCTGAATCGATGTATGTGGGAGCAGGACGCTCTGGAGAGATCCTCGTTGCAGCAGAACGCTCTGGAGAGATCCTCGTTGCAGCAGGACGCGCTGACCGACGCCGCGTTGGACGCTGCGGACTGGCGACGCTCGCTGCGGATATTCCCTTCGTTCTGCCGCCGCGTTGCGCTGGTGAACGATTTCCGGCTGGTGGATCGCGAGACGGACAGCATGGGCGCTGCGCTGCTTCGCCGATCGCTCCAGCCGAATTCGAATGCGTTCCTCGACGAGATCGTGGAGCTCCAGGCCACGTTCAATCCCAATTCTGCGCTCATCCAGGAAGTCCACGCCGCCGCTTTTAGCTCCACCTTCTTCCCCGCTCCCTCCAGTCCCCTTTCCCTCGTCCCTCCATTCTAGAAGCCTGGTCCGCTTCCACGGTTTCCACGTTCCGCGGGATCCAGCAGCAGACCGTCGAGGAGACGCTGATTCGGCAGCGAATCCGCGCCGTTCGGCTCGCCGAACACAACCAGCGCGCGCTGCAGCGCGTTCCGCTGTGGGGGTCCGATCTTCGCGCGTTGGTTTCCGTCTATCGACGCCCCACCGCCGACGTGCGGGCGAATTCCCGCGGGTGGGAGGACTTCACGCGCGCGCTGAGCGCCCTGGTTCCCGATTTCCCCGCGGTGTGCGAGAGGGAAAAGGCGAACGTGGAGAACTACACGGTTCTGGTGGCGCGAACGCGTCCCATGCATCCAATCCGCTCGACGCTCGGCGATCTGGAGGCGAATTTCCGCGGGTGGGACGCAGAAAGTCGCGCGGCGGCGGTTTCCTTCCGTCGAGACTACGGCAAACTGTACGGTTCCCGCGGGGATGCGACGTAGACCGGCGATCCACGCGTGGGAAATGCTGCACAGTGTGCAATTCCCCGAGAAGCGGCTGCTGCAGTACGACTGCGGGAAGCTGGAGGTGCTGAGCGCCATGCTTCCGCGTCTGCGGCAGGAAGGCCATCGCTGCCTGCTGTTTACGCAGATGTCGCGCATGCTGGACATCTTCGAGACGTTTCTGAACATGCACCACTTCACGTACCTGCGGATGGACGGGTCCACGCCGCTGCCGCAGCGCCAGAAGATGATGGAGAAGTTCAACAACGACAACCAAGTGTTCGTGTTCATCCTCAGCACGCGCTCGGGCGGGCTGGGAATCAATCTGGTGGGCGCCGACACGGTGATTTTCTACGACTCGGACTGGAACCCGGCGATGGACGCGCAGGCGCAGGACCGCGCGCACCGCATCGGGCAGACGCGCGACGTGCACATCTACCGCCTGGTGAGCGAGAGCACCGTGGAGGAGAACATCCTCAAGAAGGCCAATCAGAAGCGGCATCTCTCCCAGCTCTCCCTCGAGGAGGGTCGCTTCACCACGCAGTCCTTCATCCAGGAGATGACCGTCCGCGACATTCTCGGCGCGCAGCCCGCGGAGAACCAGGCAGGTCGGCGAGGGGCGCAGCGATGAGGAATAGAGGTCCTGAACGGCGCGTCGTTTCGCGGGCTGTCCGACGCGGAAGTGGCCAAGGCGCTGAGCGCCGTCGAGGATTCCAACGACGCGCTCGCGGCGCAGCGCGCGACCGCCGAAGCCTCCGCGCTGGAGACCGAGCTGGAGCGGATCGACGAGCCCGAAGGAGGGCAGGGAGCCGGTTCGGGAGCCGGTTCGGGAGCCGGTTCGGGAGCCGGTTCGGGAGCCGGTCTGGGTCCTGGAGATGCATCGAACGCGGAGAAACAAGCGGCGGAGTTCGAGAAATCGATCCAGAAGGCGGACCAAGAGGCGAAAACGGAGCTGAAAGCGTGGGCAGGAAAGAACTCGGAGCATCTGATCGCGCTGGAGAAGGCGCTGCCGGCGATCCAGAGACGGTCGATTCGGTTCAAGGAGGTGTGCGAACCCATCCCGGAGGTTACGCCGGAGGCGCTGCGAGCCGAGTTGGAGGGATTGGAGGAGGAAGAGAAGGAATGGGAGGAAGAGCAGGTGGAAGCGATGAAGGAAGCGGAGGAAGAGATCAAACAGAAGGACCAGGATCCGACGCCGCTGGAAGCGACCGGGGTGGGGACGATTGCGGAGATGGCGAAGGTGTATGCGGGTTATCGGAAGGATATTAAGGTGAAAATCGAGAGAGCGATGCGGACCGGTAAAATTGTAATTTAAAAGGGTGTTTGATGAAGAAATCTTTTGTTCTCTTTGGACGGTTTTAAAAACCATTTTCTCTTTTTAGAAATTCGAAAAATGAGCACTGTTATTACGATGGATGAAGCGATCAAGAAACTGGCGGATATGTTTCCGACATTCGACGTGGAAGTATTGCGGATGGTCTTGACGGAAAATAGTATCCCTTTGTGTGGGAGATTGTAATTGTTGTAGGGGGCAGCATGGAAAAGACGATTGCTTCGTTACTGATAATGTCAGGAGATACCAACCCTGAATTAGTAAGCACGTAGGGTAGAGTGTGGAATTCAAATGATTAGCGTCAAAAAGGATACGTCTCTGGATATTAGCGAGGAGACGGAGCAAGAAGTGAGAGCGTTGGAAAGAAAATATGGTTTGAATTTGCACCGAACGTGGTGCACGCGTTTGCCTAAAGATTTGTTGATTGTGATTGTTTTGTGGATATTTGAGAAACTAGATTCACATTGCGCCCCAGAGACAAATTGAACCAATGGATATCGATTTGAAGTCGGATGTCCATTACTCGAGGTTTGGAAATCGAAGTTCCTATCCAAATCGGACGTTTGCTGCATATGGTTGAATGCGCCTGCATTGTGTGATTCTGTAGGTTCGCGCGGTGGAGGCTACTCCTACTACATGCCTGATGAAGCTTCTTTTAGTGCTGTGTCCATTTCCTCGCTTGGACGCGACATCAAAGAAAAGTTTTCGAACTTTATGAACCGAAAGAAGGGATACCAGTTAACGAAGACGACTGAAGATTAAGTGGATGCTTGCTTTTCTTTCCCTCTTTGTTGGAAATCGTTATTTTTGTGCATGCGCTTCCTGAAAATAAAAATGAATTCTTTGTATATCACCTCCTGTCAGATTCTTTTCCAAAATAGACCATGTGAACCATAGGATTTGCTATGTAATAGCAGACAATATACTCTATTGATCCATACTGTGAAATCTGGTCGACATGTTAAAAGGAGAAGAGAGATTTCCCATGGGAGTTTCATTCATGATCCCTCTCCACAAATTCTTTCTCATATTATTTTTATAAAATATGCTTTCTGCTCGTTTTGTAAAATCCGTTGTCCCTGTGTTGAAGTAACTTGCTGACAATGTATCTGAGGAATAGGAGCCAGGCTTTGATGGGTTGTGTAGCTCGCCATATTGAGACCACTGGAGCTGCCCTGGGTCTCGATAAGCTGGGCATTAACGTCGGCAAGGTTCACCGTAACTTGACTTATGGTGCGTGATGTGTGCGGTGTTTGATAGGTAGATGAGATTGCTGAGCACGAGAAGAAGAACAACGAAGGAGTGTTCACGAACACCGGAGCTTTCGAAGTAGACACTGGAATCTACACCGGAAGATCTCCTCAGGATAAATACTTTGTGGAGAGAGAGCCCAGCAAGAGCAACATCTGGTGGAGCCCGATCCCCCCCAACAAGCCTGTGTCTGAGAAGGTGTTCAACGAGGTGTACGACGATGTGAAGCAGTACATGAACGGCAAGGAGGTGTACGTGTTCGATGGCTACTGCGGAGCGAACCCGAAGTCGCGCAAGTGCGTGCGTTTTGTGACGGAGTACGCTTGGCAGCACCACTTCGTGACGAACATGTTCGTTCGCCCCAAGTCTGTGGAGGAGCTGAAGAACTTCAAGCCGGAGTTCACTGTGATCAACACGTGCAAGGGTCTGGTGAACAAGAACTGGAAGCGCCAGGGCCTGAACTCGGAGGCGTTCGTGGGCTTCGATATGGAGAACAACCTTGCGATCGTGGTGGGCGCGAAGTACGGAGGCGAGATGAAGAAGGGTATCTTCGGCGTGATGAACTACTGCCTGCCTCTGCAGGGCATTCTGCCGATGCACTGCTCGGCGAACGTGGGCAAGGACGGCGACTCGGCGCTGTTCTTCGGTCTGTCGGGCACGGGCAAGACGACGCTGTCGGCGGACCCGAAGCGATTCCTGATCGGAGACGATGAGCACGGCTGGGACGACGACGGTATCTTCAACTTCGAGGGCGGCTGCTACGCGAAGACGATCAATCTGTCGAAGGAGAAGGAGCCGGATATTTGGAACGCGATCAAGCGCGACGCTCTGCTGGAGAACGTGATGGTGCGTCCCGACGGCTCGCTGGACTACAACGATGTGAGCAAGACGCAGAACGGCCGCGTGGCGTACCCGATCTACCACATCAAGAACTACAAGCCGGACAGCATGGCGGGCCATCCCAAGGCGATCATCTTCCTGACCTGCGATGCCTACGGCGTGCTGCCTCCGATCAGCAAGCTGACCACGGAGCAGGCCATGTACCACTTCCTGTGCGGCTACACCGCGAAGGTGGCCGGAACGGAGCGCGGCATCAAGGAGCCCGTGCCCAACTTCTCGCCCTGCTTCGGCGGAGCGTTCATGCCGATGAACCCCATCGTGTACGCGAAGCTGCTCGGTGAGAAGCTGAACCGCCATGGCACCAAGGTCTATCTGCTCAACACCGGATGGACTGGAGGCGGCTACGGAGTGGGCAAGCGCATGGACATCCCCGTCACCCGCGCCTGCATCGACGGAATCCTCAGCGGATCCATCGAGAAGGCCGAGCTCCGCCACAACGACCGCTTCAATCTGGAGGTGCCCACCCATGTCGAGGGAGTCGACGATCATCTGCTCTGGCCTCGCAACACCTGGGCTGACAAGGAGGAGTACGACCGTGTCGCCAAGAAGCTCGCTGGAAAGTTCGTCGAGCACTTCAAGCAGTTCCAGGTGCCCGGACTGCCCGACTATTCGCCTTATGGACCTCGCACCGATTAAGTGTAGCTTTTTAGAGTATCAGTTCAGCCTTGTTTGTTGTGAATCATAATCATAGTAATCATAGTAATTATTATTATCGTGGAGGAAGGAAAGAGAGATTGGGTAAGAGAATAAGCAGCAGCAGCAGCAGTTTGTTTATTTCTAAGTCACACAACCTAACATGTTGTATTTTTAATCGATTAGCAAAATTATCATATATTGATTCATTTCATTATATTACAATATATATTCATTCAAATTCATTTAATATAACAAACAACATTGTAATAATAGTAGATGCCTTACATACAAACCTGAGTAAAGTCCACATTAGGCACAGAAACACCAGGCAAGCAAATGTTCTTCAGCATATTCATGGTCTTATCATTCATAGGATAGCTGTGTCCACACTTGCTAACCAGAGTGTTAGCCAATTCAGCAACACAAGAAGCAGAGTAACTCTCAGCAGCAGAAGTCAAAGCTTGGTTAGCAGCCTTCTCGTTCATCAGCAAACGGCCCAGTCTCATCACTTCCACTTCCTTCTTAGCCTCAGCCATCAGAATCGTTTCGTAAGCCTTCATGGCAGTTTCCTTGTCCTTGCCACTAGCACGAATCGCGTTCCACTTAGCCAGGTGAGCAGGCACATCAGCCTTCGCAATCTTCTCAGAATCATCAGCCTTACGAGCATTCAAGCGGTTAGCAGGAATGTTACCCATGAAAGTGCTCAGAGGCAGCTTTCCAAGCTCAAGATCACCCCACTTACTAGCATTCTGGCTACTAGACTCAGCAACCTTCGCGTGAATATGATCATGAAGCTCATCCAGAGTGTGTTCAGTTCCACCCTCAATGAACCACTCCATAGCATTATCCCAGTAGCAAGACAAGCAAGTACCGAGAGCCTTCTTATTCACAACATCATTAGGAGGACAATGAGATTCATAAGAAGAGTGATCAGGATCAGCAGCAGTCAGAGCGTACACATTCAACGACTTATCAAGATTCACGAACATGGATCCAGAATAGCAAGCCTCCATCAAAAAGAGGAAACGCTTGTACATGTGGTTCTCGTGCATATATTCGAGGGTCTTTATCAGATCTCTCTCAGAGACAGTGCTGCTTCCAACAAGAATCGAACCAGGACCTCCGTGAGAAGTGAAATAGAGCATAATATCATCCTCAGCAGTAGTCTTCAGGACACGAGGATTCTCCATTTCCGTGAGCTTTTTCAACTCCTCCACATCAGCTCTCATGATAGCAAGCATAACCTTCCCGGACATCTGGTCCTCTTCGTAGTCAATATGCTCGACACATCCATGAGCGTAGTCCTTTCCAGGAGCTTCAGGAGAATCATCAGTGTACAAGTCACCAGGGAAAGGATTTCTCGGTAAATCACTCACAGCATGCGTGCTCATCAGAATAATGTTCTCAGCCTTCATACCTCCAGCAATCAGGTCCTTGTACATACGGCAACTCTCCGACTGGACACCATAGTCAGGCCAGTTGGCTCTAGGAGCAATAATGATGGCAAATCTATCGGCAGAGGCGATAGAAAGAATAGCTAAAGCAATGAAAAGAGCGTACATTTTTTTGAGATATCAAGAATGAAGAATGACGCTTGTTGAACGAAATTTCGTTCAACAAATCAACTCGCAACTTAGTTAACAGAATTACGATAGTGCACTTCGCGCGATATAGACATCCGATACTAGGTAGTATGAAATGATATCCATTTCCATATTGTCTCTACTTTTTTCTATGCTTGAATTAGTTTCGAAGTCTTACTCAGCGCTTGTTTGTGAGATTTTTTTTGTTTACATCAGAATCTGATTTTCACCATTCGGGTAGTACCTCACTAAAGATTTGAAAGAATTGTGTTTGTCCATTCTGAATGATCCCAAAAATAGATAGTTTTTCAGATTTAAGCAGAATAGTGTGCGGTAAGTTACCGTGCCGCTTTTCACTTGAGCAAGTACGTTCTTTGAATATCGAAAGTGTTTGAAAGAAGTAGCGTTCGAAAAAATCATACCTTTCTAAATATACACTTTCTATTCTATCGCGATGTCTAATTGGGTTGCTAATCCTTGTTCCCATTTACGGCGGCAATAAAACTCCTTTGTGAAAAACCGAGTCAAGATTATCAAATGAGTGTACTGCAAAAATGGTAACACATTTTCGAAACGGAAGCACAAACAAAAAAGGGAAAAAGTAGTAATGCGTCATTTCATGATCGGGGTTTTATCAAATCGATTTTTGGTTTTTCACATAGATTATTTCGTATGCTTTCCAAGATTCTTTTTGTTGCTCTGGCATTACTTGCCGCCGCCTCTGCCGTAGGTTATTATGCATAATTCTCAGTTTTTAGGCTGATAAGGTGAAGGCCTCTCTTTATTTCGAATCCTATTGCCCTGGCTGCGAGTATTTCATTACTCATAGCTTGGTTGAACTTCATGAGACCGAGGATTTGATGGCTATTACCGATTTGGAACTCGTTCCTTATGGAAATGCCCGTGTTATTACTCGTGATCCTCCCACTTTCCAGTGCCAGCATGGTGATAAGGAGTGCTATGGAAACTACATTGAGCTTTGCTCTCAGGAGCACTATCCTGAGAAGTGGTGGCCTTTCATTCTCTGCCAGGAGACTTCTGTTGATTTCTCTGACGAGGGTGTTGAGAAGTGTGCTGCTGCTGCTGGAGTGGATGCTCAGGTGATTCTCTCTTGTGCTAAGGGTACTGAGGGACCTGCTCTTCATCTGGTTGCTGCTGATAAGACTCCTGCTGATCACAAATGGGTCCCTTGGATTGTTGTCGATGGCAAGGTCTTGGAACACACCACCGATTTCTTCAAGGCTATCTGTGAAGCTTATAAGGGAGAGAAGCCTGAGTCCTGCGGCAAGTATGAGGCGAACGAAGCCCCTAAGGTGAAGGCTACTCTCTATTTCGAGTCCTATTGCCCTGGCTGCGAGTATTTCATCACCAACGAGCTTGTGAAGCTTCATGAGACTGAGGATTTGATGGCTATTACCGATTTGGAACTCGTTCCTTATGGAAATGCTCATGTTATTACTCGTGATCCTCCCACTTTCCAGTGCCAGCATGGTGATAAGGAGTGCTATGGAAACTACATTGAGCTTTGCTCTCAGGAGCACTATCCTGAGAAGTGGTGGCCTTTCATTCTCTGCCAGGAGACTTCTGTTGATTTCTCTGACGAGGGTGTTGAGAAGTGTGCTGCTGCTGCTGGAGTGGATGCTCAGGTGATTCTCTCTTGTGCTAAGGGTACTGAGGGACCTGCTCTTCATCTGGTTGCTGCTGATAAGACTCCTGCTGATCACAAATGGGTCCCTTGGGTGGTCGTTGATGGTAAGGTGATGGGTGAGAGTGACGACTTCTTCCAAATGATTTGCGATGCTTATAAGGGAGAGAAGCCTGCTTCCTGCAAGAAGGCTCAGAAGAACGAAGCTCCTAAGGTGAAGGCTACTCTCTATTTCGAGTCCTATTGCCCTGGCTGCGAGTATTTCATCACCAACGAGCTTGTGAAGCTTCATGAGACTGAGGATTTGATGGCTATTACCGATTTGGAACTCGTTCCTTATGGAAATGCCCGTGTTATTACTCGTGATCCTCCCACTTTCCAGTGCCAGCATGGTGATAAGGAGTGCTATGGAAACTACATTGAGCTTTGCTCTCAGGAGCACTATCCTGAGAAGTGGTGGCCTTTCATTCTCTGCCAGGAGACTTCTGTTGATTTCTCTGACGAGGGTGTTGAGAAGTGTGCTGCTGCTGCTGGAGTGGATGCTCAGGTGATCCTTTCTTGTGCTAAGGGTACTGAGGGACCTGCTCTTCATCTGATTGCTGCTGATAAGACCCCTGCTGATCACAAATGGGTCCCTTGGGTGGTCGTTGATGGTAAGGTGATGGGTGAGAGTGACGACTTCTTCCAAATGATTTGCGATGCTTATAAGGGAGAGAAGCCTGCTTCCTGCAAGTAATGTATCTGAACACTTGTATTTGTTTGTTTTAGTCGTAATCCAAAAATATTGTGTATTTTATCGAGTTTACCACTTTCTTTTTGAAAAACTTGATTGAAATGGTTTCCGTCGCATTGTTTTTACCTAATATTATTGGCTATATTCGTGCTATCACTGGAATTATTAGTTTTCTGTTCGTAGACACAAATCCTAAGTAAGTGTATTCAACCTTGATTATTCCCAGTGTGTTTTGCTGTCTCTACTTTTTTAGCTATATTCTAGATGCTATGGATGGTGTTGCTGCAAGAAGGTTCAACCAATGTCCCCGTTTGATAGTTGAGGTCAGTTTTAGGTTCTCACTTTGGAGCAGTGCTTGATATGATATGCGACCGGTTCTGTACGTGTTCTTTATATCTGGCTCTTGCCTGCATTTATCCGGAATACAAATATTTCATCATAGTTATGCTTATACTGGAGATCACAAGTCACTGGATTCAGATGTTCTCGTATAGATTGGTTTTCTGTTCTCATTAGTGCTACTCTTGTGGGTAAAAGTCACAAAGCGATTGATGAAGAGCGTCCGTGGATTCTGCGCTTCTACTACGTGGTTCCCTATTCTCTCTTTGTTGTCTGTCTGCTTAACGAGACTTGGATTTTCTCAAATTACATGCTCTACTTGTTTTTCTTCCTCTTCTTTGATTTAATTTTAGCGCCGGTAAGGGAATGATTCCGGAGTTCACAATCCCGATCTGGAAGTTCTTCAATATTGCCTTCCTTCCTGTCTTTGCTTTCAAGCAGATTGTGTCTCTAGTGGCTCTCTTCGATAGTTCGAAGAGCATTATTCAATTTGATGAGGAGGAAAGAGCAGCTAAGAAGGATTAACGAACTCTTGCTCGCTTGTTTGTTTGTTTGTTTGTTAGAAAGTATTGTGGAAATGTCGCCGCAATTCAAAAGAAAGAGGAGGAGTGGTAATTTGCGCAAGAATGAAGATGTTAGCTCCGAAGAAGAGGTTACTGTGGTGGCTGATGAATCCAAGAAGCAGAAAGTGACACCAGTAAATACGACTTAGCTGTAGGTGAATATGCTTTCTTCAGTATCCTTAAAGCCAAAAGATGTAAACTTGTATATCTCCTGGCTTTTCGTACTATTTGTAGAAACATTAAGTCAGATATGTCTGAGAAGCGCTTTGAAGCTTCTGGAGGAATTTATACGACCTTAGGATATGAAGATACAGAACAGTTGCATTAGACGGTGTTTTTCATATATAGTGATAAAATAGCACAGCTGAGAGAACAAATTCGGATGCAAAAGGAGGCTGAAGAGAAAGGAGAACAGCTCGTTGGCGAAGAGGAGTCACTTGACCTGTAGGATCCTAAAATTTACCGGGGCGCCACAGGCTATCACCAATATATAAAGAAGACAGAAGCCCAGCTCTCGAACAACAAGTTCACCGGAACGCAAGGCCCTATCCGGGCTACGAGCCATATTGCAATCAGCAATCGATTCGACTACCAGCCTGATGTCTGTAAGGATTACAAAGAGACTGGATATTGTGCGTTTGGAGATTCCTGCATTTTCCTACATGATCGAGGCGACTATAAAAGTGGCTGGGAGATTGTAGCCATTCATGAATTGGATAACGGAACAGGAACGCGACTGGAATAAAGAGCAGGAAGAAAAACGCAAACGACGAGAACGAGGGGAAGCTTCCGAAGATGAAGACAACAAGTACGTAATTGAGAGTAGCGACGAGGAGGAACTGCCATTTGCTTGCTTTATCTGCAGAGAACCGTTTACGAATCCGGTGGTTACGAAGTAATGATTGGGCGTTGGGCTGAGAAGCAGCTGTGGACACTATTTCTGTGAGAAGTGCGCGTTGGAGCAGTATCGGAAAACGTCAAAGTGCTTCGTTTGCGGAAAGGATACCAATGGCTGTTTTAATCGAGCTACCGAAATCATCAATCGCATTGAGAAGATGAGAAACGACGAATCGCCCAAGTCAGAAGAGTCGGATTCGAATTCGGAAGGGGGAAATGGCACGGATTAAATATGTTTGTTTGTTTGTTCTGAAAACCGCGGTTATAGCACGTCCATCTTTTTTTGTATATTCTCTTTGAATTGGAAATACAACTCAACGGGAATAATGGAAATTGACGACCAGTATCTGTATGATGACTATGAGATGGAAGGAGACGAGGCAGAGGAGATTACGGAGGTTTGGGGCGTAGAATATGTCTTTTGAATAGGACGATACCTGGACTATCATCAATTCGTTCTTTCTTGAGAAGGGACTTGTTAGTCAGCAGCTTGACTCCTTCAATAACTTTATGAACCGAACCATCGAGCAACAGATAAGGGATCAATCAGATCGAGGCATTGAAGCCATTTCTGAAGGACAGGTGTGTTTTTCTCGAACGTTCCTAATGTTTAGTATACAACCATAGCAGATAATGACGAAGATCAAATAAAAATATCTATCACAATGGATGGAGTGAAGGCATCGCGCCCTACGGTGGCTTCTACCGGTGCCGAACAGAGTAGTGTGTTGTGGCCGCGTGAGGCTCGATTACGTAATTTGACGTATGCTGCATCAATATATGTTGGAATGACGCAAACCTCCGTCCATATAAAAGGAAACGAGAGCGATGATGCTGTTTCCAAGTCTATGGATATCCGCCTATGCACAGTGTGCATATTGGAGATTTGTCACAAATAGATTCCAGTAATGCTTCGTTCTGAAGCCTGTAATCTATATGGTCTCGATGATGAGCGCCGCGCCAGCATAGGCGAGTGTATCTATGACCAGGGAGGTTATTTCATCATCAATGGCAGCGAGAAGGCCATCATCGCCCAAGAGCGCCAAACCACCAACAAAGTCTATGTGTTCGAAAAGAAGCAGCCCTCGAAATACTCCTGGACGGCCGAGATCCGAAGCGTGCCAGAAGGGAGCAGCGTGCCGGCGCAGACCCTCATGCTCTGCATGTATGCGCACTCCTCGAAGTCCCAAATCAAAAACAAATACTGCATCTGGGCGAAGCTGCCCACGCTGAGCGATGAAATCCCGGTGTGCATTCTCTTCCGCGCGCTGGGGTGCGAGAACGACCGATCGATCATCCAGCACATCTGCTATGTAGGGCGGTCGGGCAGCGGGTCGAGCGTGTAGAACTTCGACGATGTGGAGATGATGGAGCGGTTCCGGCCTTCGCTCGTCGAGGCATCGGAGTGCAGAACGCGCGAGGTGGGTCTGCGCGAGGGCGATGAGGGGTAGGAAGCGTTGAACTTCATCGCGACGCGCCATCCGAAAATGATCGATGAGAACGGAACGCGGCCGAGATCCGAACGAGTCAAGTTCGCCAGCCGTCTCCTTCAGAAGATCATGCTGCCGCACATCAACGTGGACTTCGGCCCCAACAGCAACTGCAAGAAGGCGTTCTACCTGGGCTATATGGTGCACAAGCTGCTGAACTGCTCGCTGAATCGCAACGAGCAGGAGGACCGAGACCACATCAGCAACAAGCGAATGGATCTGGCAGGTCCGATGATCGGCCGTCTGTTCCACGGCCTGCTCTACCGATTCACCAAAGTAGGAATGGGGTTTGGCTGCCAGCTAGGAACTGCGCAGCCACATGAAGAAGGTGGTCAACAGTCGGAAGGGAAGCTCCTTCATCAACATCATGACCAACGCCAAGGTAGCTCTGGAGCAGGACGACTAACATCTAGTCCAGCATCATTTCGGACGGTCTCAAGTATTCGTTCGCCACGGGGAATTGGGGCGATCGCTCTCGCGGAATGCCCACCACGACGGGCGTTTCCCAGTCGCTGAACCGACTGACGTATGCGTCGTCGCTGTCGAGTCTGCGTCGCCTGAAGTCCCCCATCGATACCACGAGCAAGGTGACGAAGCCGCGTTTGCTGCACAGCACGCAGTGGGGAATGATGTGTCCCGCCGAGACGCCCGAGGGCCAGTCCTGCGGAATCGTGAAGAACCTCGCGCTGATGTGCTACATCTCGGTCGGAAACCCGGTAGGAGCGGCGGGTGCGCGTGATTGGCAGGTGGAGAAGATCTACCGTCTGCTGGAGAACAACGGCGTGGAGGAGCTGGAGACGATCGCGTCGTCGCTGATCCCCAAAACCACCAAGGTGTTCGTGAACGGCGTCTGGGTGGGGATCCATCGCGACCCCAAGGTGATTCTGGACCATCGCGAGGACTTCGACACGGACGTGTCCATGGTGTACGACATCCAGGAGCGAGAGCTTCGAATCACCGCGGACGCTGGCCGTTGCTGCCGTCCGCTGTACGTCGTGGATCCGATAACGCAGCGAGTGAAGATTCGTAAGTACCATCTGCGGAACCTCCAGCCCGAAACGATGTTCTCGGACCTGGTGTTGAACCGACTGATCGAGTACGTGTCGGCGGAGGAGGAAGAGTACTGCATGATTGGTATGGATCTGAAGACCATGCGAGCCTGCGTGGAGAACCGCAGCTGCACGACCTACACGCACTGCGAGATCCATCCCTCCATGATTCTGGGCGTGTGCGCCTCGATCATTCCGTTCCCCGACCACAACCAGTCGCCTCGAAACACCTACCAGTCCGCTATGGGCAAGCAGGCCATGGGCGTGTACGTCAGCAACTACCGACAGCGCATGGACACCACCGCGCACGTGCTCTCCTACCCCCAGCAGCCTCTCGTGACCACCAAAGCCATGACCTACCTGCGCTTCAAAGAGCTGCCTGCCGGCTGCAACTGCGTGGTGGCGATCTGCTGCTACTCGGGCTACAACCAGGAGGACTCGCTGATCCTGAACCAGTCCGCCATCGAGCGCGGTCTCTTCCGGTCGATCTTCTACCGCACGTACCAGGACACGGAGGTCCGTCGCGACACCACGACGTCCTCTCTGAGCCTGAGCAACCCCTCCATGGGCAACGAGCGCTTCTGCCGGCCGCTCTCCGAACAGTGCTCGATGACCAAAGACGAGGGACTCTACCGCAACCTCGACGAAGACGGTCTCGTGAAGCCGGTACGCCTTTCTCGGTCTCTTCTCATTCCAGGGCTCGCGAGTGACGGGAGACAGCATCCTGATCGGCAAGGCCACGCCCACCGGGGAGCTGAACGTGCACGGACGCTCCAATCTGAAGGACAACAGCACGGGGCTGCGCCACGCGGAGAGCGGCATCGTGGACGAGGTGATGCTGACCACCAACGAGAAGGGCTTCCGCTTCGTGAAGGTGAAAGTGCGCTCGGTGCGAGTCCCGCAGATCGGAGATAAGCTGAGCTCGCGACACGGGCAGAAGGGAACGATCGGAATGACGTATCGGCAGGAAGACATGCCCTTCACCGAGAACGGCATCGTCCCCGACATCATCATGAACCCGCACGCCATTCCTTCGCGTATGACCATCGGACAGCTCATCGAGTGTCTGCTCGGCAAGGTCGCGGCGCTGCAGGCGCGCGAGGGCGACGGCACGGCGTTCAGCGACGTGACGGTGGAGGACATCTCCAACAAGCTGCACAACGAGGGCTACCAGAAGCGCGGCTACGAAGTCCTCTACAACGGACACACCGGGCGGCGCATGGAGGCGCGCGTCTTCATGGGCCCCACGTTCTACCAGCGCCTGAAGCACCTCGTGGACGACAAGATCCACGCGCGAGCCCGCGGAATGAACAGTCTGTTGGTATATCCTTGAGCCAAACCCGGTCGAATCCTTCACCCCACGCGCCAGCCGCTCGAAGGCCGCTCGCGCGACGGAGGTCTGCGAATGGGAGAGATGGAGCGTGATGTGCTGATCGCGTACGGCGCGTCGCAGCTGGTGCGCGAGCGCTTCTTCTACTCGTCGGACGCGTACGTGGTGACGATCTGCGACGACTGCGGACTGATCTGTACGATGATCGATAATACCTATATCTGCAAAAACTGTGACAATAAAACCAGGGTTCGGTTGGAATGGGCCTTTGATCTAGTTCTCGAAGGTGGAGATCCCGTATGCCTGCAAGCTGCTCTTCCAGGAGCTCATGAGCATGAATATCGCGCCGCGCATCCACACGGGAGGGATCATGGGAGATGGAAAGGACCGATTTGGAAACGATGTGTGGCAGTTTTGTGTTTGTTACAATCGAACGTTCCATTCCTCATTTCAGAAAAAGAATGTTGAGTGCGTTCAAGAGAATGAGTAGCACTATTGCATCGTTAAAGATCCCCCAGATTTCGCAGCGTATGAGCGTGAACTTCATTAAGCAGCTGGAGCCCAGTAGGCGTTTTCGTGCGAATTTCTAACACAGACGTGAAGGCGGCTCCCATTACTGTCAAGTTTATCACCGAAGAGGAGTTGACAATGTTGAAGGCATCGACTTTGAACATTGTAGCTGGCGATTGGTTTGGCCTACTCCCTAGAATCCGTTGGTGGCATCGCAACTCGAAAACCTGAAGGTTACTCCTCGCAGTGCCTGCACTCTCATGATTCCTGAGTTTGCGGTAGAGGTCAGCATGAACGTCTAGGGAGAAGTTCTGGAACGGGAATCTCGGCTCTGTATTCCGTGATCGCTACCTTCTCATTTCTATGGGCAAGGAGAAGAGTGTGAATCTCAACGTATCCTCCGTTTCGCCTCCTCTCTCCCCTAGACCATCCGAAAGTGCGTTAACACCGCCACGACCTATCTGCAAGGCATGGACCAAACCACCGCCGTGATGGAAATCCCTTCCCTCAGCGCGCTCCCCGTGGAAGACACCGCTTCTGCCATGGCCAACGTACTCCCCTGTCGTCTTCTTTTCTCCCCTAGATCGTGGTCTGTTCCAATCATTTGCCCCACGACGGCAAATACCTCACCACCAAAGACAAGCACAAAACGCTTCTGAAAACCGTCGACTTCGTCCCCAGCAAGCCGCTCCCTGACGAGCAGGCCGCCTCGGTCGAGCAGGCGATCCGCTACGGCGCGCTGGTGGGCGAGGGCACGGTCAACGCACGGATCTGGGCGAACGAGCAGTCCAGCGAGCTGAATCCGCGCGCGTTGGAGCTGCTGTGTCGACGCATCTGCGAGCGCGACAACGTCGAATTCAAGGTCCTGCAGGTCGAAACGCGAAGCGAGCGTGAGGCGTAGGCGCCGGATCTGCAAGCCGAAGGGCTGAATCTCATCAACGCGGTGGGCCAGGGCTCCGATTGCGCGCCCCGCCTGATTCTGATGACGTACATGTAAGAAGCGAATCGAGGCGAGTGAGTGAACCGCAGAGGCGATCGATCGCAGCGGAAATTCAGCGCCGTGGTCGGGAAGGGCGTCTGCTTCGACGCGGGCGGGCTGAATCTGAAGCCGACGGGACACATCGAAGACATGCAGCTGGACATGGGCGGCGCTGCGGCGGTGCTGGGCGCGATGGACACGCTGGCGAAGATGAACGCGCCGGTCAATCTGGTAGCGGCGATCCCCGCGGTCGAGAACATGGTGGGGAGCAAAGCGTACCGTCCCGGGTCGATTCTGAAGTCGTTTGATGTGGGGGTGGCGGAGCGGAGCGAGAAATAGGGCCGATTTGTGGAGGTGTGCAATACGGACGCGGAAGGTCGGCTGATTCTGGCGGACGCGATGGCGTACGTGCAGGAGCACTACGAGATCGACTGCATGGTGGACATCTGCACGCTCACGGGCGCGATCTGCGTGGGCCTGGGCACCTACACGGCGGGACTCTTTGGAAACGACGAGAAGCTGGTGAAGGAATTGATGGAGAGCGGAGATCGGACGCGGGAGCGATGCTGGCACATGCCGATCGAGGAGGAGCACGAGCAGGAAATCCTGGACTGCAAGGTGGCGGATCTGCGGAATATGGGAGAAGGAAGAGATGGCGGCGCTTGCACGGCGGCGGCGTTTTTGAAGCAGTTCGTGAAGGGCGATCTGCCGTGGGCGCATCTGGATATCGCAGGAACGGCGATGACGAGCAAGCCGGTGGATTGGATCCCGCAGGGCGGCACGGGATATGGCGTGGCGTTGCTGACGGACTGGATGCTGCATCACAGCGAAAAGAAGTGAGGTGTTTGTTGAACAAACAAGGCAAAAATGGAGGAGAGCGTGGCGCATAGGCATTAAAAGCGGGTTCGTCTCGACAAAAACGGGCTTGGTCGGAGGTTGTGAAGATGGAGCAGCGGAAGCCTCGGCTGGAGCCGCCTTGCTCTGGGTCTCCTTTTCGGAGGTGGCGGTCTCTTGCACTTGGGACACGTAATACGAGGGCTGGACATTCGGGACAGAGGGGAGCGGACTGATCTCCGTGACTTGGTCCGGGAGATTGAAGCCTTCTTCCGAAAACCCGATCTCACTGCTTAAGTTGGCAGGGAACGAATCGTCGTTCTGCTTGCCTTCCTTGTAGATCTCCGATCCGATGTGGACGGGTTTGGCGCTGTTGACGATTGGGTTGATGGGGAGGTTGGAGGTGCTATCGGGGGAGGAAGCCAGCTTGTAGGACATGGGGATCTCGGTCGGGTTTATGACCTTATCCGAGAGGGAAAGGGTCAGATCGTCGAAGGGTTTGGGAGCTTCCGAAACAACAGGGATTGATTCGACAGGTTTCTCTTCAGCCGACGGTTCTTCTTTGACCTTCTTCTCTTCGTTAATCGCAGGCTCTTCTTCTTTCTTTACTTCTTCAACCTTCTTCTCTTCTTCAACCACAAGCACAGGAGCTGATTCGACCTTCTTCTCTTCATCAATCACAGGCTCTTCTTCCTTCTTTTCTTCTTCAACCTTCTTCTCTTCTTCAACCACAAGCACAGGAGCTGATTCGACCTTCTTCTCTTCCTTCTTTTCCTCTTCAACCTTTGCTTCTTCTTCAACTACTGGTTCTTTAATCGCAGGCTCTTCTTCTTTCTTTACTTCTTCAACCTTTTCTACCTTCTCTTCAACCACAGGTACAGGCACAGAATTGACCTTCTTCTCTTCTTCTTCCTTCCTTTCCTCTTCAACTACTTCTTCTTTCGTTTCTTTATCCACTGGCTTCTCAATCTTTTCTTCTTCAACCACAGGAACAGGAGCTGATTCGACAGGTTTCTCTTCCTTCTTCTCTTCCTTCTTCTCTTCGACTACAGGAACAGGCACCGATTCGACCTTCTTTTCCTCTTCAACCTTCTTCTCTTCTTCAACTACTGGCTCCTCTTTCTTTTCTTCGACTACAGGAACAGGCACCGATTCGACCTTCTTCTCTTCTTCGATCACTGGTTCTTCCTTCTTTACTTCTTCAACCTTCTTCTCTTCAACCACTGGTTCTTCTTCTTTCTTTTCAACTACTGACTTTTCTTCTTCAACCACAAGCACAGGAGCTGATTCGGCAGGTTTCTCTTCCTTCTTTTCCTCTTCAACTTCTGGTTCTTCTTTCTTTTCTTCGACCACAGGAACAGGCACGGATTCGACCTTCTTTTCCTCTTCAACCTTTGCCTCTTCAACTACTGGTTTTTCCTTCTTTGCTTCCTCCAGCTTTTTATCCTCCGATTGCGAGGGCGTATCTGGTGTCTTTCCTGCAGATGAAGGAGATACGCTCAGCACAATCTCATCTTCTCCAGAGGAAGCCATTTCCTCCTTCTTTGTCTCCTCAATGACCGGAGACACTTCATTTTCCTTTTCTTCCATTATGGGAGAGAGCGCGACCTTCTTCTCTTCAGCCAATGGCTCCTCGGCCTTTTCTTCAGGCTTTTTCTCTTCAACCTTTTCCACCTTCTCTTGTTCAATGACTGGAACAGGAGCAGGAATCGGCTCTACCTTCTCTTCTTTCTTCTCTGGCTCTTTAGGCTTTTCATTTTCTTTCTGAATGGGAGCAGCTACGGCAGCATCTTTGTTTGCTTTGCGAGCTCGTCGAATGGAATCTCTTCCATGTCTCTGCGGTTTGGCTTCGATTTGAGGCTTTGGCTCCTCTTTCGGTAATTCTTTCGGTAATTCTTCCTTTATTTCTTCTTTCTTTTCTTCTTTCGGTGACTCTTCTTTTGTTTCTTCCTTTACCGTTTGAGTGACTTGCGCAGCAACCAGCTTTCTTTTGGGATTCTTCTTAGACTTTCTGTTCTTCTTTGACGGTTTCTCTTCCACCACAGCAGGTTTCTTCTCTTCCACCACAGCAGGTTTCTTCTCTTCCACCACAGCAGGTTTCTTTGCTTCCACCACAGCAGGCTTCTTCTCTTCAACAGGCTTCTTTGCTTCCACCACAGCAGGTTTCTTCTCTTCAGCAGGCTTCTTCTCTTCAGCAGGCTTCTTTGCTTCCACCACAGCAGGCTTCTTTGCTTCCACCACAGCAGGTTTCTTCTCTTCAGCAGGCTTCTTTGCTTTTTGTCTTCTCTGTCTCGACCTTCCCTCTGCAGGCTTCTCTTGTACCGCTATCTTTTCTTGATCGTCCGAACTCTTTTGTTGCTCATTGCTTACGGCCTGCATCGGGCTCGACGTGATCTCCGAAAGCTGAGCGTACTCTCCATTCAAAACCGGCTCCGATGTTTTGATCCGACTGCTCCTGGTCACGACTCTATGCTCCATCTCCAGTGGTTCATGAATATTCTTCACTTCAATACCCTGATTAACCAAATAATTCGTAGCCAGACCGAAAATTCCGTTCTTCGTCTTCATTTCACCCTCTTCATTGCTGCCCTTTCGGCAGAACAAAAGCATCTGGGACGCGAAAGGAATCAGTCCAGAAAGGCGCACATTCGAAATGTAGTCCGCGTCCAGAACAATATAACTGCAATTGCTGAGCTTCTCCAAGAAAGGAATCTCGGTAATAGAGCAGGTAATGAATGGGTAGGTCTTGATCAAGCTCAGTTTATTGGCCTGGAAAAGGCACTGCTGATCCAGCTTCTCTCGAATGGAAGTCGTGGGAGCCAATGCAGGAACTAACTGCTGAATGCAATACTTCGATATCTCCTTATGAGCAACGAAGTAGTCGTCAGAACAGAGTCGAACACAGCGCACTGTCTCATTGCGATCTTTATGGATGAAATAGCTATTGATCTGATTCGTGAGCATATCCAAAAGGTTGTCGCTCGTGCTGATAAACACGACGGGCGTTTTCCGTTCGCGATTGATGGAGATACCCGTAACGAAGGCGTATTCTGTGGGTAAGACTGCCACTCATCTCTTACCTGTTTGACGAACTGGATCGTCTCCACACTCGATTACATCCAACAAGTTCTTGATCGAATTCTTGAGGTGACGGAACTCCGTCACGTTCAAATGAATGCTCTTAAACCTCGACAAATACATGTTACGGAACATCAGATTGACACCATGACCCATCCAGCGACTAAGCAGTGCAGATTGCTTAACATGATCTTGTAACAAGAATCCAGCGGTAGAAAAAAACGTCACATCGATCCAATTCTGAGTGGGGAAAACGATGGTACATTTTCCACTCTGGTTGATGTCTCTGTAATTTACGTTGCGGACGATAAGAGTCACTTCGTCTTTTTGACACATAACCACCACAGCATCCTCCTTCTTCGAGTTGCCCTCAAAGGAAACCTGACAGCAGCAGGACTGAACGACCTCAGGATGAGTATCCCGTTGTGGAATATGAACACGAATGCAAGTGGCAAAGTCCCCATATCCCAAAATGCAATAGTCTGACTGCAACTCTTCTCCTCTCTTCTCGCCAATGATTTCAGAAAGCTTGTATAATGCCTGACGGTTTAACACAATTGGGTACAGATTAGGCTGGTAGGCCGACTCGCCCCTCTTTTCAAGAGGAGATGCCTCCAGAGCCGTTACGATATTGTAAGAAAGGACGTACGGATACCATGAAACGTAAGTGTCTTTCCACTCTATGAAAGAAGAAAAGTTTGACATATCCGCAATACACCGGATGCAAACATGCTTTTGAGTACGTGTAGAATAGCCCAGAATCATCATGTTCCGATTTCTACAGAATTCACAACAAATATTCCTGCTCTCTCTGCCTGTTTTATCAGTAGTGCAGTACAGAATATGACCGTTGAGAGTAGCATGCTCTGGCAAGCTTTCAGTACCCTGTTTATGAACTGGCACAGTCTTTTTGCACACAACACAGTAAACTGATTTGTCCATTTACAGAAAACAGTAAATAAAACAATATTAGTAAATTATTAGAACCGTCATTTGGGAGACAGTGAAATCGTGCATCCAATCACCATTTACGTACATAATATTGTGAACGACATGATCTGAGTTTACAAGGAACATTTGATTCAACAAATACAACACCCACAAATGCTAAATCTCAAATAAGTTGGATTCAACAAACAAAATAATAAACTTGATTAACAGCAAAAGAAACCCGCAATTCATCTTGGCCACTGAGTGCTTGGTTACAAGTCTCGATCATCGTCTTGCTGATTTTGTTCGCTACACATAAACACACTCCAAAACCCAAACAGGCCATATCAATCTGAATCAAAACGCCGAGGCGTCCTTTTGACAGAGCTACAAGAAGATAATTCACTCCATCATCCGTAATGCCGTTCTCTATGTATCAGTATCCATTCAAAACACAACCGCTGACATCCAGATGCTGCAGATTCGGGAAGCCGCCACGCTCGATCGATTTCACGAGAATCACAAATCCCTTCGACTCGATGCGATTCTTTGCGATATTCAAATCCACCAGACCCTTCATCGTATCGAACAGCACGCAGTTGCTAATGAATCGAATTCCCTCATACTCCATCTGAATCTCTACACAACATACCTTCAACGAGCCGCAAACCATTCAAGCAGAGACGTTTAATGAAGTTTACTTTATTCTTTCGGAAATAGCGGAACAAATGAGTGACGCCTTTATCGCCGATCGGATTCCCTCCGATCAAGAACTCCTGTAAGTTCGGCACCGTCTCGCTTGTGATGCTGCATGAGAGAAAGTGGGTGGACTCCTCGTCGATCTCGTTGTTTTCGAGGTTGAGAATCTCCAGATTGGGGAGTTTTCTATCGGCCATAAGCGATGCGAGCTTCATTACGCCTCGAGACTTAAATCGATTGTCTACTGATGGGTTGTCTGCGTAACAATACGATTCAGGAACAGTTTTCGAATGGTGGTCACATCGCCAGTGATTAGGTAATCCATATATCCGCAGAACTGCACCAAAAAGTTGTCGACCAGATTCAGATTCGCGAGATCCAGCGACGTGGAAGTGAAGAGCGTGACTTCCAACTGCATGTGATTGAAGATTTCCACTTCTTTCGAGGACAATCGACGACCTAGCGATGAGTCGTCGGTTTCTGGAAATTACGCAAAAACTCGAGACCCAGCAACTCGACTTGAGGAAGATACTTGAAGGCAGAGAGAAGAGTGTTCGCTCCTGTCGATGTGATATCGTTTCCGTACAGCAGAATCGAGTGGAGACGCGGTAGTGTGGGAGGCGAAAAGTAGTATTGGAAGATGTTCACGAGCGACCAGCCTTGAGAAAAGACTTGTGCCAGAAGAGCTGCGCCTTCGTCGCCCATATGAAGATCTATTGAAGAGAAAAGAGGGGGGAGTACCCGTTAGATCCAGCACTTCCAGATTGGTGTACGTGTAGTTGTTGATTTCAGTGATGAGCGCCTTAATCCCTTCCACTCCTTTGGTTGTCCACTTCAGCATAACGGCTTGACCCATCACTTCCTTCTCTTCTTGTTCCTACATAAGATGACGTGCGAACTAAAAAAATTACTTTCTTTTCCTTCAGCAGAATCTGCTCCTTCTTCTCGATCTCTGCTGTTTCTTCAGGAAGACGAATTCCGTTTGCGTGAAGCAGATTATGCAGCATAGATAGACGGTTGTTCAGTGAAACATTCTCCACTTTTAGCCGGGTAACCTCTGTCGCCAGATCAGATATTCTTGTCTCATATGCCAGGAATCTGGATGTTTCATTCTCTACAGGGATCGAAGGATTCTCCAAGACAGATTGCTTCTAAACCTGAACGAACTTGCTTGAAAATACGCATAGCATGTAAAATGTATTATTGCTGTCAGTGATAATAGAGTGTAAATAGTCGCCCGGAGACAACACCTTTGATTCAAAAATGAGGAACACGATCATATCGTCCCCTAACTTGGCTATACTCTACGAGTTAAAATATGCATCATAGCAGCACTTTTAACTGGGGTTCAATCGATTGCAGTGTTGCCTGTGCATCTACAAGAAGCATATAGTGCTCATTGTTCCGCATATCCACGATTTCCATAGTGGATTGGTCCATTACCGAGAATTTCGCAACTTCTCCCATCTTTTCAACCTTACTCTCCTCTCCCTGTTTTTCGGGTAATTTTTTCGGATCTTCTTGATATTCTTTATTGCTCAGCAGAGAAACATCCATAATCAGAAATATTCAAACCTTTTTTGTCAGATGTACAGTGATTGTCCCAAACAATCATACGTATTATAATTACTGTACTCTTTTCTCCATATTTCCTTCTCCAGTTAGACTAATTCTGGAATCTCTAGTACGCTACTCAGTGAATGAAACGATGTGCGTCGTTGCTACGGACTGTCTGATACTGTACAATTCTAAGTTGTTCCTGTTATGCTTTAGGGAGCTGGGAAACGATTTTTTCCGATTCTACAATACGACTGTATCTCCCTTGTATAGGTAATTTATGTATTTGGAATACCGATTCCCTTGATGGAAGCGTTGGCGTTTCCTCTATCTTTTCTGTACCATGCTGGAAGTGATTACCGAAAATTATGAAACGCTTGCCGTAATCCACCAAGTATTCTGAACTTGAATCGCTTCCCATCAATTTGGAATGCTGGTATTGGATTGATTTCTCTTTGTAAAGTTGTAGAATAATCGCCTCACTATCAAGACAATACTATTCTATTATGCAATCTGAAATTGCTTTCTGTATACTACCTAGGGGCAAAGTAATATTCTCGCTGCATTGTATTCACTTACTCCTTGCATATTTTTATAGAATACAAATAGAATTTCGACTTAGTTCACGTGTGATCAACATTGACGTGGATCGTATGGATGGAATGGAATGGATGGTCTGTCCAAAGTGTTTGCGCACAGATAAACGACAGAATTCCTACCTCCCTTTCAATCATTACTTATGCACCAAAGACGGCAAGAATCAAAAATAGAACATGACTGAAACAAGTGGAGTCGTTTCATGTTGGAAGATAAGCGAATAATTCTATTTGTGTCTTCTACAGAATGGCTGTGCTCAAACGAGAGAGCAAATGACAAGTCAAAATCTCCTCGCTGAAAATGATGAAAATAGGATGGTCGGCAACAAAAGAAGAGGTTTTTCGTCATGGAAGGGGTCTGGATCGGCATGGTTAGGAGCCTACAAAAGAGTTGGATGAAAATCTATGAGCTGCCACTCCTAAGAAAGAGATTCGTGGAATGTTGCATCGAATTTGCTCTCCTAAGAATGTATATCGGATATAAAAGTGTTTCAACATGAAAGGGCAGAGTGTTTAGTTTCTCTCATTTTTATTCCAAATCTTTTTTCGAGACATTATTGCCTCAATTGGGTACAATAGGTTTCCACGGTTACCACGAGTCCTATTTCCTCAAAATATTCTTATGAACAAAAAGGGAGGTGTTTTGGAAGTTAAGGTGGAGAGTCCGACCACGCCAGTGTCGCCGCAGGCAGCTCAAGATCCCAAGGCCATCGAAAAGGACAAGGCGGTCACTAATTATCGTTTGACAAAAGACTCTGCTTGGGGTATGGTGCTTGTAGCATTCGCCTCCATTTTCGGAAGGTAATTTTTCGAAATCTAGTTTGATTGTAGTTTAATGTCTTCTCTTGTGAATCTGCTGGGTCAGGAGTATAAGATTCCTGCACCCACCATTACTTTCACTCGTTCATTATTCAACTTGGTCATAAACCTGGTTTGCTGTGGTATTGTGATGGCAAATCCGATTGGACCTTATAAGGAGGGGAAGAAATTCCTCTGGGTTATTTTCCGTGGTCTCTTTGGAGGCATTCAAATTACTTGTTATTTCTTTGCGTTCACTCAAATCCCCGTTGGAGATGCGACCACGTTAACGTTTACAGCTCCTGTGATCACTGGATTTTTGGCTATCTGTATGTTGCATGAGAGCTGGGGTTGGCTCGACGGAGTTGCTAGTTGCTTCTGTTTCGTTGGAGTAATTTTCACATCGAAGCCGGCGTGGTTGTTCCATACAGCTGTACGTTTTGAATTGTCCTCTGATTCTCGTAGAGTTTGAATGCTTTTTACGTAATGATTGCTTTTATCGGTTCGATTGCTGCCGCCTTTGCGTATATTGCGGTGCGCAAAGTCGGTCCTACCGTGTCCGTGTTCGTTCTGATCAACTATATCCTGATCTTCACGATGTTGATCAACATCTTCCAGAGCTACTACAAGCTTCACACCTTCCCTTGGCCGAAATCCACCACCAGCGTGAAGGGCTGGCTTTTGCTGGTTGCCACTTCGCTGCTCGGAGCGGGAGCGCAGATCTGCATCAACCGCGGACTGCAGTTGGAGAAGGCGGGTCCTGCCACCTCCATGCGATTCCTGGATATCGTCTTGTCCTATGTGTGGCAAGTCGTGATCAATAAGGATCCTACGGATGTCTATAGTATTATCGGAGCTATCTTGGTGAGCATCTGCTTGATCCTTATCGGACTGAAGAAGTGGTGGGTTGTCCGAAAGGCCAGACTGGAGTACGAGAAGTTGCTCGAGGACTAACGAACGAACGAACGAACGAACGAAATTCATTGCATGCAATGGACTTGTTTGTTAACAAACACGACAGAGCCAAGCGCCCCACCCATGATACATGAGAGCCAGGTTGTTCTCGTTCGTCGCCATCTTGATTAGGACGTCCACCTGCTTCTCGACAGAGATCGATTCGGTGGTTTGTACGCCGCGCCGCATTATCTTGTTCTCGATTTTAAACAACACCTGCGTCGCACTGGTGTTCACATCCTCCACCATTCGGTTTTCGTATCGATTCGGCTGCACCTTCCACAGATTCAGCGGATCGTGCAGGAAAACGCGCAGAATCGTGAGAATCAGCTCCTTGTTCTTGCATATCAAATCCATACAGAACTCCATTTGCTGCCGCAGCAAACCATCCACGCCCTCCATGCCCAAACAATCCACAAACTCACGCGTCAGGCGGAAGGGAACCGTCTCCGGAACGCTCAGCAGTCTTCCCTTTTCGAACAGAATCCCGAAGTCGATATGAATGAGCTGGCCGGTCTTCTGGTCAATCATGATGTTCCGCAAATGGCGATCTCCCAATCCCACTATATACCCAATGATGCTGTTAATGCTGAGCGTGGAAATGAAGTTTTGGATGTTGTGGTACCACAATTCTGGATGCACAAATCGCTCCAGAAAGAAGTAGTGGAACACCGGAGTGAACTGTTTCGTGATCGACTGGTAAAGCTCGAGACGTTGCTGCTTGTCCTGCTTCCCGATCTTCTCGAACTTCTTCAGAATCGTTCCATTTTCGATCTCTCCCGGATGATAACGACGATGTGCAGATCGCTTCTTCGTGCTCTGCCTACGGATCAAAAACAACATCAGACACAACGAGTCATCAACCAAATAATCTCGAATGGTTAGAGAGTGTCTGACATATTCCAAAACTCCAATATCGGAAGTGATGCTGACGACTTTATACGTGCGAAGAAGAATCTGGTCGACTTTCTTCGATACGAGCTTGGGATCATTCTGAACCTCGCGCAGAAGCTGGTTGAGCAGGTCGAACAGCTGCTGAACCACACAGTCCGATCGGATTTCGTCTCGTTTGATCACTTGAATGTACTCATCTCCCTGCACTGAGAAGCAACTCATCTTTCGAGGCGCTGTAATGCCAGTCGCCATCACAGAAAACGAAGATCCGAAATTGCCAATATAAGGAATTGAGCTTTGTGTCAAGGCGTCCATCGCGAGAATCGGAAGCGTCGCTGTGAGCACTGGAATCGAAGACCAGAGTTGGAGATTGGTGTGCGAAGTGAAGTGAGAAGGGAGTATTTGGGATTCTCCCTTCTTGTAATCCTTTGACATTAAGATGCAGTATGCGTTGAAGAGCGCTTCGTAGCGTTTTACGATCGTGATCGTTCCGCTGTTTACGTTGTGGAGAAGGGTTCTCGCTTGCGATGCTCGCATCGAGGGACTGGAAGCTTCCGAGAAGTAAATCGGAAGTATCTACAGTCGAAACAATCCGCATCACAAACGAATGGAATCACATGGAAGGGATATTGCTGAACGAGTCGGATGATCAGAGAAAGAAGCTCTCGGTTCTGTGTTCCGATCCGACTCACAAGCTTTCCATAAATGACATGATTCACAACTTACTTGGTGAGCCAATGGAACGAACACTTGCAGAGGACATCTCGGCAAAATAGATTGCACGATCGTTTCCACCGATTGCCTGAATGTGATTCTCACTCGATAAATAAAAATACTCGTCTTCCAAATTCTCGAACCACAAGCTAACGAACGAATATACGCTCTTCTTTGACATTTCCTCGCCTTCAAGAATTCCCTGAAGGAGTAACTGTAGAGTTAAGTCTCGATAGGTCGTGTATCGCTGATCGATGCGTTCCGGAGAGTTGGGTCCAGTTTCAAAATCCTTCAGCATAATCTTTTTCGCATTGAGTTGTGGATACAGCGCTTCTTTCTCCTTTTTCGATCTAGATCGCAGACACATTGCATTTGTACGCTTTATTGAACGCTCTTTCCAGCGAAATGATCTCCTGCTTGAGCTTATTCTAAAGGTTGAATGAGGGAAAACATAATGAACCATCGTATCCTGCATTGTGGAGTATTCTGCTCCTTCCAAGTATTGATCCAATCGCTTGTACAGATCATACGCGAGGAAGGCGATCGAAGTAAACGACCGCTCTATGTGCTTATCGTAAGAAACATCAACGACTTTGTAAACAAAGGGAGAGAAGAGCAGGAGCCAATGCGTCCTGCGTTGTGGTAACGGAATTGCTTAACATTTGCGTTTCTTCCTCCGTTGAGTTTCCATTTTCTAAAATGCTAATCATCACTTTTACAGAGGTGAGTCGTTTGCTTTCGTCCTCGTTCGCAGATGTCAGTAGCAGCTCTTCAAGTCTGCAAGTCATAGAAAGAAGCGAAGAGGAGGCAGATTGATCGGCTTCCCGAATCGTATTCACTGCCAGAGTTCGAAATCCCTGCTGAAAAAGCACTTTGGCTGTTTCTAGAAGCATCATTGAGCGATGATCCGCCGAAATCATAATCGGATGGGAACAGTCGATGAGCGAGGAGCGCAAGATCTCAAGCTGATATCGAGAGATATCGAGATATCTGTGACGAATTTCGTTTTCATGGGTCGACTCGTATTTTGAAAGCGTTGTGATGTGAGAAAGGACACTCTCTAGAACGCTTTGGACCGATTGCGTTGTGGTCGATCCACGCAAAATGTCCAAGAGTTTTACGTTCACCACAAACGATTGCTGTTCGAACGAAGCGGCTTCCGCTTGTCTGTTTTTCATGAACTTATTTATAAAGAAGTAAAAGCCAAGATCCGAAGTGAACTGACTCCATTCGTGGATCTCTATGGGTCAATCGATGCCTATCCAGCTCGCACTTTCACACAAAAAGAAGTCATTGCTCCGCTTGGCGATTGTTAGCTTGCATTCTCGCATCCACTCCTCATTCATCACGTCCTCCCACGAATTCAGCGGGTTTCGATATTCCATCTCCATGCGCAGTAGCAATCCCTCAAGAGAAGGCTCCAGCGTTTTCTCCAGCTCTTGACTTCCCTTCCACTCGGTCATTTGACGCCACGGCCAGCAAATCCAGGCTTCTTCGTCCTGAATCCCGAGCGCCTTCATGGCCGCAGACGTGATTTGCTGATTTGAAAACAAGGCGGAATACGCAGAAAAGCTATGAATAAGCATTCACTCAATGAGAGAGAAACGTTTGGAGTGTGTTTGTGAATCCTTGATAGTTCGTTAGGCATTGAATCAAGAGCTGTTGTCCCACTTGGCCACTTCGTGTGATCGCCATGGCTGCATGTGGATTGTTTACAGCGAGATAGTCGTTCACGATCTTCTCATTCAACCGGAAAATATCCGAGGGCTGCAGCGCGTTACAAACAACCGTATCTCCGCGCCGCATTCGCTTATCCTCAAACGAATCGTCGTCGTCGTCGTTGTTGTTGTTGTTGCTGTTGTTGGAAACCAAAGAGTTGTAATTGATAATCGTATTCCAGCTACTAATTCGATACGAAGATATTTGAGGCAAGGTGCACGAATGGACCCACAACAGGCTGGTGAGTGGTAATCGCAGATCGGAAGTCGCTTTCAAGAGCAATTCGAGAGAGATGTGAAGACGTTCGAGAACAATATCGAACGGTGATTTCCAACTGCTGGGGGCGTGGAATGAAAACAACACTTGCGATTCTTCTGTAGTGGAAGTGATGGAGCGAAAAGAATCGTTTTTGAAAGTGGCGAACACTCCTGCAGACTTCATGTGATCTTCGATAATGAGATCTCGCAGTCCATTCAGAGCGAATAAGCACTGCTTTTTAACAAATGCACTCGAATCAGAAAGAGCGCGCGTTAATACGACACCTGTCTGTTCTTTGTTGCATTGGATCGCGTCGTAGAGGAGTAAGGTGAGGATCTCCAGCGAACTACGTTGATCGGGCAAAGAAGATGTAAAGTGGTGCGCGGAAATGTAAGGAAGGATCTGTCGCGTGAAAAACTGGTCTTTGCAGCATGTCGCCAAATCCATAATCACTCCATCAAGAGACAATGGGTCTGCGATGGTTTTCGGCTTGATCGTATCGCATCGCTCCATCACCACTGAGGTGAAATCAGCAGAATTATGATTACTATTAGAAGGGTTTGGATCCTGTTTTGGCTGCTTGCACAGGGAGTGAAGCCAAGGCATTCCTTCGAATGTTTCGATACTCAGTAGTTGAGGATAGGAACTGAACAGGTTATTCAGAAGGATGAGATGCTCTTTCCACAACGCTTCTTGCGAGAAAAGTCCTTCGACCAGCCATAAATGGAGAGAGAGAAGATGCTTATGAAGCGCAGAGTGAGTGAAAGTTGAAGCGGAATCATTGTAAGGAGCATCGAGAATCGAAGAATCAAGTGAAAGAAGCTACATGAAAGAAGCTACATGAAAGGTACTCGAAGGAAAAGGGAAAACAAAGATTCGTAGTTGATCCCATCCAATTTGTTCTCTGAAAGGAAATGGTAAATAGCGGACAATGATTTGGAGAGAAGGGGTGGAGAAATGGAGAAAGAGTTTGGGATGGTTTGAATGAAATCAGAAATCGGGAGAATGGAATGTGTGGGATGATCTGTCAGAATTGTTAGCAGCATTTCCATCGGATTTGTGAAGAAGGAGTTGATCAGTTTGATGGAAGGACTGTTGGAATCTGTAAGTAATTCGCGCAGCTCCTGGTTATTCTCTGAATCGCTCAGAGTCTGCTGGAATTCAAGGAAGAAATCAAAGATATCTGGAAGTGTAGTTCCATTGCCCCACATCGATTCCTCCAGATTCACTGCTTAGTAACGAGAAATCAAATCGTACAGAGTGTGACGAGAAGAGAAAATGCTTTGCAGCTTTGAAGAAAGGGAAGCAGTCGATGATTTACTAATAGACAAGAAAACAAAGGCTTCTAGAGATAAACTAATTGAACAATAGAAAACGCAATAGTTCATTAGGAGAGAAAGCACATAAAGAACCTGATCGTTGTATTTTGAGTTATTACAAATCACCAAGTTCGTTTCAATGACATCGAGAAGCATAACGGGTCTCAGCAAAGAGTTGTTTCCTTGAAGAATGGTGGTGATGCATTGCTCCAAGCAAGTCTTGGATGATTGAATGCAAAAACTCAACTGCAAAACGTCGTAGACAATCGCATCGTTGTGATACGTTTTGAATGCCTAAAAGTCAAATGGAAGCAATGACTGCATGATACGGTGAGACTATCCAGTAATGTGCTTTGAATGGATTCATTGCATTGCGAAAGATCCAATGACCCAACCGTAATACATCGTTCTGCATAGATGATTCCGAGGAGTGGAACGATCATTCTTTGCGCCGATTCATCGAATGCATCGCACAGTTTCTCCAGAGCAAGAACGATTGGATAGGTCTCCAAATCTTCCGAGTACGAAAGAATAGGCAAAGAGCATGTCTTTAAGAAACGAGCAAACTGCGACAAAAGCGTTTTCAAGGAGTTCTCCTCCTAACGAATTAGAGAACAGTGTATTGAAGGCGCTACCTGACAAAGAATATTGTACAAGATTCCAGCACAGCAGCATTGGCGCAGCAGAGAATCTTGATTGGCAGAATCCTCATTAAGCGATGCAGGCAACTCAGAAAATGGAAGACAATACCTATTCAGTATCACCTCACGGAAAACGATTACAGCAGGGTTGATCCTACCAGGATCGATCCATTCATCATCAGTGCTGTTCCAATTTCCCCAAGTCCACCAGACAACTTGCAAGCGATGGCAAAGGAAGCAAAGGAGGGAATAGACTGCGACACAAGAATTGCTAAGCGGAATAAAAGAGTAGGAGAAGAGGCTGCCCGGTTCCATTCCTTTTTGATAAATCGAGCAGTGAACGACTCCAATAAATCGTGAGAAGAAGGATTCGAAGCAATGAATTGCAGTGTGGAAATGGCGAATGCAGACATTTCTTTATTCGCGTAAATGACAAAGGTTTCCAAAGAAAGAAGAAATTGCATCTGGACCTTCTTTTCACTTTGGAAATACACAAGATGAGCCAACTGGCAGATAGCCCTAGCCACACTCATCTCTTGACGCTTTTGATTTTCCTTCGAAAGAACGGTCTCAGTCACAAGATTGGCGTTCTCAATGATCCAATCATTCAGCTTGGATGATTCAGAAAGCCAACCGATAGCCAGAAAACACACATTCGAGTTGCCAAAAAACAATGATAAGAGAAGCTTTCCTTCTTCATTGTATTCATCAGACACGTACAGAGAAGATGCCAATGAGAGTAATGAGTGAATACAATTCCTTCGAAATGGCATCGTTTCGATGCATTGCGAGATTTGGCTTTGTAGGTTTTTAATCCAATGCGTGGGCATTTCTTTGAGGAGCAATCGAACCCAATCAAACGTCAGAAGCTCTTTCATCACATCATCATTGTTTTTAATCGATGTGGGCAAGTCATAACGAAAGGCCTCGTCAATATTTGGAATATCAAATAAGAAGAAATGAGGAGAGTCCATCATTCGATTTAGAATTATGCCAAAAAAGTCGAGCAGTGGCTGAACCACTTGCTGCGCATTGGAAATGGAACGGATCACTGAGACAACAAAGCGAGCCACGGCTGCCCAGAGCAGTCCTGCATTTTTGGAGTGGAGGTCGGAGCGCTTCAGCATTTGAACAAACAATTTGCAGTCAGAGAGAAGATCTGTGCATGTCGAAGCCGTTGAATCTCGAATTTCGATTTGATAGCACTGAAGAATGAAATCCCACAGAGATAGGCAGTGGCTAATTCGCAGTAGGCAGCTCTCGGGAACGTCTCCCTCGCACAGTTCTGCCAGAGTGGACTGTATTTCAGTTTTCAACTGCGGATGAAGATATCGCGCAAACACAGTAAAGTATGGATGCGTGGAAGAATCCGCGGGAATCTCGATTACAAAAAAGTCGTTTGTGGAGTAGTTCGCTTTGGTGAATTGCCGAATCATCAGCATGATCGCTTCTAACACTCCATGCAACGAAACTCTCTCTTGTAATGGCTGAACTGTAGTGAGGTTTGCGTGCTGTGCCGGTTTGTGAAGCAAGTGAATTATGCGATCCACTAAAGAATGACTTGCTTGATCCCAGAATTGGAAGGGGTCAGAAAGCAATGTGCGATGATAGAGGAGCGTGTGGATTTTGTTGTGAAGCGATTCTGACGAATACTCCTCCGAATTGAGTAAGCAGTGTGTTAAGATCGCGATTTGGTCAGAATCGGAGAGTGTGATCCACTTTCTCGTAAACAAATCTTTTCGCTGTTCGATCAAATCGTCCAGCAACGCATTGATCTCTTGATTCACACTTGAAGAACAATAAAGATCCATCTATCCGTCACTCCATCGAACGATTCACACTGGCAACGGCTTTGTGAGAAATGAAACTGCGATCGCGACTGCCTTCTCTTCGTGAATCAGCTGAAGTGATGTTCGTAAGAGATGAAGCACGCCAGAGAAAAGGAAAATGTAGGATTGGACGACGGAGTTTTCGAGAAGTGAAAGCAGCAAATTGATTTGAGAGAAAGGGCAGAGTTCTGCTGCAAAGTGAAGCAAATTCGCTGTTTGCAAGGCTTCGGAAAGCTGAAATGTTGCTCGTGAAGTTGTGATAATGTTTTGGATTCTCTACGCTTTACGATCGTTCAAATGAATACCTTTTTTGCTTCTTCCTCGACAGACTTACGGATCGATTCGTCTCCAAGTTGCTTGACATAACGAACGAGCGTTTGAATCATCGGAGAGTTCATGAGAGGGAAGAAATGATTCTGTCTTGCCTATAATGAATCGAGGAATTGCAAGTCTGATACGGTGTATACTCCAGTAATCACGATTTGAATGAGTTGCGAGACCTCTTTTGCGAATGCCTTCAGAGAATCTGCTTTTTCGGTGAGTTGCGTTGAAAAGCAAAGCGCTTCCAGCGTTGTCAAAAAGTTCGTGTCCACTCTTCCGATCAAGAAAAGATCCTTCAGAAGTCTAAATAAACGATAATGAAGCAGTGATTTACTTGACGATCTGGTGTCCATTGTTTTGGATGCCGACTTCCGTTTCGTGAGGGAAGGAAGACTTGAAAGGAGCGAGTAGGGAAAGAAAACCGGAGCGTTCGGAAATCGGAAGACATTTGGGGTTGTTGATTAGCGAGAAAAACTCAGAGAGAATGACCTCGAAATCTATAAAAAGACATAAAAACAATCATGAACAAGTGCATACCTTTCTGATTCACATAGTCAGGAACGATCATCCAGTATTCACGAATACATTGTAGCGCGAGGGAGACTTCGAGTGAAGTAGACTCCTCGCCTTCACTCGACGAAAGAACATAGTTCACAAGAGAAGTGATTAGTTTGTTTAACGATGATAATTGCAACACAGAATAACAATCACGACACTAGAATAGAACGCACATATCGGACCCTACGGAAAATACCTTGATACAGGTGCTTAATGAATAGCTAACGAGAGTTGATGATTGTTTTAGAGTTGTGTTGATCTGTTTGTGTACAATCTCGATAATATGGTTGCAGTACTTCTGAAGAAGATAATCGTTTTCCGAAAGTAGCAACGTAAAGCTGAACAACAGTTGAACCGGGGAAATATCCGACGATTTACTTGCTCGGAATTTTTCGTTAAGAATAAGATCCCTTAGCCGATCCAGAATTTCAAGAATATAGGACTTCTGTGGAAATAGCAATTCCATTTGAATAATCAGCTTTCTTCTCTCATGATCATTCAGCACTCTGCGAAGTAATCAAGATAAACAAGAAACCACTCCATGATGGCATCAGCAGCCTTCTTCCGCATCGCAATGCGCGAATTGAAAAGCTGATCACAGCTGTGAACTAACATATCCCGATAGTCCATCTTCAAATAGATTCTAACAAACAACACAATGTGAGCTCTACAGCTTCGATTCACCTCTTATTCCTCAGCCTCCGCCTTATCGTTCTTGTGGTGCTTTCTGGCCACACGTCCCTACACATTAGCAATTCGCCCTCACACAAAGCTTCTTACAGGACGACCGCCTCCATAAGGAGAGTTCTCAGCGAACTGGATGTGCTTCTCCGAATCCACATGAACCATGAACGAAGGAGCGTTCACCACCTGCTGGCCAACACGGATGTGGCGCTGCTTGATCAGCACACGAGCGTGGTGAATCGACTTGGCAAGGCCCAGCTTGAACACACGGGTCTGCAGTCTGCGGTCCATCAGCTTGGAAGTCGACAGCTCCAGAATCATATCGAGCTTCATCTCCTCCTCAGAGACGAGTCCCAGACGAGCCATGCGGCGAATGATGGCAGCTCCCTGGAAGATTCTGCGAGGATCATCCTCAGGAAGAGTCAGCAATTCACGAGCAGCCTTCGCATTAGAAATATGCACGAAATAATACCTTGCGGATCTTGGCGAGGACCAGCTGCACACGCCAGATCTCACGCTTGCAGCGCAGACCGAACTCTCCGCAAATACGGAGCTCCTGGTCCAGACGCTCGCGCTCGAAGGGGCGACGAGGAGTACTGAAAGTCAAACGATCTATAGGATGTTTAGAAACCGCAGTTCATTTCAGAGGAGCGTGCGTTACCTAGAACTCCTCCAGTTTGTCAAAATCGATTTTCTTTGCAACCACAACCTACAGTTTCTATGATGAGCACAAGTAACCATTGTAGAGACTCAAATCTATGCTAGTTTCAATAATCACAACAATGGATCACTCCGGAATCTGGAATTCAAATCACACCTGTTATTTTTACGACTCCGATTCTATCGTGAAATGCCCTAAAGAAATAGCTTAGACTCTACTTTCGATTGCTCACGTCTTAGTCATGAAGATAACTCTTTCTACTAATCACGTTGAAATTCCCGAAGGAGGTATTTTGGTTACTCTGTTTCTTCTAACGTGCTAGTGACCGTGCTCGTCAAGAATCGACGAGTGATCGTGAAGGGACCTCGTGGTACGCTGCACCGTGACTTCTCTCACCAGTTTGTGGACATCCGCAAGGAAGGAAACAGAGTGTACGTGGATCTCTGGTTCGGACTTCACAAGAACATCTCTGTTGTGAGAACCATCTGCTCTCACATTCGCAACATGTTCACCGGTGTGACTCACGGATACCGCTACAAGATGCGCTTCGTGTACGCTCACTTCCCCATCAACGTTGCTATCAACAAGGACGGAACCAAGGTGGAGATCCGTAACTTCCTTGGCGAGAAGCGTGTGCGCCACATCCACATGCAGGAGGGCGTGACCGTGACCAAGTCCGAGGCGCAGAAGGATGAGATCATTCTCGAGGGAAATGATATTGAGGCAGTTTCTATTTCTGGTTTGTTTTTGTGGCATGTCGTGATTTGTAGCTTCTCAGATCCATCTGTGCGTGCTGGTTCGTAACAAGGATATCCGTAAGTTCCTTGATGGTATCTACGTCTCTGAGAAGGAGTTGTGCGTCGCCGAGGAGCAGGAAGATGAGGAATAAGCCGGTCCGTTTTCGAGCAGTAGAAAGTCCTTAGTGATGTTTGTTGGAAACGGGAGTTTCATAGATGCTGTCATCTTGAAAAAGCACTACGTTTTCATGATTTGCACGCCATTTTATTCTCATTTTAATTTTCTACATTGCCATGTTGCTCGACAAGGTGGATCGCATCGTTGATCAATATTTACCGAAGGAGTGGGTGCCTGTGCCATTGCTGACGCATAGATTCGTTCGTATTGGAGCCTTCCTTTTCCTTCTCTATTTAGTATATCAGGTTTTCCGTTTCGTAAAGTGTACTTGTTCTTGATCCCTCTTTGACTGTTAGTCCTTGTCTACTACCTCCTTCCCGGAAAGAACTTGAAGAGATGCTACGGAGAGTGGGCTATGGTGACTGGAGCTACGGATGGCATTGGTCTCGGATATGCCAAGCGTCTGGCTGCTCGCAAGATCAACGTCGTTCTCGTGGGACGCTCCCAGGAGAAGCTGGATAACTGTGAGAAGGAGATCAAGGAGAAGTACCATGTGGACGTTCGCACGGTGTGCTTCGATATGAGCCAGAGCACGGAGGAGCTGAAGCAAGTGCTGGTTCCCATTTTCGAGAAGATTCCTATCGGCATTCTGGTGAACAACGTGGGCATCTCGTACGAGTACGCCATGTTCCTCACCGAGCTTCCTGAGGACCGTCTCCGCACGATCATCCATCTGAACTGCGAAGTGACCGCGATGGTGACCAAGATGTGCGTGCCCGGCATGATCGAGCGCAAGCGTGGCGCCATCGTGAACGTCAGCTCTGCCGCCGGAATCATGGCCTGCGGAGACCCGCTGTACGACATCTACTCGGCGTCGAAGGGCTTCGTGGATCTGTTCTCGCGCTCTCTGGCGACGGAATTGAAGAACAAGCACATCGTGGTGGAGGTAGGTCTGCGAAGCGTGGATGAGTGGTAGTGCCATGCGCCGTACTTCGTGCCGTCCAAGCTCAGCAAGATCCGTCACGCGTCGCTGATGTGTCCTCCTGCGGACGTGTACGCGGAGGCTTCGCTGGAGAAGATCGGCCGCGGCCCCACGACGGTGGTGCCGTACTTGGGACATCAGCTGCAGCACTTCCTGTATCATAGTCTGCCGTACCCGGTGCTGCAGATGTTCATGATGATGCATCATATGGATATTCGCAAGCGAGCTTTGAAGAAGCGCGCGATGAAGAAGGATTAAGTGATTCTTTTAGAGGGTGCGATTGTTTGTGCGAACAAAGAGAATGGAATGGTTAGGAGAGCTGTGGGGTTTCGTAGGTTTGGTAGCCTGGGAGCTGGTTTGTAAAATCGAGCATGTCTTCGGTGAGCTCGCCGGAAGGCTCCGTGATGGAGATCGAGGGGCAGGAAACAAAGCGGGGAAGCGAGTCTTCGTTCTCGATTACTTCGATTTCTTCGCAAGGTTCGTCCGAATCGTCCGTTTCCTTGATCGCTTCATATTCCTCCTCGTCCAATCCCTCTTCGATGACGCTGATGCCGCCGTCGTTTGCTGCTTCTTCTTCCAAAAACGCGCGAATGAGCATCTTCGAAGCCAGCAAATCCTCCGTCCCTTGCGACTCCAGCTTCAACAGACTGCAATAAAACCGATCGAACGATTTTCGGTCCACGTAGCGATGATACAAGTAGGGAAGCAGCACCGAGGGACAACTACTCTCAATCCAAAACCGCACATCGACAGCAGATACAGCGATTTCTCTGTTGGAATGCTCTTTTTCAGCGCAGGAGAGAGAACACTCTTGCGGAGAAGCGCTTCGGCCTTGTCGATCGACGCGTAAATCGACGGAAGATCGTAGTCGCGCTCGATTTGGAAGGCATAGATCGGATCTTCTGCGGGGTATGGAGGGAGAGGTTTGGAGAAAGTGATGGAGTAAAGCTGGGGAGTGAAAATGGAAAAGGAAAAACGAACGACGGTTTGGAGAGAAGAAAGCGACTGAGGGGAAGAAGGAAGCATGTGGTGACGAATTGCGTTGAGATCTGCGTTTTGCTGTACGGTTTGAGAGGTTTGGAACGGTATATATCGATTGAATCCGGAATACAATGAAAGAACCATCGATGACACCGTGGACTGCGGATCCAAACTTAAGATGGTTCCGTGACGATCTGCAAACAAGGTTGCGAAAAATGCTAGGCAACAACTCTCCACAAGTGTTTGAGATTGACCTTGTTTCTATCTAGTCACTGATCAAAGGCAGTACTACGTCGACCCACAGAAACGTGTCTTTGACAAGGCTATAAAGAGACTGTTCGCCCCACGAAATGCTAGGTGACAATGATTTCATCCGATTTGACTGTCTACAATGATTATGGTTATTATCAATCTTGTAGAATACATTGCTGCTAACTCCGCACGAAATGCCATCGTGCTTTCTTCCTCTTCAAACATTCCGAGTTTTGCCTCCCTTTCTTTCATATATTTGGCGACTAGGTCAGAGGAAACTCTATGGAAAACAGTGTTCTCCTTGATTACAGCTCAGAATGGGGATTTACGAGAGAAGTGGCTGTTGCAAACGTTCTGAGTCTCGCAGTGTGGTCTAGAAATCGGCTGCAGGCCCAATATCGAGTTAAGCGATACATTCTCCCAGCAAATCGCTTTTTTTGTTGATTACTCATCTATTATTATTGTTATGAGCAAAATCGCCTATTTCATTTTTCCATTTTTTGCTGCTGCATATTGCATTATCTACTGTTCTATACACAAAACCTTTCAATGTAGTGTTCGCTTGGGTGGGTGACTTTTTAGTCTATTTGACGAAGAATACTGTAATATACAGAGAGCCGAATCAACCGGTTAAGGAAAACACGTCTTCCACTGGACTTATCCTTGTTGTTGTCCAAACTCTTCATATTAATGAAGAAATTCGTCACTTTGCAAATTCGATTGTTGCCAGTGGAACCAATGCCTCCGTTATCGTGATTAGTTCTGATGGTTCGTTTGGTAGCCTCAACGATATGCAAGAGTTGAATACGAACGAGACTTATAAGGTGATTCATTGCGATTCCAAAATAAGCACCTCGTTAGTATTCTCTGTAATCGCCTATAGCCAGAACGACCGCGTGGCAATTATGAATTGGAATGCGATCGTTGCCGATAACGACGAGGCCAGAAGTTTGTACGTTGCCCGAGCCCAATACACCATCACGCACTCCAGGCGTACCGTTTTGTTTCAGGAAAAACTCCTTCAATCAGAAACGGGTTCCTATTACCTTGGAATCTATCTCTCTTCCACCATTCGCTCCATCATCTCCAGTCCTTGCTTTAAAATCGAGTATCGTTCCGTAAATCCGCTTGCTGAACTCGCGAAATACCAAATGATCTTCCTTTCCCTCCATGACCCTTTCTGCTCCGTTCGATTACCGAACGAGCCCACCAACAACCGCACCGCGGTTATTTTCACCGTGTTTAAGCGAGACTACTGGGAGAACGTGCTCACGAGCATCTGTTCACAGAGTTTACCGCCTGTGATGATGGTGTTCATCCAGAACGAAGCTCATCAGAGCTTCCAAATGAATCGAATTCCCGCTGTTTGCAAAACACACAATATCGAGTTCCACCATGTGTGGCTGTCGAATTGGAACTCTTTTTGTTATATGCGGCATTATGTGTTGGTCCCTTCCGATATTCATAATACGGTGTTGGTCGATGATGATCAGGTTTTGACTCACACGGCGCTGGAGTCCGGGCTCCGCTATATGCGGGAGAATCAGTGTGTCACTTCGGAGAGGGGTGGAGTCTATCGATCTCGCACGGAGGGACATGCGAATTGGAGAATCGTGACAAGCAGCTCGATTGATTCCAAGACGCTTGTGGATTATTCGTTCATCCCCTTTTATGAGGATTCGGAATGGAGAAAGAGTGTGTATGGAGTGAAACCATTTTCTCCGGTGTTTGGCGATATTTTGTTTGCTTCGAATGCGATTTTCGTTGATAAGAAGATACCTGCTTGTGTTTATCCAAGTTTCAAGTTCTTTGATAAGGATGAGGGTGAGGATGTACACTCTACATCAAAGAAGAATACTGCTTTATATGATTTTCATTACGACAGAATTGCTAATTTTTGGATGGATAAAGGATATCAGCCTGTTTTTGAACGTTCTTAAGGTTGTTTGTTTGTAGAACACTCAGTAGATGCATGGATAATAATATTATTACACCTACAGGAAACTTCTTTACGCAGAGTCATGTCCGTTTTTCTGCGGATTGGTAATGATGTAGAGAACTCACTTCAAACAGTCCTGTTACGCAATGGCCGTTAGTCTTATCTTCATGATAGTACTTTTGGGCTATTCCTTGTTGTTAATTTACGGAATACTACATAGGTACCTATTTTGAAATTCACTCATTGGAAAGGTCAGTTATTCCATATGCAGATAGTTTGATCCTGACATTTGAAGTAATTCCGATAGTCTGGAGGATTTTTATTCTGATATTTGCTACGCAGAGACATTCTGCCGTATTTCCTAGATTACAATTTGATATCTAGATGCAATTGTTCTTTTTCAGGCTTACTTATGTTCTCGGTCAGCTACTCATTTTTTTATTTTGTGGTGGTGTCATTACTATAATATGCGCATATAAATTATTATTAACGTTGGAGATCGTCGTTTTGTTGACTGTCTAGACAACTGATGGATGCCACCTCGTTATCCAAAAATATTGTATTGCAATCGATTCCAATTTAAATTAGTGTCATTTTATGTTAATCTTCTTACTAATTCTATTTATCATTCTCGCCTCGGTGGAGCTCTACGTTCGAGGCAGAATTTCTTTCATTATTTCCAAGCCGTTCGTTCCTTTTTCACGAGTTTCCACTAGACGAGCCAAGCGCATTTCATTCTTTCTCGACCTCATATCTGTGGTGGCTGTGTCGATTTTCACCTTCGCAGACGCTCGTACTTCTTGTTCCTCCCGTTTTCTTTTAGAATTCTACATGAAATACTCTGTCTATGACTCGCTTTTTTTCAAATATCCTTTCAATGTGTGGAGAGTTGTGTGTGGGTGTTTGTTTTCATTGTTTTGCTCTGATGGCTTGGCTTGGCTTGGCTTGGCTTGGCTTGGCTTGGCTTGGCTTGGCTTGGCTTGGCTTGGCTTGGCTTCCTTCACGCCAGATCGATTCTAATCTTCGCTCTCTCGCTCATCCTCGGCACATGCGCCTTCTGTGGCTTCCTCGGTTTCGTAGCCCCTTCCCTCCCCTTCTCATCAGATCTGCAATAGCCACTTCCTCCTCGAGACTTCCCAGTGGATCTCCGGATTCATCATCACCTTCTATGCGATCTACTTCCTCATCCTCATCGCCGACGTGCGTCTTCACCCTCCCTTTCATCGCTAGTACGACGGCGTCATCAATCGTTTCGCGCAAAACTGGGTCGTCTATCGAGACCTCTTCAAAGTCTCGTTTTTCGCGTATAACGATCCCATCGCGTGGGGCGACGCCATAAAGCACTACTACTGGGTCGCTCTGCTCCTCCAGCCCGTGAACATCATGCTCCACATCTTCCTTGTATTGCTTTCCTCCTCGAACGCTCCCTTCCAGATTCGCCATTGCAAGGACATGCACAAAATCCTCGAGGAACGCCTCATTTTCTCCTATTTCTGCGTCGTCAACTGCGATCGGACCGGCACGATCAGCGAGGAAGACTTGGAGGTACGTCGCCTTCCCGCGCAGCGATCCGTAGCAATTCTTCGCGAAGCTGCGGATCCCTGTGAGCTCGACGGAAATCACGGAGATCATCAAGCGGTGCAACGGAGTGGACGGAATTTCGTTCGGAGGTTTGCGCGGAAGCTGGAATGAATCGAAGCGTTCGAAATGATCGTGTCCAACGAGAAGGAAATCCTCGAACGCACCGATATCGATGTGCTCCACGCGATTCTCAAGAACGAGGAGTCGGTCTCGGAGGCCGAAGTCCAGTTCATGCGGTCGTTTTTCGAGCCCGTGACGTTTTTGTTCCGCGGCATCCACGAAGTGGAGAAACTGCTGCGGAAGCAGATCATCGTTCGCGTACCCTTCGAACTCGCGAACTCCATCTCTAGGACATCGTGTACGTGGCTCTCGGCACGCTTCTCTCCTTCTTCTTCTTCCTTCTGCTCTTCCGCATCGCGCAGGACCAAGTCTACGGTCAGTACTGCGGAATGATCGCTTCCTTCCACGCCACTCACTCCTTCAATTCCTCTACCCACGGTTTTCCACGCGATATCGTCTTCAGCTCCGAGTTTCCCGTGGGAATGATCAATTTCCGCGGGGTTCACTACGAAAAGGCGGAGCTGAGCGTCACGCGATTCGCGTGCATTTCCCGCGTCCTCGAAGACGAAACCTTCACGAGCGTTTCGTTCCAAAAGCAGAACGCGCAGTGGACGGCGACGGTGTGGAGCAACGCGGACGCTCTGGCGATCTACGACAAACAATCGCTGTCGGGGAGTTACAATGCCGCGTGCGTGAACGAGATCACCACGCTGACGCTTCCCTAGTAGGCCGCCACTGAATGAAGGGTTGAGCGTAGTGGGAACGCGCTGGATTTATCGCTCACCTCGCTGAAGGGGAGCTACGACATCATTCTGACCTTCCCCGAGCCGCTGTGCGTGCGATCGCTGGTGATCCAACACAAGACCGGAAACGTGAAGATGCAGAACCTCGATTTCCAGCACAATGTGGCCATCCGATCGCGTGGAAACCGTGGAAACGATCGAGTGTAGAGGCCATCGAGGGACTGATCGGGTTTATTTCGGACCGTAGCGCGAAGGAGACGACGCAGTTCGTGCTGTATTGCTCGATGGTAGGGAACGAAGCTTGCGTTCACCGCAGATAAAGCTGAATTTGGTCGAGCTGGACCTCGGTTTCCACGATTTGGTGATGTACTTCGACGACGGGTTGCTGAATCTCATGAGCTCCACGTTGTTCGCGCGCTTTTTTCTTCGCCTCCCGCGTAGATCGGCGCGGACCTCGCTGTATCTCCACTCGCAATCGGCAGCGATGGTGCTTCGGAACATAACGTGCGGGTCGGCGATGCTGGTCAACACGCAGGGTGTTATTTCGGTGAAGCAACTCACCCTGTTGCCGGGGTCGCTTTTTAATGTGGGCAGCGAAGGAGAGGCGTGCGAAACAGATGACCACGCTGACGTCGAATATCGTGCTGGAGGCGCCGTCGATCGCGAATGGAACGGTGCTGGGCGCGACGGGGAGCGGGGACATCACGCTGAAGATCGATAGCGCGCGGTTCGCGGGGCGAATCAGCCTGTATGCGCGATGTAGGGGAGGAGGAGAAGAAGAGTGAGCGGCAGATGGATCGATTCTTTTGAAAGGGTCACAGGCGAACGTGGTGTCGAACAAGGGAGGAACGGCATTCTTCGTGTGTTTGAAGTGCAATGCGAGCACGGGGATCATTCATCTGTACTCGAATTCTGGCAATGTGGGGGAAAGAGAACGCGTTGAAGTGTAGATCATCGCGTATTTGTAACACCTATTATTATTATTATTATTATTGTCATTTTTATACTCTCTAATCATTGTCGTTCTTGTTCTATCAGTTTATTCGCAACAAACACGCCACACAATTCACAGACCAGCAACAGTCCACAAATCCTCGCCATCCACACGCCGCCACCTTTATTAATACACATACCCGTTCGCGCTTCCATACGGCGATTCCTGATACCCCACCACCTGATACCGCGGCGGCTCCATCACCACCATCGGCGGCTCCATCACCACCATCGGCGGCTCCATCATCGCCATTTCCATCCTCGGATCCCTCGGCACCACGACAATCTGCGGCGCCGGCTGCGGTCCGTACTGCTGCACATACTGCGGCGCTCTAGGCGGCGCCAGCTGCGGCATGTACACCACGGGCGACGGCGAGGCCGCGAACCCGGACATGCCCGGAATACTGGGCCCTCCCTGCAGCTCGATGGACGCCGACGCGAGGCTGGAGGCCGAGTCGTAAGCAGGGTTGCGCATGGGCTGCGTGGCGGGATTGGGCGTCGGGAAAATGCGCTGCGAGGAGGAGGAAGAAGAGGGACGGAAAGGCTCGGGGTTGACCGAGGAGCGAGGGATGGAGGTGACGTCGAGGACAGGAATGTCGAGCTCGCCGTCCTCGGTCTCCTTCTCGACGATGCAGTCGGAACAGGCGTAGACGAGCTGGAGCATGACCGAGGCTTTCTCGATGTGCTCGTTGGTAAACGAGTCGTCGTAGACGTTGCCTTCCAGCAAGTCCTTCATGTGGATCACGATCCGTCCGATGTCACGGTCCGCTTGATAGATGGTGATGGTCAAGTTTTTCTTTGAGGAGATACGAGAATAGTCGATCATGAAATGCTCGTATAGCTGACCGGAAGGATCGCCACTCGTGGAGGCAACCTCATTGCCAATGCGCAGGATCATTTTTAGATCTCGGTTCTGGCTATCGGGGGTCTTTAGTATTACATTTTGTAGATTGGCAAAAAGCATAAAGGGACTGTGCGAACTCAATTTTTTGCAGGACGGGCATAAAAAGAAGGCATCGGAAGGAACGTATTGAATTTTTACCGAGAGGTAACCAAAAAGACTGCCCGACTTTGTTTCCATATCAATGTCACATTGACCAAAAGGCTCATAATAAGAAAGCTGGCTAGGATCAAAGACACTCGTAGCCACTAAGCGTCTACACAATTAACTGAAGAAACACAAAATAAATACTTTCCAAAGCAACCCTTATTATCATACAGTGAAAATGTAATGGGATTTGTAGCTTTCAGCTTCTGAAAAGAAGCTAGGAAGTAGATACCTGAATGCCACTCAGGACGGCTTGTACATTCAGACCAAGGTGTCCACTTGTCGTTTCCACAGAATGACACCTAAGGTAAAGTACATGAAGGACTTCTACCTTGACACTATAGTGAGACTCATCGTTCAGATCAGATGCAGAATAGACACATACTAATACAAAATTATCGCGTTTCATAGAAAATTAATGCTAATTATAAAATATTTCCGAAAATGTAGTAGCCAAAAAAACGGCTCTCTATAGAATTCGGTCTATCACAAACACATCACTTATCTTTCAACTCGGAAATCATTCGTTTCATAAAGGCGGGCTGGTTTGAGCCAAGTTCCTCCACAACTTCGTCTAGTGCTTCTTTATTAATTGCCACATTCAGATCCTTCGGAACGTGATATTCCTTCATGTCGCGAACCTTCTGATCCACTCCTGCACCCACATCCACTCCCTCCACATTTCCACTCCCTCCATCATAGAGGGCATTTTTCTTTGATTTACGCGCATTCGCGGGATTGGGAGCTACGTTCATTGACGGTTTCCATGCCGCGGAGGTCGAAGAGGACGATGGCTTCTGATCATCAAAACTCGTGTTCTTTCCCGCTTTGAGCGACTCTAATACACTTCCAAACGATGAAAGATAGGCTCCCGAAGGGTTCTTTGACTTTTTCGACGACTTTGCAGAATTCGCTGTCTTCGCTCCTTCCTCGCCCGAATCCTTCGTATTCTTCGTATTCGCCGCATCTCCCGCATTTTCCGACCCATTCGTCGGGTTTATCACAGTATATGTCGATGTGTCGCGCGCATTGCTTTCCTTGCCTCGCAATCGCAACACGGGCGTCGGTGGATTCATCGCCGCTTCGCTCGACGTCGGCGGAGGTAGCATCTCACTAAGTCGGTTGGTAATGTCCAGAATGTCCTTCTCTGCGGTCCGAATCTTCTCTCGGAGGATCTGCTGCTTCGTCTCGCGCACCTTCCGCTCGTTCTCCCGCATAAACTGCTCCAAGGGGTCGTCCCCGTCGCCCTCGGCCTGTTCGGGCTGTGCTTCGCTTGCCGCTAATTCCGCGCGGTAGAACTTCAAGCTCTTCTCCTTATAAGCGAGCTTCTCCTGCAGCGCCGCGCGCGATTCGGGCATCGTCCTGCGCGTTCTGCGCGTCAGAAAGAAAAAAAAGCGAGAAACCGCTTGCGATCGGTGCGATCGTAGTAACTGTCCTCCTCGTCGAGCAGCCGCTCGCGCTGCCCGCGTCGCCGCGCCTCGCGCGATCGCCGTCGCTCCACGCTGCGCGATCAAATCGACCAACCAATCAACAAACCTGTCGTACAAACTCTGCTCCATCGAATCGATCTGCTCCTCCAGCTTCGCCAGCGCCTCCCTTCCATTGGTTCCACCGTTTCCACTGTTGGAGCGTCGCTGCGAATTCGATCGAAGCTTCGCTCGCTTGGCGCGGAGCTCGGCGATCTTTTGGAATTGGCGCTGCTCCTGCTCGGTGAGATCGCTTGGGTCGAAGTCGGCGCCGAGGATCGAGCGGTCGGTCTCGTTCTCGTTCTCCAGCTATTGATAACGAGGCATCCCAACTCCGACAGCCATCGCATCATCATCTGCATCATCTGCATCCCACAATCCATTCGCAATCTCTTGCTGGATGCGGCGATTCACGTCGGAGGGACGCTCGCCGAGGAAGCGAATCCGAATCGGAGCCACTTTCACTTTGCCCTGCGATTCGCTCGACGTTTTGGAGGCCTTCGCTGGCTCTTCGCGAGGCGTCGGACGGTCTTCCGGACGCAGCTGCACTTTCGTTTCGGGCTGCATTTTGTCGGTGGGGCCTGTGAGCGTGTACATGCGAAGACTGCCGCCGAATTGAATGTAATCTCCGACATGGAGCGGATAGTATTGCTAGGCTAAAAAGAGAGAAGAGAGAGAGCGTACGAACGCTTTGATTTGCTTGCCGTTGATGAAGCTGCCATGGGTACTTTTGAAATCGAGCAGCTCGATTCGTCCTTCTTTGCCCATTTGAAGCACGGCGTGGATTCGAGAAAGCGAAGGATGCTCCGGAACGATATCTGACACATCCGCATTTCTTCCTGGAAGTCAAGCAAATCGAAGAAATGGAATACCGATAAGGTAAAACGGCTGTTGATCGATCGGAATTGTTTGTAACAAAACACCTCCCTTCACGACCTCGAGAGCATAGGGGCAATCGGGAGTATGGGACCACTCTGGTATGGTGTACCCAGCAAACGCAGCTCGCTCCGTCAATGAGTACCTCTATTCTTCATTCGGCTCAAAACATCCCTACAGTGCGAGAACTGGGTGTCTGGGATTCACTGGTAGGTTGTGAGTCCATCTATCTTTTCGAATGGTTAAAAGATTGGGGGAGGTGGGGGCCCACAAATTGTTTCACGTGATAAAAACACTCAAAAATGTTGACGATCAAGGTGGAGAGGGGTGGAGATATTCATACATACACCCTACTCGAAAAGTTGGGAAAAGGAAGTTATTCGCAAGTTTTTAAGTGTAAGAGAACAATCAATGGACACGACGAGATTTTTGTGTGTTTTTTGGATGGGACTTATCGTGCAGGCTGTTAAGGTATTTAACAAGTCTTTCTTGCGAAACGAAAAAACATGGAAACGAGTAAATGGGGAAATGCAGTGCAGGTCTGCATTTGAGAAAGTGGAGCTTGAGATTGCTCTTATGAAGAAACTCAGCCACCCCAATCTAGTTAAGCTAATCGATGTTATTGACGACGAGCATGCCGATAGGTATCCTCTTTTAGTGTATTTCCCAATACAGATTATACATGGTTATCGAGTATGTCGAAAGGGGTCAGATTATGGTGTACAACCCCGCAACTTTAGAGTTCATCTCTCCTGTAACAAGTATTTGCTTTTCTTTCTTTTATTTTTACTATTTTACAGAAACCATCATTCCAGAAGACAAAGCACGTAAATATCTATATGATATTATTTCTGGACTCGAGTATCGTAGTTCCTTTCCTGTTTCTGCTTATCTCCTCAGTTCATCTCCACAAGGTCGTTCATCGCGACATCAAGCCCGAGAACCTCCTTCTTACCAACGATGACCATGTGAAAATTGGCGATTTTGGTGTTGCCCATCTTTTCGAGACCTGCAGCAACGCCCAGAAGACTCTCCGCGATTCGTTGCCCGAAACAACACGTCCTCTGAACCGAATCACTCGCTCGCAAACCGGCTTATTGGACAACACAGCGGGGAGCATTTACTTCTACCCTCCCGAGAGCACGACCGAGAAGGCGTACAACACGTACGCGGCGGATGTAGGGGTGAGGGAAGCGAAATCACGTAGATTTGGGCTGTGGGCGTGACGCTGTACATCATGGTGGTAGGAAGACTGCCCATCTACAATCCCGATCTCATGATGTTCTTTGACGATCTGATGGAGAAGGAGATCGAGTACCCCGCCTCGCTCTCAGCCCCGTTGGTATATCCTTCAACCCATGTGCGGATTGCTATTCTTTTCCGAGAGACGGAGGCCTTAACGACACTGATTTGCTTCAGAAATTCCTGTGTCGCGATCCGCTGGCTCGGATTTCCATCGATGAGATCCTTGTACGCTGCGCCCCGCCTCTTCAGTGTGTAGGATCATCCCTGGATGAAGGGTGCGGGCGATCTGCCCGAGAAGCGCGAGGTGCAGACTGTGGAGCGCACGGCGATTTCGAGCGAGGAGATCGGAGCCGCGCTGACGAAGCGATGCCCGGTAGGCGAGGAAAGCCGAGTTGACTGCAGGACTCGCGGTCGGTGAGCCCGGTGTCGGACGATCTGCCGAGCAACGTGGAGGACGAGGAGAGCGAAGGAGAAGGAGAAGGAGAAGGAGGAGAAGAGGAGGGCGAAGCAATCAACGAGACGGAGAGGGAGACGAAGATCAAGATGCTGGAGCGCCTCCTCACGACCCACTACGACGCCTCGAAGTGCGTCGTGCTATGCCTTGTTTGTTGCAACAAACACTCCACGCTCGGTGGCTCCGCCAGTACAACTGGCCCATGCACTGAATGAAATAGTAGCTGCTTATCGTATAAAAGAACACAAAGCCCAGCAGATTCCCCACGAACTCCCCGTCCACCACGTGCAGCGCCTCCACCTCCAGCTCTACTCGTCAATTCCCACGCACACGCCCACTCGGGAATGCCCGGTGCACGATCTCCAGACTCATCTCCAGCAGCCGGCTCGTCGACTTCGCTCCTTCGAACAGCGGCAATCCCCAGCCAGAAAGCCGGTTTCGCACCCAGTCGCCCACGCCGTCCGCGCGCAGACACTCCATTCCCGCGAACACACAACCCACCAGAACCGCGGGGATCGACAGCTGCAGGCACACCTCGAAGATTTGCTGGCCGATCGCGAACATCGCATTAGGGAACCGAATCTTTCCCATGTCCGCCCCCGGGTTCCCGCGGTTCCGGTGAATCGCGTCGATCATTCCCGCGGAAATCCGGTCGCGGATTTCGCGGCTTTTCCCGAGATTTAAGAAAACCTGGAGCTCGTTTCGGAAGAGAAGAATTCGAAGCGAAATCCACGCGAAAACCGCGATAAAGCGTGTCGTCGCCCACAGTTCCGACGTGACTCTGCGAGTGACGGATTCCTGAGGGGATTACAGGACACCGCCGATCATGCGGCCTTCGAAGCGATCTAACGAGACTGCCGGGATGCTGAGCAAAATAATCAGCAGGGGAAGGTGCGTCGCAACGGCGGAGAGGAGAGATCTCGATCCGAACTCGACAAGCATTCCGTAACGGAAGGCACACATCACGAGGGAGACGGGAAGCAGGCCGAGCGAAAGCGCGAAGAGAACGGAGAGGAAATCTTTTTGGAGGGAAATGTGGAGCGGAAGTCCAAGTTGGCGGGAAAGTGCCACAAAATTTTCTTCGAGGTGGCGCCAGGAGGACAGAAGATCGATTCCGAGAAGCCGATCGCTGACACTAAGTAGACAGAGGCAGAAGATGACGGAGAAGATGTAATAGAAGAGGAGTTGGGCGAGACTCGCCTGGGTCTTCTCTCCGTTCTGGATGAGCGTGTAGAGGCAGAGAAGACAGAAAATAAACGTGAAAAGGAGAAGATATAGGAAAATGTGGGACGACGGATATCCGAGCACAAAGCTGCGGAACAGAACGACTCCCACCGTTATAACACAGATTCCGAGCAAAAAGAGCAAGCACCAAAAGTGATCGCGATAATTCAATCTACCCTTGAGATCTTGGACGGTTCCTACTTATCTATATAGAAGCTCGTTATATCGCGTTTTCCTAGCTCCAAAAGAGCTTCCACTTTCTAAACCTTAAAAAGACATAAGATTGAAAACGTGTGGCACCTCGCTAACCTCCTTCTGCACATATCCATCCTTGTCTTTGCAATTCTTCGGAATGGGCTTTAGGACACCTTCGCACGCAGCGTCGCTGGGCGGTAGATAGATCGTCAGTCCACGAAGAATCTAGGCGGTAATACGGGGCACGTGCCTTTACGCGATGAAGCAGATTTACAACGGGGTCAATTCGCGATATGACAAACGCCGAAAGGATAATCGTAAGAAATTCAACATCAAACACGGCCATCGTTTAGATATATATACCACAAAAATATGAAGCTTCCAAAAATGAAACTCCCGAGAAGTCTGTTCATTTTGTGAATTGAAGAATCGAAATGGAATTGGAAGAGTGAAATCGTGTAGGCAAAGCTTTGCAAAAACATTTAAAAAACGATTTTTACGGGTGTTCGTTTGTTGGTTTGATGTCGCCAAGCCTCTCATCGATTTTTAATTATTTTTATTATTTCTGCTCACCGCATCCCTTCCTCGTTTCCAACAAACAGTCCACCACATAAATATATATAGAGATATATATAATACAAGTTCAACCCTAATCATCCAAGTAATCCAACATTGAATCGAACACAACATCTCCCTGCTCCCTCACACTCTCATTCCAATGCGTCTCTACCCCTCACCCTCTCCCCATGTCCCTACGAATCTCTCGTAAGCTCCCCTGCAGCATCGCAATTCGCTTCGGATGCCCCGACACGAACACCGACAAGAAGTGCGACCCGCCCAGAATCTCCAGCGCCTGCAAGCAACAATCAACCTGCATGCCCTTCGCTTCGCTCACCACGCGTCGCAGCACTGCGTCCAGCTCGTTCTCCACTCCCTGCAGACTCAGCAAATGGCAGTTATTGATCAGATCCTGCGTCAATGCGAGCCAGGCCAGCGTCTACATCGCACCCGCCAAAAACGCGAACTTTCCGCGGGTTCCCGATCGGCCACTTGGCCGCGAGGCAGCGCAGGCAGCGCGAGAGCGCGGCGCGGCTGGTGTAGAAGAGCTTGAGCATGCCCTCGAGGAGGACGGGCCGGTATTTGGAGGCGACGCCGCGAATTCGAAGAAGCAGAAGCAACGAATCGATGAGGAACCGCGGGGAGAGCCCGGGAACGTCGTCGCCGGGGCGGAGCGGCGCGGTGTGTGCGTAGAGGACGGAGCAGTAGGCGGCGTAGTGAGTCTGGAGTGAAGGGAGAGAGGAATAAAAACGCGAAGAAGCGAGGTCCAGAGCTCGACGAGGCGGTGGATTTGGCCGTAGGGAGTGCTTTGCACGTAGAGATCCTCGTCGGGCAGAAACAGGCTCGCGCGCTCCTGCTCGTGGAAGTCGAGGAGGGACTCGTAGAGCTGTTTTTGGAGGGAGAGCTGGAAGGAGGGGAGAGAGGAGAGGAGGAGGTCGATGATGGCGATGTTCACGGAGACGCCGTAGAGGCGCTCGTGGAGACAGTTGGAGAGAAGGAGAGAAAAGAGAAAAGGAATGTGCTCTTCGAAAAGAAGAGAGATGATGAAGGAAGGATCTAGATGACAAGAAGGAGAGGAAAGTACCCTTGGACACGATCGAAGAGAGGGGCTGTGTGTTGTGTTCGGCGTCCAAAAGGTCCTTCAAGATAGAACGAATCTTGTTTTTGTTTTCCATACTCAGTTCCTGTTTCCGTTCGTTTTGAACGATCACATCCTCGCGGAAAAACGTCCGAGTAATATACTCGGCAATATAGTAGTTGTTGTCACGAGCACCACTAGACACGGGATCCAAAGAAATGGTGGGAACAAAAGGAATGCTATCCGGATTCATGCACACGTTCGTCGGAGAGGGATTCCGTTCCTTTCCACACGTGGAGCATGCCTGCTTTTGAGTAGGATATCCAGGTAATGGGTGAGAGTGCGTTGCTTGCCCGGCCTCCCGAAATTCCCTAGTTGGAAACGGGGTAAGGCAACGCCTTGAAGCATTAGATTGGTAGGTTGCCTCCATCCGACTTCGGATTACTGCAGCAGAGCCCATATAGTATAAAAGAGCATTGTTATCCAGATTGTCAACGTCCAGAGATATGCTTCGCCGACGGTTGCGGCGATTGTCTCGACGTTCTATTCGCTTGCGACCTTGGCCCATTTTAGAGAGAGAATATCTAAAAAGTAGCGGAGGTATCCAAAAATATAACAAAGAACAAAAAGATTATGAAAGGGTAGCTTAACTCAAATAACGGTGAAACTTAGTTTTCTGAATTCACTTTGAAACTGGCCTCGGAGAACGTCCTGAGGCCTCTAGAATAAAATACTGCGCTATCAACGCGAGGAGAAGCTGCTAACACAATCGAGAATTGAGATGCCGCCAAAAGCGGACGCTTAACCGCGGAAATTTCTCTAGTGCACAAGACAGAATCTTCAAAATCAATGGAGATGTGACATAGCAAATAGTGTAACAAAAAATAGAACGACACATTCATTTTACACACGACGACTGAAGATCACTTTTCCTTCATTGACCAAAGTTTCCCTCTGGAGTGCATACACGCCTTCTGACCGACATACAAGATTACGACCCGATCGATTTAAATCTGGTACCTCCCAAATACAAATTAAAAAAAAAGGGGAAAAAATTGTTTTTTCATATTTCTGCTTTTTGGCGGCAAAGGGTGTGTATTATCCAAATTTTGGCCACTTTTTCCCTTTATTAAGAGAAATGAGTGTAGACAAGCATAGATTAGCACGGAAAGTAGGAGTAGTAATCTGAACTGAACTTCTGAAGCTGACCGTCGTTGCTAGTATCATACCACCTGATTTGTGTCGGTTTCGTACCGTTTTTATAGAGGATCGACACGAAGTTTACGTCTTTGGTGGATTGTCAAAGGGGGTGGTAAGGAACGACATGTATGTCTTTAACACTCTCGAAGAAAAGAGTGAGGCTATTCCTCCATGTTTGCGTGGTAAGCAGAGTTAATCTGTAGTTCCCTCTCCATGTCCTCGTTTTGACCATTGTATGAATTTTTATAATAGCTCGATTATTGTATTTGGAGGCCGGGGCTCCAATAAAGAGCTGTTAACTGATTTATGGTCTTGGTCACTTAATACGCGATCTTGGACTCGTGTATGTACTATTCTCCCAATGTTAGTGCTAGTTATTCCCTGAAATTCACTATCCTCGACTTGATTGTTATTCCAGTGTTGTATTAGGAAATAAGTTGTATATATTTGGCGTATCCATGGGTACTTTTCCTCCCCACTTCCGATTTGTTCCTAGAAAATGACCAAATAGCTCTTCTATTCGATTTTGTATGTGTTTATACCATTAATCTCTCAACTGGCGAATGTTTCTTTCTTTTTTTCCCTCCTCTCACCCCCAGTCTCTGTGCTCTACGACTCCAAGTCTGTCCTTCACTTCGTCCAGCCCGTCTCTTCGCTCTCTCCTTCTTACGGCTCCCTTCTCGCCGACGACTTTCTCAAACTTTCTCTTCCCTCCGCTCGCACCCATTTCTCCTGTTTCCCCTATCTCGACTCCATTCTCCTCATCGGAGGGTACTCTTCCCCGCGGGATCTCACCTAGTGTCTCGCGAGCTGGACACAATCTCTTCGACGTTTGGAAGTTCCTTCCCTCCAAGCTCCAATGGACGCTTCTCTGCGAAGACCGCGGGGAAACCATGCTTCCCGGCGCCTCCTACGCGCTCTACGGCGACTGCGTCATCGGCTTCGGCGGCGTCCACCCGCGGATCTCCCTCTTCTTCCTGCACCGATCGCTCTGGAAGACGATTCCCCTCGTATCCCCGCGGGACGCGCTTCACCGGCAGGAAGGCTCCGCGTCGCTCCTTCAGCACGCCATCGCCGTCGAGGCCTTCGACTCGCACTCCACGCTCTTCACCTTCGGGGGTTCCCCGTTTCCCCCATCGGTTCCATCGGTCTCATCGGCCCAATCGATCGCATCGGCCTCATCCACGGCGTTCCTTCACACCATTTCCTGCGCCAAGTCGCAGCTCGCGCGCTGCCAGCGCGTCCCTACCGGCCTGTTTCCCCGTTTCCCCGCTTCTCTCTAGACAGACGCACGGAGCGCCGTCGTTCAGCGCGCTGTCGGCGTACTGCGCGTCGCTGCGGTCGGCGGCGCAGCAGGCGGCGGGGAGCTCGGACCTGGACGCGCTGCAGCACCAGATGGGCTTCAGCCCGCTGGATTTGCCGCGGCATCTTCTCGAGGTCCTCGACTTCTCCGTCTTCACCATCCCCAACGAGCGAAGCCGGCTCCCGCCCATGCTCGACTACTGGAACTTCCCGTCCCCGCGGATCGCCGTCTCCAACGGGAATTCCCCGCGGAAGGAGCGGCACGTGTCCTCGCAGTCCTGGATCCCCAATCCCCCGCCGCCCCCCAAGGTCTCGCTCCGACGCACCCAATCGGGGAATCTGGGGAAACTCGGGAGGTTCGCGGGGAAGGACCGAAAGCTCAACCCCCTCATCTCCACGTCCTTCCCGCCGAACCGCGGTAAATCGCTGTCCGCGGCGGAGAAACGCTCGGAGCTATCGCTGTAGCGATGTTCGATCGAATTCCACGCAGATCCTACCCCCACGACGCCGAAAAAAAGAGCTTTTTCTCGCAGAGACTCTCCTCCCCGCGGGAAGCCCTCTCCCCGCGGTTCTCGAACAACCCGGAGAGCGCTTCGTACAACAAGGCGAGTTCGGGGGAATTTCTGGAAATGCGGAAAGTGGAATCGTCGAGTCCGCTTTCCTTCTCCGGCACCGTCCCCATTTCCCCCGCCTGGGACGACCGTTTCCAGGAGCCGGCCCCGCGGGGAGAGTGGTGTCAGTGGGAGACGAACCCCGTTGCGATCGTGGAAACCGTGGAAACCGTGGATCCGTCGGACGCGATGCTGCTGGAGCTGGGGACGAGCGAAGTGGAGAAGACGACGAGTTCGGAGGAGGGGAAGACGAGCGACGCGCCGCTGCAGAGCTTCCGCGCGATGCGAGAGAGCATCGAGAGCCTGCGGAGGGAGGTGAATCTGTACAGCAAGGTGGTGGTGAGCTGCCGAACGCGGATCGACGACCTGCGAGGGAAGATGGAGGTGGAGAAGGAGCAGTGCTCGACCTTGCGGTGCTTCATCAATGCGAGCGAGCTGAGGGATGTGAGAGAGAGGAGGCGACGTGACGCGTAGAAGACCGTCGGGGAGCTGCGCGCGATCGTGGCGGAGAAGGCGAGATTGGTGGAGGCTTGGTGTGTTTGTTGCAAACAGAGGAAAGGGAGGGGAAGCAGGAACGCAGCAGAGGGAAGTAGCGGTGGCTGCGGCTCGCCTTGTCGGGAAAGAGGAGCCGCAGGATTTGGATGAGCTTCGAATGGAGTTGGAGAATCAGCGCGCGGATCGCTTTCAAGTCGCTCGCATCGGAGGCTTCGCCGGGTGAGGAAGAGCGATCGGCGTGTCCAGGAGCCGAGGAGTGCCGAGTCGATTGGGAATCCTGAGTCGATTGGGAATTCGGAGCCGGCTGGACTTCGCCGATGCATTGAAGACAGCGGCAACAAACGGGCTCGGCGTGTTTGCTCGGGCAGTTTCCTTCTTGGCACAGAACTGCTTCCATAAATCGCGTGGCGCTCGGCGCGTCCAGCAGACTGCGAAGTGTCGAAAGGTCCAGAGAACACAGAATGAGCAGCAGATTCGCCGCTCGGTTGCAGACATGACCGCCGAAGAAAACATCACGCGCTTTCTGCATCTGATCCTTCACGAACTGCTCGAAAAACGCCAAGTAAAACGGCTGCATGGCGTCCTCGATCGCGGAGAAATGAGTCAACGCATAGTCCACAAAGTCGCGACACAGCGATTCGTTCGGCTTCATTCGCTGATACATTCGCTCCACACCCGACTTTTCGATTCGGTTTCGACGCGCCAGGACTTCAAACCATTCCACCACCACGTTGAGCGTTAAGTCTCTGAACTGCGAGGGACATTCGGGAGAAGGAAGCTCGCCGAATAAAAACTGAACATAGCGCCGAATCTGGAGAATCAGCGGATTCTTCGACCAACGCGGCGACTTCAAAGCGAGCGGAAAGCAACGAATGAGCAAAAACTGAGTGATTAATTGAAGCGAATCGAAGGGAGAGGAGTAAAACGAAGCGATGAATGGATAGACGATACAGGAAGGAAGCGACCGAATCTCCGCCAGCGAGGAAATCAACTCCAACACGTCTGATTCGCTCGCTTCGATGGGTGTTTCCTCCACGATCCCCGCGAGAATCGCAAGGAAAACGCAATACTGGGTGAAGGAAGCGGGGAGAATAGAGTGATCTTCGATGGAAGAAATGATTGATTGGATGACTCGAAACTCCGAAAAGGAGTAGAGAGAAGTGATCAATGAAAGTAAGCTCTTCGAATTCGAATAGAACAGCACAGAAGGCGCTTGAGAGAACGATTTCTGGGGAGAAAGCGTAAATGAAGTGGAATCCACTTCGTCTTTGGGCGTGGAAGCGAAGTGTCCCATCCATTCATCCCCAATTTCATCGCACCACACGTCCTCTGTGATGTGAGAATTCAAAACAATGATGGGCGAGGAGAAGGAATTATTGATTCGATCGATCAATAGACTCATAAAGTCAATCAGGGAAAGGGAGCGGAATGGCTGAATCCATTCGTTTTCCCAGCAAATTATGGATGAATAGTCAATCAAATTCGGAATTTCGGATAATGAAAACGCAAACAAAGCGTCAAGAATGAACGGAAGCGTTGCATTCGATTGGGCAAACGGAGAATACAAATACTGCGCGAAATGAGCGGAAATCGATGGATGCTGATTCGAATGCATCGAAAGCAGCAAGAAAATCAAATCCAGAAGACTTCGAGGGAACCGAATCCCTTCGATCAGCACCCACTCGCTCGATTCAATCGTTGTTTGCTTTGTCAACGAGAGAATACAGCCATCCATCGCTCGCAACACGGCGTCGATCGCATCGAGAACCACTCCTTCGTTCTTCGCGTGCTGCTGAATCAGCGCTTCCTTTTCAAACTGATGCAATAATCCCATCCATTGCTCGCTCTTTTCCCTCTCTCCATGGATTCGAGACAAAATCAAAAACGCGACTCCACAAATTACACTGAGTTGGCTTTCCAACGGATCGGACGCTTTCCATGGGTTTAAATACGGACGAATCGCTTCATCGAGCTGTGGAAGCAACAGAAGAACTTCGTTCCATTCTTCGAAGCACCAAAGCGGATGCGGCGATGATTTCAAGTAAAAGAAAAAGAGCCGAATTTGGTCAAAGAAAAGCGAGAGAAGAAGATCTGTAAGCGATTTCACATCCTCGGAGATCAAAAGATTCACGATACTGGTAATGGAGCGATGATATTCCTACAACAACAAAACCTGCTTTCTCTCCATACAAATCGATTGGACGAAGGAGACAACGTGGAAGCGTGGAACCGCAATCGTTCCTCCAGATACGCGAGTTTTTGCTGCTTGCTATCGGGAGGTTCGCTGGCGATTGCTCGCTTCACAGGCATTGGAGCCGGCTTTTCTTTGTGCGACGCAGGCTGCTGCACGATATTGTTGATATAATCGCGGTGCTCCTTCTCTGAAATGTACTTCGATCGATAGAGAAAGAGCTCGAAGTCCTTCAGCTCCCTCGTCTTCTAAACGAACATCACGCCTTCGATGAAACTACCTTCATTCGAAGAACATTCCGAATGATCTTCTCCGTAAACCAGGCTCTTCGAAACAAATAAAACTGCTGGATTCGCTTTGGGATTTTAGGAAGTTCGCTGCTCAGCGTGTCTCGATTCAGATAATTCACTTCTTGAATCAGCTCGTTGATTTGCTGCACGATCTGCGACTCAGGCTGCGCGCCTTGAATCCCTTGGATCGATTCAGCGCGGCTTTTCCGCAGAGTCGATTGAATTCTGCTCGCAAGAAGCGAGTTGAGCGTGTCTAATAACTGAACGAGGTGAGGGTTGATTTTGTTCTTTGTGTCCGTTATGATGGACGTGCGGACACAGGTCACGACGGTGCGGATTTTACCGCTGGTCGATGGTTCGTCGGGTAGTTGTGGGAGCAAATCAACGAATGAAACGATTAGTGATTCTTGATTTTCATGGATTACTATACATCACGAAGCAAATCATGATCAAAACTATCATCGGGAAACAAAACTCCCATTAACTCGCTGAATTCGGTCTCTGTCATTGTCGAGAACACAAAAACACAATTCGGAATTCGTTCTGTTCGACCTGCCTTCAGATCCTTTTCGATTTCTTTCAGCAAAATGGAGTACAATCGCCTCTGATTCTTTGCTAGAATCGCTATAAAGCACTCCGAAAACGTAGCATGGCGATATAAATACGAAACTAAGGGTTGCAGCGATTCGGAGGGAAGCATCGGAACTGTTTGACACAATGTTCGCAGGTAATCTCGCTCCGATAAGAGAGCTTCGACTTCGAGTTCGGAGTTTTCTGGAACAACGCCGTTGCACTGCTCGATCTGCTCGGTAAATAGAGGGGAAGCGGGGTAGGAAGACCGGAATGAGAAACATTGCAGCAAGCACTCGCGAAGAAAGGAGAGGATATCGCTTTTCATCTATTCTTTGAGTTGAAGCACTCTCAACACACAGCTTGGGATCGCTTCAAGACCTGATCAAGGATTGGGAGGAGTTGTTTAGACAAGGGCGGAGAGAAGAGAGCAACAATGTTTTGCTGCTGAGGACTTTCATGGGAAATGCCATATTCCAGTAAGGAGATCATACAACGCGTTAGAGTGGGATCTTCTTCTTCTTCTTCTTCTTCTTCCTGAAAATACTGCGTGATTTCTGTCTTTATGCGCTACAGTGAGAATGGTAGAATCAATAAATACGGCATCTTCGTGAAGAAACACCTCCCTAGCAGATAGACAGGAGCAATAATAGGCAATGAAACGAGAAATGGGCGAGAGTGTAGGGACAACCACTCGCAACAAAGATGCCGGGTCGATTGTTTTCTTGACCAATCCCTGGTAAACTTGTTGAAAGAGTCTAATCTGCTCAGAAACCGTTTTCTATGTGAAAAGAACACACCAGAAGTACTGATTCACAATTCTTGCAGCTTTCAAAAAGAAAACCTTGCAACCTATCTTTCTGCTCGCTTTTATCGTTATTCGAATCCTTTCCTCGCGTTGCCTCTCTCCATGAAGTGTTTGCGAAAATGGCATTCACCTTTTCGTATAGACTGCTCATCGTCACCTATATGGGTTTGATGAACTCCTTGTAATATGCGAAAACAATTGATTGTGAGACGAGAATCCACCCATTGTGTGAAAATAAAACACAGAGTGAAACCCTACTGCATAGCGGGATATACTATCAGGTCGTCCAAATCTGCACCTAACAGAAATATCCTCCTCTTTTCAATAGCTACATCGCCTGCAAACCCCTGAGTGAAGCAGCGTTTCGTTTTTTAAATAAGGATTGATATCAGTCGCAAGCCATAAATCGCTATTTCCCGTAATTTGGGTGTAGGTTATATTGTATAGATAACTTCTCTGATAGAACTGCTCTTATTCAAGAAGTAAATCGTAGTTCTGTCGAATTTTTAACTACTATTGGATAAATAAACAGCAGGTTTAGTCAATCAAGAGATTTATCGAATTTGGTTTAGCCGTATATTTAATTTTGTTCGAGTCTATTTTGTAGAGAATAAGATTTATGAGTCGAGCTAATCAATCCTATTCTCAGGTAAGGATGCGTTTTCTGGGGTTTATGAATTAGAAACGCAACAAACAAAGTCAAAGAAGTATTTCTGATTATTGGGAACGCCTTTGCTCTCTCCCTATTGATCTTCTAGATAAAGTATGTCCTATTGCCCGGCGGAATGTTTTACTATTCTAGATTTTTACCATAAATGACACAGAATGGATCGAACTCTTCCGTGAGTTGTTCCAGCCCAATGAAGGTTATTGCAGTACTTTCCAGTCGTTTGCTCCTAGCACTAGAATATTTTACGTTTGTAAAAGACAACGCAGGCATCCGGAAAGTTCATTTCGGTGACATCAACCCTGATAGTGAGGTATTGCCTTTCTTTGTGACCCAATCGCCAGATTCCCGATTGTATTCAAATACGCGAGTTTCCTCAGAATTGTATCTCTATTCATTTTTCCATAAATTTCCTAACTCATTTTGCGTTTTTTCTTTTTCTATTTTTTCGATTTGATCGTAGAGAAATGAAACCTTTTTTCTACCAAAACACAAATCGCTACTTTCTCAGCGAACGCCACGATCCCACCATCGCAGATCTTCCTTACCTTCCCCATTTTTACAAGAGTTCTCGGTTCACACTCGTCCTTTCACCGCGGTTTTTTCACCTCTAGACCAGTTGGGTAATTCAAATGATGGAGATCCGAATTCTACTTTAGTACTCCGTTTCCTCTTTTCACGATCCTAGTTTTTCGAGACCGCAGCTGATTCACTCCCAAGAGATTCCCGGCGAAGCGGTATGTTTTCGTCCACGCGATTTAAGCGCAGCAAGAACGTATGTTGCTCGATTTTTGGAACAATTACCTCCCTCCTTCACTGCACCAGCGCATCGTCTCCGACTATCTGAACATGATCGTACTCCCTTTCGTCCCTTCTCTCTCTCTCTCAGAAAGTGAAGAGCAACGTCCGCCAGTCGATCCTCAGCTACCTCGCGCGGAACCACAACCAGCTCCCCTGCCTCTACACATTCCACCCCTTCGCCTACTTCTACGAGCTCTCCATGCAGACGCTGCACATGCTGCTCGGATACATTGAACGCATGCACGCTTCTCTCCCCCTCTCTCATCTAGCCGGCGTGCCATGTACGGGTTTTCCATCAAGCAAGTCTCCATCGCCTCCGTCGACCTCATCTACGATCATCTGCTCGACGGCGCCATGGCGATCGAGCACAGCACCGAGCCTCCCGTCCAGCCCAACCGCACCTTCAAGGGCATTTCGCTGGTGGAATCGGAGAACAAGGAGCTGCTCGAGCGGCTGGGGAGCGACATGATTTTGTTCACGGAGTGGTGCGAGCACTGGTGCAATTGGCGGCGTCGCGGGTATTTAGTGGCGGTGAACGAGCTCACGCGGATCATCCACAATCAGTTCCGCAACGCGCAGATCGAGGTGAGCGCCATGGAGCGGACTGAGCGGTAGTTGTACGGGAGTTCGCGAACGGGACTGATGATTCCGTCGTCGGATGTGGACATTGTGATCGTGTATAACGAGGATTTGCTCGACAAGGTCGTCAACATTTTGATGGACATTCCCTGGGTCCGCACGGTGAAGGTTTGTCTCGAGAGACGGATTGAACCGCAGCACATCAAGGGCTCCGTGCAGGTGGTCAAGGCCGAAATCGATCCGACGGTGATGGCGAACACGACGGTGATTCCCACGATGGAGAAGAACATTCTCGTCTTCGATATCACGCAGATCTCCACCACGCACACCGGAATCAACAGCGCCGTCGCCATCAAGAACAAACTCAACCGCTTCTGGGAGCTCAAGCCGCTCATCCTCTTTCTCAAAGAACTCCTCGTGGTTCTTTCGAATTCGATTCACGTACAGTACGAAAACAAACTCAACTCGCCGTACGAAGGAGGAATGAACTCCGTCGCCGCCGTGATCGTCGTCATCGCGTACCTCTTCGCGTTTACCTCGACTCTAGGTTCTTCCACGAGTGGATGAAGCTCCATGAGAAGGAAGTCAACGCAATGAATGCGAGCTGTAAGCGAGAGATGGGATTTTGAGCGTAGTCAGCGCGAAGAAACGCGAGCTAGGGACGTTGATCGTGCAGTTGTTGTACTATCTGGGCTTCGTGTTTAACTACGTTACCACGGGCGCAAGCGCGGATATGGGCTTCTTCAATCGGGTATGCGGATGGAGGGAAGGAGGGTGATTGGATAGGATGAGCGTGCCAAAAATGGCGGGTATTTCTTCGAGTCGGATATGATCGTCGTGATCGATCCGGTCAACGCGACGAACAATCTGGGGAAATCGTGCTTCAACGTGTATCAAATCAAGTGTCTTCTGCGGCAGACCTATCAGCGGCTGATGTGGGGGAATGCGAGATCATTGATGGGTAGGAGGAACATCGACGAAGGAAAGGAACACCCTCTTCTTAATCTATTAGGAATTACAGAACAGTGTGAAACTTTTCAGAACCATTATTCATGCTCTGTTTGCTAAAACAAACAAGACAGCCGTATTTCTGGGCTAGACGAGTGTAATCGAACCCAAACAACCGGGTCTTCGGGTTGCTCGACGATTGCGCGAATTTATCAAAGGAGGCGTTGTCTGGCTTCCCACGGATGTATGTGCCAGCCGATCTACAATCATCATCATCCACATCACTCGGAGCTACGCTTGTTTCTGCAACGGATCGAAAGAAAACGGCTTTTTCGAATCGAGCTGCCCATCAGATTATGAAAAAACCTCAATTACATTCCGAAGTGAACGCGGAAGTAGCGATTGGCTCTCCTTCTCCTTCTTCTTCTTCTTTTTCAGGGAGTCGCATAGAAGTTTTTGCAGCTCGGGGATTAACGACTGCACGCAGAAGGTATTTACGCAGTCCAGCTTCCTAAACGGAACCCACATGTAGGAGGAAATTTCGGTTGGAATGCAAATCGTCAACTTGAGCTGCTTGAATTCGCCCAGGAAAACGAAAAAGCAGGAGTTGGTGTTGCCCGAGGACGTTTTGAGCACTCCTAACGGATCCATCGTGTAGTTCCGTAGGTCCAAACCCACTTCTTCTTCGAGTTCCCGGTACATGCAATCTAAAGCAGTCTCGTTTTTGTTTACTTTGCCGCGAGGAAATGAAAAATGACCGCTCTGAGCGCTCTGAACTAATAGAATCTCATAAGACGATTTATCAACTAGAATGGCTCCACAACGCAGAATCTTTTTCATAGCCTTTTCGTAAGTGTTATATGCACTCTCCGCATCCGTAATAATCCTCAACTCCGGATGGTGAAGTAACAGATGTTTTACCATCCGTATAATACCGGGTTTGTCATATCCCCAGTGTTTATAGATACCACTCCTCCCACTCTTCACATGAAGACAGCAATAGTTATCTTCATAATACCATGTGCATTTTTTCACAGAGTTTATAATATACCAAGGTTTGTTCCACTCTTCAGGTCCCATTAGAGCTAGAGCATCAACTTCCTCGCTAACACGTACAACAAAAGTAACTCCATATGCTATCCCACACCTCTTGATTTGGTTCCATTATCTACGCGCGTTGATGAAAAAAAGATATAAAATGGAAAAGTCGCGGTTATTCACTATTTCCTGAAGTGAAGAATGCACAAAGGGAATTGCTACAAATGCAAGGTACGCAGCTTCTCCTGAATGCTATCTAGTCAAAAGTGGTTTTCGTGAAAACAAGACATCACTTTGCTTGCAAGGAATGTTTTTGTGAATCAGTTAAGAAGTACTTTCGATCCCAAATGGCCAAATTAAAAGTTCCGCGTTTTTCGAAGATTGTAGTCGCTTTCTCTGGAGGATGCTCTTCCACGTTTTTGATGATCGTAATAAAGCTAATTTTGTAGTACTCTTCTCTCCTTATTCCACGAGTCCTTAACATCAAACAAATCTCGCTTAGGATATGAAGTATGTGCTTACTGCTGTTTGCCAAATAGATCACAGCGGTAAACATTGATTTTTCTGCGATTGACTCGCTTCTGAGTTATCATTCGCAGCAAAATCTTCAGCAAATATGCGATTCGTACAATTTCGAATTCAAATCCATTCCTGCTGAATCCTATTCCTGTTTTCATGGAGATAGAGCAAAGCTGCTATCTGTTTTCCAGGGAATGAAGTAGCAGCATATCGATAATTCAAATTTCTCATTTCTAGATCGATCGATGGTAAACACGAACTAATGTTGTTTCTGATAAAGCAGCTTTTGATCGAGTACTGCGCGTCTCTCTCGCATCCTGTCTTTTTATTCTTCGGCTACACAATGAACCACTACACCGAACAAGTCGTCCACTCCATCATCAATGCTTGCGGCTTCTCCACAGCTACATACAACTCTCCCGCCCACCCCATTTCTATCCCCAACACATCTATTACGATCGGGAGTCCTCTCGGCGAGCTCACATCGCGTGAGCTTTGCTTGTATTGCCATTACCGCAACATTCGTTATTCCACTCAATTTTCGTTTCTGAGCAATCCAGGACCCAGCATCTATCGACTTTCTGAAGGTATTTTTGAAAAGAGATCGTGTCCTAGGCATGGTGGAATCATTGCAAGATGATTGCGACTCGACGCTGCATATCGTGACGGAGACCTGCGGCAAGCTCCAGCACTGCGAATTGATGGTTCCGGAGCAGGCAAAACAGTGCAGAATGTGCGGAGAGTGAGGGAAAAGGGGAAACCGTGAAGCGTAGATGGAGCAATGAAGCGATTTGCGGCCGTTGCCAGTTTTTGGTGAAAGAAGACACGTTGGGCGTGTTACAAACAATCAATTCTCAATCAGTTGTTTGTTTTTCTCAAACATCATCATCATCATCATCATCATCTCCCAACTATTCAAGGGGTTCGCGTGTAAACCACGGATACACTCCCAGTCCGCTAATCTGCAGCGTTTTCTTCGCCTCCACAAACGGGATCGCTGGATACAAATCCCGCTCCAAAAGCGTTTTCACGTCCTTCGCGTTTTTCCCCACTTCAAAAAACAGCGACAACTCTTCGAACCGAATCGGATGCTGCGGAATCCGCTGCAACACCCCCAAAACAATCATCCGCGCTGCCGAGCTGGGGAAATGCGAAACGTCCATTTGAATCGTCTTCCGTTCTTCGACGATTTCTTCGTGGATTTGATACTGATCGCAATATTCGTTCATTAATTTCACCGCTTTCTCGTATTGCGGCTCTTTCAATCGAGCTATCAACTCCAGGTCTCTACGTCTCACACTACTCAAATGAGCCAACTCTTCCTGCGATAGTTCGATGTGGTTTTGACTCATTTTGCGTTGGATCGCTTCGTATTTGCGTCTCCAGAACGATTGGTAGTCGTAAAGCTATCGCTCAGCCGTTTCATCCATCAAACAACGCTGCACAGTTCAAAATACGCGTACTCCAAGGGACGCATTCCTTTGTTTCGCATCGTCTGCATCATTTCTTCGGCCAGTTTCTGCCGCTTCAAACGGCACGCGCTGCGGACAATCGAGGAATAACCGTGGGGAAACAGAGTGATCGATCTGTCGGTTTTCTGCGCTTCGCGAATTCGATGGAACAAGCGAAGACACTCTTCGTTGCAGTTCGCTTCGGAGAGGCCTTCGAGGAGAATGTTATCACAGTCGCTGAACGGAAGTCCCTTTTTCACGAAGATTTTCACCATCTGCAGACCCGCGTAAATGTCGCCGCACAGTAGACAGGCGCGAGCAAATTCGGCTTGGAATCTGCATTTCGAACGGATTGTCTCGGATGAATTGGCGTAAATCGAGTCCATGCACTCTTGGTTTCGCGTCAATGCACACATGCGGATAAGTGAGGACGCGGAGCGCAAACTTAGCTTTGGTAACTAGGATGCTGATTGCTAAAAATAATAGAATACTATGCTGTTATTCTCCAGCGCAGCGTAAAGTAGCAATGCCGGGGAGAAAAGCTTGTTTTCCCAGCATTTATCGATAATACCATCGAATTCCTATGCTGGAGACACAGAGAAAAGGATAACTGCTGTGGTGAGCGATGTAGGGTGTCGAATAAGGTCGTCAACATATTTTTCAATACGACTACTCTTCGAAGATTTCAATATCATCTCCACCGGTGAATCTCCATCCGACCCGACAGAATTCGCCAGTGAACTCCAATTTCGGAATTTAATCAAAGCATTCTTTCGAAAAATTCGACTAGAGCGTCATTGGTACTGTCATCGAAGTACTTGGAAAGAGGCATAGATAGGGTGCATATTTTGCTACCTATCTGCTTTGCATAACAAAGCATTTCTGGAGCAAAGTTTTGCTAAATTATATTATTGGTGAGCAAACCGCTTGAAAATGATTATTGATTTTGTTAACGCAAAGGAAAAAGCAACCGTTGACTTGTCGGCGTGTACTACTGTGGGACATTGACTAAACTGTCACCTAAAGGTCGCAGATATTATGAACCAGTGCTCCGAACAGCTAGGTAAACCTTTAGAATGCATTAATCTTGTTTTGTACGTATTTGGCATGTGACGGTTAGATCTTTCGCGGCAGACCCCTGAAACCCACCGAACTCCTCACAGACCGAAATATCACCGAGAATGGAAAGATTGTTGGCGTTCTTCGTGTAGGGACGTTTTCAAGGATTCACAGTAGCCTACTCCACCCTCTTCTTCACAGCCTCAAAAGAATGAGGCTGCTTCCAAAACTCCAACTCAGTCTGTATCAGAGCAGAAGCCTTCTTCTCCAGTTGTTCAAGCTCCATCAGTTGCTTCCAGAGCCCCTACCACGTTCCCGTACTAAGAAATCGTTGGATTGCTATATAGTCGACCCGAAGACTCCATTCAGAGTGATCATCCGGTAGCTCAGCTGATGCGCGATCGCATTCAAAGTGCCTTCGCTGACAATTCTCTCTCTTCGTTCTCCACAAACGCAGACACCACGGACGGGATGAGCGACGAAGCATACGCGATGCAACAGCTGGGATTGGCGGAGTATCGCGAGGCTTTGGAAGAGTGCGTGCGATTCCCCATCAGGGTTCAGCGGTTTTTAAGCCTGATCAGTGAGAAGGACGAGCGCCTGTATAATGTAAAGCACTGAGTGAATGGGTTTAGAGGTAGATCATACAGAATAACCGAGAACTCCTCGCTGATTACATAATGAAGTTGGAACCGGCGCCGAGGTAGAAGCGTGTGCGGCATTGGTTTAGTGTAGACAACCGAGAGGAAATCAGGTCGTGTTGGAACAAAAGGACATGGATTGCATTCGACAGGTAGGATGTGTGATGGCACGTGCATGTAGCTCATGGATCTCGGCTTCTCGCAGCAGGAAAGCACGATCGCGTATCTGTCGTGTGATCGGAATATGGAGTTGGCAGCTTCGTTCCTTTTTGAGAATCAGTGAGTTGTTTGCTTTGTTTGATGGAAAACGCTCGTTTATGAAATTAGATGTGGTGAAAAGGTGTTAGACTAAATATATCCATTATGAATATTCATTCTGGAATAGACTGAGCCAATTACACCTTGTGTGCACAAAGGTTCGTTTTCGACTTTCAACATCTTGCCTTCAGTTCTAGCAACAACCTGCATAGGTTTTTTGGAACAGACTTTGGTGAGTTCTATCATATTAACGAATAGAGTAATAAGGTGGCTCAAGGCTGTGAACGAGCGAAAAAATAATTATACGAATCTGAGGGGGATAAAAAAGGCAGCAAACCATGTGTGACCAAAACCTATCACAATGTTGTTATGCTATTGCATCGTCATAAGGAAGGATTTGGTCCTTATACCTCAAAAACATGCTAATATCACATTGCAATAAGTGAGGGCATTGTGTTCCTTTCTTGTTTTTGTTCCAAACTTTTTTTATTTCGTGGATCCACGTAAAAAGTAACGAGGTATGCCTATGCTATATTGATTGAGATAAGCTAAAACGAATCTTATGTCTGAACCCCAAGAAGTATCCCCTCACCTGGAAAGTACCAATGTACCAATACGATGTATCCAAAATGTGACACGACGTCATTCCCTGGAATATAACGGAAGTATAATTTCGAGTAGTGTATCAGAGGCGCGAACACCTCGGCCTCTTGCTGCCGATATTGAAGAAGAGGAAGAGCAAACCAGTGAACGTAGAATCCATTTTGTGTGTGCTCATGCTGTAGTTCCTGCGCACCGTCCGTCTTTTTCCGATAATATTAAGAGCACTTTCAACAAGCTTTTCTTAGTTCTCTCGCCCTAATAGTTTTCATCCCTTTCCCCTGTTTCATGCAACAAACACGCTATCCTCTGTTTATTGTGAATACGACTTCATGTAGATTGCATACAGAAACGCCACGATCACGACCAGCACTGCCATAGCGATGTACGCAGTGGCCATCGAGCTGCTGTTTCTCTTCACCACCGTTTTCACTTCGCTTCCGCTCTGCGTCGCTCTCACTTCGCGCTCCGGCTGCATCTCTTCGCTCTGCCCCTGGCTCTTCGGCTTGCTCTTTCCCTTGCTCTTCTTCGGCTTGCTCTTCTTCGCCTCCTTCTTTTCCACCGTTTCCACCTTCTCCATTTTCTTCTCCGTCTTCTTCTCCGGTTTCTCCGGTTTCTCCGTTTCCTCCTTGGCCTCCTTGGCGCTCTCCTGCTTCGCCATGCGGTCCATCTCGGCGTACGCGAGCTCCCATTCGGCCTCATCGCGCCGCTTTCTCTCCTCCTCCGCGCGCTGCTTCTTCTCCGCGCGCTCTCGCTCCGTCCGCTGCTCCTCCTCCTGTCTTCGGCGCCGCGCCTCTCTCCGCGCCTCCGCCTCTTCCCGCATCAAGCGACGCACTTCCTCCTGGATCTCGCGGCGCAGCGCTTCCTCCTTTTCCTTCAGTGCCGCCGCTTCCGCCGCCGCTTTCCGATGCGCTGCCGCCTCCTTCAGCGCCGCCGCTTCCTTGGCCGCCGCTTCCGCCGCCTTCTTCGCGTCCAGCTCCGCCTTCTTCGCCTCTGCCGCCTCTTTCTTCGCCTCTGCCGCCTCTTTCTTCGCCTCTTTCTTCGCCGATTTGGCGGGCTGCGCGGGCTCTGCAGGCTCCACAGGCTCCGCAGGCTCTGCGGGAGCTTCGGGGGCGGTTTGCTGCGCTTGCTCTTCGGCCTCCTTGATGAGACGCTCGATTTCATCGGATTCGGACTTGGGCATGGCTTTGATGACTAGGCAATGAGCGAGGGATCGAAAAAAGAGGGTACATTCGTGCATACGGTCTGATTGCAAGAAGGTGATGGGCTTCAGACCGAAGCGCGAACCGCGGAGAGCGAATCGCAGAAGACCGTTCACGAGACCCTTGCGATTGTTGTCATCGAACATAGAGGGAGTGATGCAGTCAATCGCCTGGATACCCATTTTCTGACACGAACGGGAGAAGATCTGAATGTTGTCACGACCTAGGAAGGAGCCCTTTGCTGCATTGTTAAGGTCTATGGTCGGGGCTTACTTGCATTCTTGTGGTATTCCTCAATAGGAATGGAACTCATCTGTTTTTCGACAATCTCGCACAGCGTCTATTTAACAGCAGTAAACAATTGCTACGATTCCATCGTAGAGAGAATTGACAATATCAGCAGAAATTTCTTTTCCTGAGACGTTACTTAACCATGTAGCGATTTCGTTGCTAAGGAACTAGCCATGAGGAGTACCTCTCACACCCACATCATATTCCTCTTCAATGAACTGGGCACGCTCTTCTGAGAGAGATCTTGTTCTACCCTCAGTAGTCTTCAACATACGTCCCGAACTAGTTAGGGGTGCCGCTACTTCACTTGCCGAACCGGTTTCCATAATCTACTCACAATAATTGGTAAAATGCAAAATAGAATGGGAGTTTCATCCAACAAACAAGCTCGATAAATATTCAAGAATAGTCGACCATAAAGTCTTAGAAAATAAGATGACACGTAAAATCATGAACAGACAGCCTTTACGAAAACAATCAATCATTCAATCATCATCAGCGTTTTTACGCTTCTATCTGACTAGTACCAAACAGAATCTTCAATTTCTTTCCCACAGTCAGAGGAACCGGGTTGGTAATCATCTGATACGGCTGGAACGAATACGAAAATCGGGAGTTTCGCACCCCCATTTTATTCGTCGCTTCTTCCACGTTTCCACTCTCCACCGTCATCGCACGCGTAATATTAACTTGGGACAGGGTCGCGCTGGGAGGCTGCACGGCCTCGCGCAGATACGACGGATAGAACGGATCGGAGTCGGCCGAGAGGCAGTTCCGCGGTTTTCTCGCGGCTTTTGTGCGTCGCGCGAGCGCGAGCATCGCGTCATAATACACGTTGGAGACGATAGCAATCTCGTGAGCGGTGAACTTGATGGCGCGGAAGGCGACTTCCTCGGCACTGCCCAGCGGGAAGAGCTTTGCCCGGAACCAGCAGGAGCCGTAGTTGGGGTCGGAGTAAACGCACTTGTTGATAATCGCGGAATAGTCGCGAGCGGTCATGAGGGCGGATAGGAAACAGGGATTGTTGCTGCGTCCAAAGCGGAGCAGCTCTTCCGAGGTGATCATGGAAAGCCGGATCGCCTAGAGCGGTGAAGGCGCGAGGGAAGGAGAGTACTTCGATGAAGGAATCGCCGTATTGTGGCGTGAACGAAACGGCGAAGGTGAGGCAGAGCTGAGCGTTGCGAGGATTGAAGTGGCGAGAGATGGGATTCATGAAAATACGAGCTCCTTCACACCACACTTCTCCAGAACGAGAAACATACTCCAATGCCGAATAGAACGCTCGCAAAGCGTACGTCGGGCCGTACAGCCTACCGCTCACTCCCACCCCTTGCGTTCTCTACTGGTGCGTCAGCTGGATCAGCGAGGACCACAGCCGCCCCGCGCGGAGATGGTGCTTGAGAGACTCCCGGTTCAGCCGGTAGGCCTCCATGATGCGGCTCTCCCGCAGGAGCTGGTTGATTCGCTCGAGGACCAGTTTCCACTCCGAAGGGAAGCGGAGAATGTTCTGGCGAATCACCTCGCCCGCCTTGATCGGCTCTCCGATGAAGTCCAGAATGCGCGCCAGCTCCAAGCACACCGCGTGCGTGCTGTGCTCCGGCGCGAACTCCGTGCTCCGCACCAGACACTACGACTCAAAACCCGATCACTCCGCTACGCGAATCGAGGAATGGCGCTTGCCGGCCAGCGCCTGGACGCGGCCCGCCAGCAGCCACACCTTCCATTTGTAGTCGGTGAGGCAGAGCTGGATGCAGCTGCGCAGAGAATCGAAGCAGCTGCGGATCACTTCCGGGTAAATCTCGCAATAGGAACGCAGATAGCGCTTCTTCGTGCGCGTCCAGAGCCGGATGTGCGTGAAGCTCCGCAGCTGCGCCTGCGCGGCGATGTAGTACACCTTCCACTTCAACTCATCGGGGATGCACCGCAGCGCTTGCTGCAGATGCTCTTTGAGGTCCTCGTTGCACGGACGGCTGCGGATATCCCCGCGGTTCCACGTGATCGTGTGGTTCTGCTCCAGGACGGAGAAGGTGAAGAACCAGATGGGGCCGAGCTTGGTGAGCTTGGTGAGCGTCTCTTTGAGCATTCGCAGTCCCTTATCGTAGCTCTCCGTCTTGAACACGAATCGAATGTAGTCGAGCGTAACGCCTCCCTGCGTGAAGAGATTGTGCTCGATGAGCGAGTCGAAGAGAGCGGAGGCCTTGTACCCGCAGCCCAGCTTCGCCACGACGATCGCCGCCTCGACGATGCTTTTGACGCACTGCGAGTTGTTCATCGCGAGGAACTGCTCCACGCATTGAATCACGCCGTCCACGTTGCGAAGCCGCTCCTCCACCTTCACGCGCTTCTCCAGCAGGCTCTCGTTCCGCGGGAGCATCTCCAGCCCTTTCAGCACCACCTCCCGGCACCGCGAAATGTTGCCCTGGTCCATCTCCAGGCGCGACAGCTCCATCCACACGATGTAGCACTGCGAGTACTCCTGGCAGAGCTTCTCCAGCGCCGCCTTGGCGCTCTGCATGTCCGTGCGCTTCAGCGCCACCGCTGCGTCCACGCGCTGCTTCACGAAATTGAACAGCGACGTGCCCTTCACGATCACCTGCGAGCTCTCCGCCGGGTGCATCGTCGGGTACGCGTTGCCGGGGTAGAGCACGCGGCCCCGCGGGTAGGGCAGCGCCACGGAGCGATCGTCGTAGCGCGCGCCCGGCTCGCCGCCCGCGTACGGAGGCATCCAGTAGAGATCGGCGTCCGGGTAGAAGGGAGCGCGGAGCTGCGCGGGCTGGGAGCGCGGAGCGCGCTGGTAGGCGGAGGGAGGGACGGAGGAAGAGGAAGAGGAGGAGGAGGAAGGAGGGACGGAGGCGTGAGCGGCGGAGCGGGAATGAGCGGCGGAGCGGGAGTGGGGGTGAGAACGCGAGCGAGAGTGGGGAGGAGAGGAGGCGGAGGCGGAGACGGAGGCGGAGGCGGAGACGGAGGCGGAGGGAGGACTGGAAGGGTAGGGGGACGAGTAGCCGGCGGGCAGGTAGGAAGGACCGGTGGGATTGGGACCCAGGGAAGGGGCCGCGCCGCTGGGCAGACTCAGAGGCAGGGAGAGGGCGGAGGAGGAAGAGGCGGAGGCGTAGAGAGGCATCGACAGGGACGCGGGAGAGGGAGCGGGGATGGAAGGGTTGGACGAAGGGAAGGGCATGGACAGGGGGTTCTGCATCGGGTTTTGATTTGGGTTTTGCATCTGCATCTGCATCTGCATTTGCATTTGCATCGGGTTTTGCATTTGCATTTGTATTTGCATCGGGTTTTGCATCTGCATTTGCATCTGCATTTGCATCTGCATTTGCATCTGCGCGGGGTTCAGCGGACCGTTCGGGTTCGCTGCGCTCCCATACGCCGTCGCCGCGCTGCCCCCTCCGCTCGGCGCCCCTCCATACCCCACGCCCGCGTACATCGCGCGTCCCTGGCTCTCCGCCGCGCTCCCGTGCGTGAAATACGCTCTCGACGCGCCCCCGCCCTCGCGGAACGTCCGATGCTCCGCGTACTCCGCGTACTCCGCGTACTCCGCGGGGTCCGCGAAGGAATGCCCGCCTGCCCGGGGAAAACCGGCGGGCGCCGAGGCGTCGGCGGCGTTGAACGTGTCCCTGGGAGGGGAAAGGGCGGGTGCGGAGGGATAGAGACGCGGGTCGGGACGGCTGGGAAAGCGAGGACTCAGCAGACGGTCGGCGGGTCGAAGGGAAGGCTCTCCGATCTCGTCGGAGACGGAGGATCCGTCGATGGAGCAGGTTTGATAGACGGAGTCTAGAGGAGAAAGAGGGAAGGAAAGGAGTACTGGGCTCACTGATCACCGTGCGAGGCGTGGACTCGGAGAGGTCTGCAGGAGAGATGTGAGTCGATCTCTCCCGCAGACGGTCCATCGAATCCATGTAGGCGGAGGAGGAGTGCGGATCGTTCCAGCTCGGAACCGAACGCAGAGAGGAGAGAGGGGCAGAAACGTACTCCGGGTCATTGTAAAACTCTCGGCGAGAGTAGGGGGCGTCGGAGTAGCCGTTTCTGAACTGGGAACCATCATTATAGCCCATATTCATAGGCATTAGAGTCTCTCGAGTGGAATGACTCGAGGGGTTGTAACCTGGTATGGAGGACCCGTGGCTACGCACGGAGTATACATCTAGTGGCTCATTTCCATCGAATGAGTCCTCGAAAGGGGAAGAAAAGGAAGCTGAACTACAAGTTCATCAAACAATCCGCTCGTACTAGTCGACAGATGCCGCCGACCCTAAAGGCAACGCGGCACCATCCTAAACTCGCAGGGAACCACACAAATACTACCTGCTGATTCACAGTTGCTCGCTGTGAGTACTCCGGGTACATTCTTCTTCCACTGTATACAGCGGAATTATCCGTACCTACACGATTAAGGCAAACAGCAAAATCACCAACTCTGTGAATAACTGTGCATCGACGAAGAGTATCTCATCTACCGCATTATGTTGAATTGCCTGTGCCGCTTACCTGGCCAAACGAGTTCATTTGTAACCAAGAAATAGTTTACGCCAATAATATCTGATAACTGATGGTTACTATACAATATTGCACCCAAGCAGGGCTAAAAGTAAACCCGAATTGTGTTATTATTCATCATTTGTGGTCCATTTCTGGATAACCGCGGAAGTGACATTAACATGATGATGAGTTTTCTATTCATGTAGTAGCTTGAGTCCTGCATTGCCAACTACCTGAGTCAAAATTATATTGATTCTCGGACATTTGCAATGTGAGGGGAAATCTTTCATCCACTTTATTGGCGCGTAGTCGACAGCCAGAACGAGTTTGAATGAATTGCACACAAAATCAGCTGTCCTCACACTATCATCGCAAAGAGGAACCACAGCAGACCTGTCTATGGAACATAGAACACTTACAATGGCTTCCCCATTCCACACTATGCACACTGCCACAATTCCCAGACTTTCACTACAGATCAACCGAATTGTTTGTTTGTGATTGCTCCCGATTCTGCAATGGCAAATAATCAACTAGGTGAAGAAAAATCGTTATGGAAGAACTTCCAGCGTGTATTGCTGACTTCCCTTACGAAACATTATTCTCTTTATTTCATGTACAACTATGACTCTCTGTTGATCGTTAGAGCATTTATTGCCCTTATATCGCTGTCGAGTGTTCTTTTTGGAACAGTTGTCGTCATTCGTGTGTTCACTTCCTATACTGATAGAATTGATGAGGACTACTGCTCTCCAAACTACAAGAATAACATTGGGCACCGTTCCTTTGCGGAGCACTTGTGCTATCCTGAGATTGATGCTGTTTACACCTGGGTAAATGGTTCTGACCCTGTTTGGCTGAAAGAAATGCTGTTCTACAAAAGTCAGCTGGATAGCAAGCGGAATGAACTGTCTGATAGTGTGGACTCATTTTCGCAAAGTCGATTTCGTGACAATGATGAGTTGAGGTACTCGTTGCGATCGATCGAGAAGTTTGCTCCCTGGATTCGTAAAATCTTCATCGTTACAAACGGCCAAGTCCCTTCATGGCTGGACCTCAGCAATCCGAAGGTACAGATCATCACGCACGACCAAATCTTCCAAAACAAATCCCAACTACCCACCTTCTCCTCCGCCGCCATCGAGCTGAATCTCCACCGCATCCCCGGTATCTCCGACTACTTCATCTACTTCAACGACGACGTCTTCCTCGGCCAGCCCGTCTACCCCTACGACTTCTACACGCTGGACCAAGGCCAGATCATGTATTACTCCTGGGACGTTCCCCAGTGCACCAGCAAATGTGACTCTTTCAAACCCGCCTCACAAACAGGCCAGTACGAGAATCTAGGCGACGGAATCTGCGATCCCAGCTGCAACACGGAGGCCTGTCTGTTCGATCTGGGCGACTGCAGGGACGTTTCGCAGTCTCCTGCCAGCTCGAAACACCGAATTCGCCCTCCGAAGTCGCGCCAACATTCGCAGGAACGCTGCGCAGAAGGATGTCCATTTCTCTGGATCGGCGATGGCGTTCTTTTTCTCTCTTCTTTTCCTCTCACGTCTAGTCGTGCGATCGAAGATGCAACGTCGAGGCGTGCGGATTTGATGCATACGACTGCAGCGAGAACCAATCGCAGCTCCTCAACACGACCTTCGTTCGCTTCATCTCCGTCACGCCCAGCCAGAACGACCCCTCCCTTCTCTCCTACCTCGACGCGACGTTCGGCCAGCGCGTCGACAGTCCGGAAGGAGACAAGCCGATTCACATTGGCCGGGTGGCAGTGAACGCGGACAGCAGCTACGTGTCGATCGATCTCTCCGATCTGGCGCGGCTGGGCTACATTTTGAAGTCCATCGAGATCGTGGACGACAGTCGGCTTCTTTTTTTATTCTCTGATTGACAGGCATGGTGTATTCCGCGGTTTATCACTCCTTCTTCCACGAACTCATCATCGTGTGGAGCCCCGATTACCGCGGGAGAGGCATCCCCTTCTCGGTGCCTTGCATCATAACCGCGAATAAAGTGCCGTTTCGCGGGGATTGGTGAGGAATAGGTGGAGGGATCGCCCGAACGGTTGTATCTCGAGATTCTCCGCGTGCCGTTCTGGAAACTCCCGCGGAATTCGCAGCTGATGCAGTTCCGATACAGCGCGAATGACCGAAATTTGACCGATCAGCGCGTCGTGTCCCGCGGGAAAGACACCATTCTCTGCGATTTCGTGTCCCACCTGGATCCGTCGATGTTTGCTCTCATTGTGATCCGGAACACAAATCGGAACACAAATCCAGAAGAAAACCGCAGCGTCTCGACCTATTTCTACAGTCCCGCGGAATCGAAGCTTCTCGAACTCTGCGCGAACGGGACCTTCCTCGTTTCCACGGTTTCCCCGCTCTCCGTGGCGTCCGTTTCGGTGGCTCTCCCCGCGCTGGACTTCGGCTCGTCGCTGATTTACGCGGGGAATCTGTCCTCGCTGTCGCTCATCTCGCGGAAGCAGCATCTTTCCTCGCTTCCGCTGGGTTCGCTTTCGACCGTGGAGGAGCGGATCCACCGCGTGCCGCTGACTCGGCATTACCGCAAGCTGTGCTACTCGCTGTTTCTGGAGGCGGCGCAGGACGCTCCGGTGCGATCCAATCAAACGTTCTCTCACACGATCCCGTATCTCGCGGCTTCGGTTCTCTTCGAGGACCCCGATGCGATCGCAGCGCGGTTGGTTCAGCGAAACGACAACTTCACGTTCTTTTCGGAGTTCACGAAGCTCGTAGAGGCCAGTCTGAACGACTCCAATACGCTGCACGTGGCGTTCCCTGCGCGGCGGACGATCACGTGCCGCATCGACACGGAGATCTTTCGATCGAATCCGTACTATCGGCAGCGAATGGAGAACCGAACGTGGGTCCACGGAGAACTGCTCCGGATGCGTGGAGGCGAAAAGGAGGCCAACGACACCGTGTACGAGGTGAGAAAGGAAGCAGTGCGCGAGCTGCGCTATGTGATCGAAGTCGAGGAAGAGAGAGAAGAAGCCACGCTCATTCTCGCCGTGGACCGCGACACTGTTCAGCGATTGGCCCACGAAAAATGCGCAGGATCGAGTCAATCCGTACAGGGAGAAACTGGAGAAACCGGAGAAACTGGGGAACCCGTGCAACGAGGTGTCGAAGAAACACGCGCAGAATCGAGTCAATCCGTCCAGGGAGAAACTGGAGAAACTGGAGAAACTGGAGAAACCCCAATCCCTCGAGACCCTGTTTCCTTCGAAACGTCCTCGGATTCAACAGAATCGACAGTTTCATCGCGTCGGTTATCGACGGATTGGCTTCTCGACTTCATTGTGTCCCATCGCGACAGCATCGTACCTCCGTTTCCCCTTTTCTGTCTCACGCGTGCAGGACTACACCAATCCCGACGTGCAGTCGCTGCTGCGGTCCTCTCTGAACATCACGTCGCTGTCGGATCTGCTTCATTTCCTTTCTCCTCGTCGCCTTAGCGACACGTACCACGATTCTCTCGTCTACACCAACATGCTTCTCATCACTCTCTTCGGCAATACCGAGCGGTACGTCCCCGCTCACATGCCCCATCTCATCAATAAAGTCGTGCTCGCGAGGATCGAGCAGCGAATCGGCCCTCACTTCCAAAACACAATGTCCCATCGATTTCGATCCAGCGACGATCTCCAGTTCGCCTTCATGTACTTTTACTTCCTTCGACACTTCGAGCAGGAAAAGGAGGACCGCTATTACGAGTCTCTATGGGACCAATACCTCGATGTGGACCATAATGGCGTCTTGGACCCCAATGAATTCCGAACGCTCGCCTCCGTCGTGTACAACAACAAAGTCACCGATGAGTTTCCACGTTTCCACTTTTTGATGGTAGGAACCTGGCCGATCTGCTGGAGTGCGTCGCTCCCGAGAAAACCGCGGAAGAAACGTACACGCTGGCGGGAAAGATGGTCAAAACGATCACGAAGACGCGCGACGCCATCACATATCCAATAACCGCGGGAATTCGCTTCCTTCACTTAGGTTCGATCGCTACAAGCAATGCGAACGCGCGGTGAACTCGATGCGGTCTGCGTTTCCGTTCAACGTGAAGTTCAAGATGGCGAAGGACGATCCAGTGGCGTTCCAAATGGTGGACGACGATTTCAACAGCACGCTGCGGCAGGTAGAAGCGAAGTGGGGCATCGAGCGTAGCTGAACAGCATTCGGCAGAGACAGCTGAAGTTCATCTGCGTGAATGACAACATTCGCAATATGACGCAGCCGCTCCAGACGATTCTCCACGAGTTCTACGAGTCGTTCTTCCCGTACCCGTCGCAGTTCGAGAGGAGGGCAGAGCCGAGAGAGGAGGGCATTTCCCGGCTTGGTTGGGTGGTGGTCGTGGGATTTTTCTTCGGTTTGGGGTTCGCTGCGGTGTCTTTCTTTGCGATGTGCATTGTTTGTAACAAACACGAGATCCTTTCCTCTTGACTCGCTTTATCTCGTTCGATGGAGCTCCGGAAATGGGGCTCTGGGCGTCTGTAGAGACGACGGGGAAACTATGCTGATGAACACGGTAGTGCTTCTTTAGATCGCTGGAGGTGATCGACGCGTAGTTGCATCCGGCCACTTGACATTTAAATGGCTTCTCTCCTGTGTGTGTTCGCATGTGCACCTTCAGGTTGCTGTGATTCGCACAGCAGTAGGAGCAGTTGGGAAATGGGCACTTCAGTGGTTTTTCTCCCGTATGAGTGCGCAAATGAATACCAAGAATGCTCTTTGTAACAGCAGCATACGAGCATCCTTCGTAGGGACATTTGAAGGGCTTCTCTCCCGTGTGCGTACGTATGTGGATCTTTAAATCGCTCTTTCGGATGGTAGAATAAGAGCAACCCGGAAATGTACAGTAATGACGCTTCGGAATCACTGTTCCAGCGTTGCAACACGAACAACAGTTGTTGTTTCCATTGCACTCACAGCAAGCACAACCCATCGCGGGTTTTCGCTTGGTGGTTCTCTTGTGCGCTGGAGGTCTTGATATGCACGGGCTGCTCCCATTGGATGAGGAGCCCTCCAAAGAATCAAAGAATTCCCTTGGAACTAAAACGAGAGCTGGTTGCGTCCAATTTCGGATTTGTTCACACTCTTCAGCAATAGTACTACTAGAAAAGCCCAAGAATTCATTCTTAGGAATGATAGATTCAGGACTGATCCTGATAGAGCACATATTTTTACAATCTAAAGATACGGTTGACGACGGCGAAACATTGTGATTTACTTGAAATGCTTCCATAGGATACCGCCACTGCAAATGTAGAATTACCAGCAAGAACAACGAATGGATAGGAAAGAAGGAATACTCACCGAAAACAGAGTATGGAATAAGCAGAAACTATCCAATGCAACCCGATATCAACGTCTATGAATGTCCAGTTATGAAGTTCCGATTAATGATTGCGAGTTCGATCACTCTACGAATCCAGAAACTACAAACTGGGATCAAAGATAATCCAAAAAATAAGACTAAAACGATTCTCGATCTTGCCTGCAATTCCAAAAATTCCCCCGATTTTCTTCTTCCCTTTCAAACAAACAAGCAAACAAAGAAACAAACATCGCTATCAGTAAATTAAGCGTCCACACGATCCGCATTCGCTTCCTTCAGAACTCTAATCATTTCTTCGTGGATCTTTCCATTGGTAACCAACATATCAAACACGCGAATGTTGTAATCCTCTCCGCGAGTGCTTCCCGCTCTGCCTCCAGCTTCCTGCACCATCAGACATCCTGCGGACACATCCCACTAATCATTAACAGAATGGAGTAGCTGAACAGGGTGCAGAGCGAGTTCAAAGTAGCCAGTGAGTCGGCCAGCAGCCACCCACGCCAAATGCAGAGCGGCACTGCCCACATTACGGATACTCAGAGCATGGTCGCTCACGGCGCAGATTCCGCGCATCATTGCCTTGCGGACCTTTTCGATGTAATTGGTAGCAAATCCCACAACGCTGTCATGGAGAGTGGGATCATCTCGAACATGCATGCGAACTCCGTTCACGAAAGATCCGTGTCCACGGATTGCGGTGAACATTTCGTTGCGGTAAGGATCGAAAATGACGCCAACTACTGGGATCTCCTAGGAATCATACATACTACGAGAATGGACATTATGGGCTACGCAGATCGATACAACACTCAGAGGAAGGCTGTACACGTAGTTGGTTGTTCCATCAAGGGGATCAACGATCCAAATCCACTCTTTGTCCGAAACGGCATTGATCGCCTATGGAAATACAAAGAAGAAGAAACGTACTTCCAGGTCGTGACCCCACTCAACGTCCTCCTCTCCCAAAAGTACATGATCAGGATACTTTTCAGCCATATATCTGTTACTTAGCACATGTATATCTAAATTGATACTTCTTTACATATTCCTGATTTCCCGTATCCACCTTGGTAACGAGATCTTGAAAAGAGGCCTTGGTATGTTCTACAGAAATATCTACAGAATGAAGAAAATGAGGTGAATCAAACGGCCATAATACTTAAGCATTGTCTCCCCACAGTGGCGAGCAACCAACTGAACATCTTCACAAAGTTGTTTGAGAACTAGTGGATGAGCGTCTGCATCCAAGAAATACAGTCTTCCATCTTCGATAAACACTCTTGACAACAAAAAAACGGGCATTTGCCAACCGGGGAAATGGATGATGGGCGTTTCATAGAAGGAAGATTCACTTTGAAAGCAACTCCAATTCATATTTGTTAGATCACACAAAATTTCATGGAATCCAATACGAAACGAAACAAAGTCCTCCTTTTAGCATCGTAGTTCTGAGTTGGGTGTGTAATTGTATAGAGTTGTGCTATTTGTTTGCGGATCTGTGTGGCTTTTGATTAATCCATATGTGTCGGTATCGAATGGTTGTGAAATTTGCGATTTGGTAAAATGTAGGATTTAAAGCTCCTCGAATAATCGAGATACAGGATAAAAACATTCCCCAGCATATTGATGTGTCTGTTGATGATGATGATGTATCTTTTTTTCTACTCTCTGACGAATTGCAGATCGAATACGCTTTATCGTTACAAAATCGCTTTTGCAACATTGATCCAGATGATTTGGACGAGAAGCTCCGCGTGATCAAGTCCATGTTCGAAGAAGCGGGCTTCACCTTCGCTACGCACAACGGCGATGAGCCGCTTAAAAGAAATCGCACGATGACTCCTCTCTCCCGATTCCCCACTCTCCTCTATGGAGTCTCTCGCACATCGCATTCTTCGGTCCCTCCCGTACCTTTTTTCCTCTTATCTTCATTCTTCCAGACCTCCATCGTCCTCTCCACCGAGCTCAACTTCAACAGCACGGTGAACCCGAAAGCCCAATCATCCCCATCGGAATGTCCCTACACCATCCCTTCTCCGATTTCCCTTCTCCTCGCCGTGGCCCGCAGCCTGCAGCGTCCAGACGCATCGTCCGCCGCGCTGGGGCACTCCGTGGTGCTGGCGATCCACCTCAACAAATACGCTCCCTCGCGAAATCACGTGATCAATCGAAACGACCTCCGCCATCTTGCCGCCAAAATCGATCTCCCGCTCTTCGCCATCCACCTCGAAGCGCCCGGAAACACCGTGCCCCTCTCCCACACCTTCGACGGCTTCGCGCTCCGCGCCGACGGACTCAACGGGCGTTTCGCCTCGCTGGATTTTGTCTCCGTGCTCTTGAAATCCCTCCGAATTGTGGAGTTCCAGAATTCGCGGTCTTTCTATTTTTCCTATTTTCGGAACTTTTTCGCCGCCGCCGCCAGCCGTTACCGCGGGATTCAGCAGGAATCCATTTTCAACGCCATCCCCGCGGTTGCGCTGGAGATTCGGTCCACGCCGGCTTCCCTGCAGCAGCGCACGCGTCACGGGCAGAAAACCGCGGTTCACGAGCTGCTCCACGGACTGAAATTGGCGGGAACCATGGCGGGAGCGGTGGAGGAGCGGATTTCCCGCGGGGACACGTTCTACCTGCCTCTGTTTTCCCCGGTTTCCCCGATTCCTCGGTACGTCCATCGCCTGGACCTGCTGATCCCCGCGGTTCTGCTGATTCTGGCGGTGTTCTGCGCGGTGGAAGGCTCGGCAAAGCTCGGCACGCCGGGCAAAGCCGGGCTGGCGTATCTGGGCCTCACCGCGGGAGTGACGGCGTTCTATTGGTGGCTGAGCGCGGTGCTGGGGGACGCGCATAGCCGCGGGGAAATCCCGGACGGGTTCAGCGTGTTCATGGTGCTGGTGATCGGGTATTCGGTGTGGGCGTATGACCGCGTGGTGTTCCCCGCGATGTTCGTGCAGCGCGGGCTCTGCAGCGAGGCGCAGTGCAGGCGAAGCATCGGCGCGGTCGCGGGGCGCGTGACGGTCGTCGGCTGCACGGCGCTGCTGCTGCACAACTGCGAGTTAACCGCGGTGATCGCGGGCGCGTGTGTGCCGTTTTTGCTGCTGAACGCGGTGAGCGAGAGCCAGAGTGTGCGGTTTGCGGTGTTGTGGGTGTATTCGGCGGCGATCGCGGCGCCGTTCGTGCTGATGCTGCGAGAGGAATGTAGGGAAGGATAGAAGGAAGGGTGATGGGTAGTTTTCGTGTGGTGCAGCGATGTGCTGACGACGGCGCGCATGGATCCGTGGTTTGGGGTCGCAGGGCTGGTTTGCGTGGTAGGAAATCACGCGGTGCTGCATTATTTGAATGGATTGACGCTGGGGAAGGAAGAAGATGGAGAGAAGATGGAGAAGAAGGAGAAGATGGATTAAAGAGAGAAGCGCGGTGGTCCTTTATGTTCGATTTATTGTTCATTCTATATCATATATATACTGATTGTTTGTTTATAAAACAATGAATGAATGAATGAATGAATGAATAGTTGAATAAGGAATTGATTGATTGATTGAAAACAAACGAAAACAACACATTACGATTCCCAGACTTAGACCTTCCACCTTTAATAACTAGAACAAGATTTCAGGACTTTTACATTTCAATTTACAATGTGGAGAACGTTTCAAAGCTCCTCCCATTCTCCATCCCTTCGTTCCCAATCTCCGGTGCCGAGCGCTTCAGCTTATATTCGCCGTATCCCCGCTTCTCCGCAAGGTTCTGCAGCTGCATTTGCGTATGATTAATTTGCCCCATGAAGGTCCCTCTTTCATTCATTCATTCATTCATTCATTTAAGGATATGAATAATCTTCCTTGCTCATCGCAGTGGCTTTGCATCTCGCGTAGCAGCGGATCCACGCCCAGTTTCAGCAAAACTTCTCCGTTTTCCTCTACCTCTCACCCTCCTTCTCTCTTTTCCTACCCGACTTCGACAAAAAACAAAACGCTCCCGCACCGTACCCCAAAAACCGCGGCACCAAATGGATCTTCCACGCCAATTTCTGCTTCTCCTCGTCATCCTCGCGGCTGCTCGACCGCCCGAGCATGTGATCGCTGCGTCCCTCGTCCGAGAAGCTGCTCAGCCGATCCATGCTGTGCAGCGATCCCGACATCACCGAGCGATCGCGCAGCGGCGAAAGCTCGTGCGTGGAGGGCGTGCGCTGATAGCCGTCGCCGGGATAGATGTGCTGCTCTTCCGCGAATCGACACAGCGACTGCAGCAGCGACACGATCAGCCGAGCCTACAAGAATGAGCAACGCGCCGAGAAAGAAAAAAATACCAGCGTCTGAGAGAGCACGATCTTTTCGTTGCTGTACATCGCGCAGTTCATCACGTGCCCCAGCAGATATCCCGAGATATCGTCCCGTTTCCCCGCGAGGAGCCGCTCAATTCGCCCCAGTCCGCGTCGATAGAGGAAATCGGCGACCATCATCGCGTTGTTGAGAATGTTGCTGAGCACTTTCGCGGCCTGCACGGAACAAACGCCGCGCCAAGACTCCTCGACTTGCATCAGCGCGTGGAGTCCGTTCGCCAGCGCGAAAAGCTGCTGGTTGGAGAGATGGCCGTTCAGAACGCAGGAGAGCGTGCGCAGCGCCGAGAGAATCACGTGCTTGTTCGGAGACATGAAGCAGTCGATGATCTTGATGATGCCGCCGCAGGCTCCCAGCGTGTCCTACGATGAATTGGCTCGCGCTTCCCCACTTTGCACCGCGAATCTTTCTGGCAGCACGCTTTGATGCACTCCAGACAGTAGATCGACTGCTTCTCCTGCGTCACCTGCAGCAGCTGCGTCATCACCTCCATCCCGCGGAGCTGCGCCAATTCGTTGCTGCTCACCGGGTCGGACTTGCTCACATTGATGAGGATTCCCGTGAGATAGACCACCACTTTGCGGTCCAAGTGGAAAAACGGAACGGGAGATTGGTCGGACGACGCGCGAAGCAGCGGCTCGGAAGGCGTGTACACCGGAGAACTCTGCAATTCGCTCTCCAGAAGCGACATCACCGTGGTGATGCCTTCGTTCTCGCGGAAAAACGCGCTCACCCAACTTGAACTCTGCGTGATGTTGATCAAACAGCCCGCCGCCATCAGCAACAACTGCTGGATCTCCGGCGAAAGACGCTCCTGCGAGTGAGGTCACCGATGAAACGCCCACACGCCGTTTGAGTTCCCCGCTTCCCAGCTGCAGACATTTGATTAGGAACAAGACGGATTCGGGTTTCGAAACTTCTTTCACCACAAACTCGTTCTTTCGTTCTGTTTCGACACGCAAGCGACGCAGAGCCGCAACTCGCAGCGATATCTAGGCTCAAAACATAGAGGCTGGCTCACGAGAGGATGTAGAAGGAGAGGAAAGGCGTCCTCTACGCAGCGAGGCAGCTCGATGTCTTGCAAATACTTCAATCTCCAGCGAAAACAGCGAGTGTTGGACACGACGATGAATTCCGATTGAAACACCCCGCCGGGACTATTCGGACTTGTGGGACCCGTGAGACCATTGATAGTGCTGGAGCTATTGGATCGATTGGATCGGTTGGATCGATTGGATCGGCTGGATTGATTGGATCGATTGGAGCGGCTAGATTGATTGGATTCTCGGTGATAATTGGGACGATCATGCCGATTTGGGCCCTTATGGTTCGCGGATCCATCGATGCTTCCGGGACGATTCCGATAATTTGATCCCTTATAGAAACTGGATCCATTGGGGGTAGTAGGGACATTGGGGACATTTGAAACACAAAGGCCCAATTCGATGGGTGGTTCTTCTTTGAAGGAGGGAAGGGTGTGGAAGGGGTGCAAAGCACAGGATTTCTTCGTTGCACGCATATAAGCATACTGCCAGAACAAAACATCGAAATCCCGGGAGGAGAAAATGCGGTGGAGCGACTTGCTGACGGTGCTGAGGGATAAAACAGAAGAGATGGGGAGAAAAGAGGATACAGCTACCAGACATGAAAATGGAAGCTGTTCAAAAGAGGATGAATTTTGTGAGTCCAGTCGGTTTGTGCACGATTCACATACGCGTTGCAGTTTACACGATGATACAGGATAGCCATATTCGCTAAGATCCTAGACATGAATGGCGAAGAGGGGAAATACGAGCTGATTGGAAACACATTGATTACAAAAAACTCTTCCGCATAATCGGCAATGATGCCTTCTCCGAAAAAACGTAAAATGTCGATTGCACTTAAAACAGCTCTTCACAAATATATCAGGAACCCATAGGGGAGTAATGTGATAATTTCCTTCGACGCCTTTGGAGTAATCTAGATTATCTTTTCTTTCCCAGTCAAGAAGCCGATGATACTATGATTAAAGGATCGCAGAAGTAAACACATAAAGATCCTTACAACAATGAGACTCTGCAAAATTAGCAAAAGCCTCCTCTGGTAGTGGCTCATCTGGAACATAAAAATCATCTTTGGTCATAGATAAGTCGCAGTTTGAGTAGTTTCGTACACAACGAGCACAAACTCGACAACGAGTATACTTTCCCATCATCGGAATTGGGGACTTGAAATTGGAACATGAAGAACACACAGTCTACAAGTGAATCGCCCATAAGAAAGTGACTTGTAAACAAGATTCGCAGAAACGAAGCTTTGTCAAATCCACCTCCACCTTTTTACATATAGAGCAACAAGGAACATTGTCCTGATCCTCTCTCATTCACTATTCCTCCTGTTTCTAAAAATGGATAGCGTTTCAATACTCATGGAATATTGCCGCGGTTTTCCTTGCCTCCCCAATTCTTTTTTTCCAAAATTATTGCATCAAAAGATGTCTCACACCCTAGATTGTAGAAAAATCGACTTAAATCGACAGGTCACTTCAACGAAACACAATTCATATTTTTCAATAATATATATAGTATTATGTAGTGCATCACGAAAACTATTTTTTCCTACAATAATACCAAATCACCCTCCTCAAACTATTGGAATTCCAATAAACCCATCGATTTCAAATCATTTTCATCTTAATATCGCTATTTCGAATGAAATCGTGTGTATTTAATAGCTACGTGATTTTTTAGATTGCTTGCTCTTGTATTCCTATGCTTTTCGCTTTGTGCGAGTGGTACGACTATCTTGAGCCAATTCAACACTAGAAATGATTACCTTGACGAGTGAAAACTTTTACGAAGAAATCTATAGTTCCGGGAGAAAAGGAAATTGGATCATTATGTTTACTGCTCCTGTATTGTTAGTATATCATGTTCACGCGTAGTGGACCTCGATTAAGAAGAAATACGTCCCGGTCTTCACAGATCTTGCCAAGGAGATAGGTTCTGAAGTGAATGTTGCGACTGTATAGTTTTCTCGATTGTTGCTAACGAATAGATCAGCGCTACAGACAATCCAGTAACAGCTTCTGAATTTGGTATCTCGAACTATCCTACGATTATTTTCATTGTCGGGGTAGGATTCTCGTAGTATGTTGATTGTATAGAAAAAGTATGCTGTCTATCATGGCTCAATCCATTTAAATGCGCTGAAAGAGCTGGTTAGCGAGACATACAAATATCTGGACTACAAGAGCATTCCTAAGGCTCCTTCTCCCTTCATAGCCTACGTGGATGTATTCATTCCCTCCTGTTCTCCCTAATCATTTAGCGCGTTGTGAATTTCCTGGAGCGACAGCTCTCGACTTCCCCTCTACTCATCTGTGGGATCTTCGTTTTTGTAGGGATCGTTTGCGGTGTGTTCCTCGTTCTAATCGGCGAGCTGGTTCTGCAGCCCGTGGAAGCTCCATCTCCCATCAAAGAAGACTTTCCTGTTTGTTAACAAACACGCCAGCTCTTAATCGCCTTCGTCTGCACCTTGACAAACATATTTCGGTAATAATACACGCTGGCGCTTCCCTGATCTCGCACAATCTTCCCACTCTTCTCGATCCCCTGCGCATCACTTCGCTCCTCGCATCACCTACCTTCAAGATCTCTTCGCACACCGTAATCGGCATCGCCATCTCCTCCATCAGATCCTCCTTCTTCACACAGCCCTCGTTCTTATCGATCAGCTCCAGCACCACGCTCTCCGCCTTCTCGAACGACATGCCCTCCGTGCACAGCACCTGCTTCCCCTTCACCACTCCCAAATACACGTGGTTCTCCGCCATGTCCTGCTTCCCCAGCAGCTTGCACGCCCTCATGAACTCCTCTGCTTTCATTCGCTCTCCCCATTCCTACCCGGCGACTTCAAATCGTTCGCCGTCGCGCGGCCGTAGTAATAATACGCGTCCAAAAGCGGAATCGCCCCGCGATACGTCTTCATCAGATTCCCCGCGGTCACAAACCGCGCGATCTGCTTCGCCAACTGGCGGTAATACAGCTCCTCGTCGCTTCCCTGCTGGATAATGTCCAGCATTTCCAGGTCGTCCATCGCGCTGTTTCCGATCGTCGTCTTCGCCCACGCGTTCGCCGCCGCGCGCAGCTGCTGCTTCACCAGCGGCAAATAGCTCTCCTACACTCCCATTCCCCGCGAAACACCCACCACCGAGAGCAGCCAGATGAACATGGCGTTGATGTTGCGACTGCAGACGTTCAGCGCCTTCGAGAACCGCTCGACGGTCTGGCATTCCTCGTAGAAGACGGCCAGCGTGTTGTTCCGATTGCGAATGAAAACCGTGTCGTATTCGTGCAGCGTTACGTTCGCTTGGAATAGTGTTTCTACGATCGCAGCGTCCTTTTTATCGTTGAACTGCACGTAGCGTTCCTTCGAATTCGGAACCGTCGATTGGAAAATGAATCGGCTCCACTTCGAGAGGATCTTCCCCGTTTCCACGCGCACCGACTGCGTGGTTTGCAGCGGCCAATACACGCCGCCCTTCAAATCCTCGGTGATGAGCAGCAATCGGCGATTCGACACGGCCAAAAAAGCCTTGTTTTTCCCGTAATAGCTCGATTCCGACACCTCAAACAGGTGCTCGATGACTTCGTTCCCCGCCAATCGCACGATCACTACATCGAATCCCGCGGGGATGGCTACGATTGTTCTCCCACTGCAGATCGTAGAACTCCTTCTCCGGCTCCTTCGGCTTCTTCGCGGGCGCTTTGGAGGGCGGCGTGGGAGATTTCGACAGTGGAACGGCGACTGTTTTGTCGTTTAGCAGGCTCGGAGGCGCGAGCTGGCGCAGAACGTTGGAGTATTGCGAAGGAGGGATCGATGGATTCGGAGTGGGAGGAATGGAGGTGGGGTAGGCGGAAGGAGGATTTGAGGGAGTAGCAGTAGTGGGAGTAATAACAGAAGACGAAGAAGGAGGAGGAATGGAAGTGGGAAAGGATGGGGTTGGAATGGAACCTGCTGCGGCGTATGAAGGAGTCGGGGCAGTGGGAGGAAGAGTGGAAGGAGTGGTAGACGGATAGGAAGTGACGTAGGTGGGAGTTACTGGTGTAATTGCAGGACGACCGTAAGATGCTGCGTAGGAAGGTCCGTACGATGAGGTAGGAGGAGTAGGCACCGGCTGATAAGGTGCATAACCTCCTGGAGCGGGTCTGGCTGGACTTTGTGGAGGCTGATATATAGAGGGTCTTGGAGGAGCGTAGGTAGTTGGTTGTGGTGCTACGGATATTCCTGGTTGAGGAGGGATCATTTGAGTCGCAACACCCGCTGTAGGAGTATATTGATAGGAATACGGATTTGCAGCTGGTGGAATCATCCTAGGGGGTTGAGAATAAGCCGGAGCCTGCATTCTCGGAGTTCCATACTACACGATGTTAAGAACAATTCGAAAAATGCGTCTATCAGAAAATAAGCACGTACCATAGGAGGTTGCAATACTTGTGGAGCAGGATGGTTTGAGTATATCTGTGCAGGACGAGGAGGCTATGAAGTGAAATCTAGATCGAACCCAAACAGGAATATTATAATATTGATTTGGATTCATAATAATAGCAGGTAAAAATTATGAAAACAAAAAATAAAGTCGAGTACATTTACAAAAGCTAGTGGAACGTATACCAAATACAGAAAAACACACAGATTGAAATGAAAATCGCCACAACAACACTACGTATCACTTTCATTCACTTCACCCACTTATCCCTCGTATTTCGATTTCCAATCTTTCGCATTAGCGAATTGACAACTGGAAAACGACTTGAAAGTCCCTGAAGCACACCATTACTATGACTGAGTCGTTTCTTTTGTTCTAAAAGCCGTTCGTAAGAAGAAGACGCAGACCTAAATAAAAAAACATAAGAAAAACCGAACTCTAAAAAGCTGTCTGCCAATCGAAGAGAATTCTTTGCTGCTGTCATTTCCTTCAACAAAGACTGCGTCTCAGAATCTTCTTGCGATCTAATCTTAATTCCTTTAGTTATATTCGACTGATCATAATGCCCTGAAAAGAGTTCGATTCGAGTGCTCTTTCGATCGGCAATAGCCTAATTTATAGATATATTCAGAAAGTACCTTTGAGTGACGATAGTTTCCTGACAAGTCCTTATACACATCTCGAAAACGCTAGGAATGACCAAAACGGTCGGAAAAAACGTTCAATATAATGCGTTGATTTTCAGATCCTCCGGCTTTCACATACATCTCCATATCAACAAGCAGTGAGATGAACTAAAACTGATTGGTCGCGATTACAGCTACTCTTTTCAACGAGGTTTGAATTTGGTTTTCTATATCCTTGATGCTCGCAATATCATCTAGAAGATCACACATTCGAGGCGAAAGCACTCTCTCCAGCAGACTCATCCTGTATGTTACGAATAATATTATTTAGGGCTTGAATATTGTCCTACTAGTCATTAACTGCTATTTCGAACTTACGGATGTGGATGACTCCAGTACATTCAGCTCCTTAAGTATGTCTTCCCACTAGAAGTGAATAAAACTCAGTTGTCGTACAAGCAACATGAATATGAAAGCAATGCTAATTTCTGGAATTCCAAAAGTACCTATTGACAAGTCCCTCGAATCATTCTTTGTTTTCGCCAAATTGTAGTTATTGAAAAAGGGGCATACGAGGCAAAGCTGTTTGTGTGGCCCATTTCGGCAATTCAATCATCATCCCGTTATTGTGGGATATGCATTTTTAACCAGTATCAATGAAATGCATATATCACCAACATTCACTGGATCGTTCTGTACAAAAAGAGCGAATATTCCCGCGGGGTGATAGAAGAATGCATTCTTTATTTTGTTATTATGGTTGAAGCAACAAAACCTATTTCCGATGTCAAAGACACGAAAAAGAAGCTCCCTCATGGAGTAGACGTGTATAAGGAAGATCTCGATGGAGAATATTGGTGGTTAAAAGATAACGATTATTTATATCGCGGGTACAGAACAAAATTATCGTTTGGAGAGGCATTTCGGAGGTATTCGTAGACGAAGTTTGTAATTCGTAGCATTTTTCGAAGTAATAATGAAACAATGAATATATGGACGCATGTTCTCGGCTGTCTGTTATTTATTTTCCTCATCTATCTCACATATGCAATTCCGGTTGAAAACATTTTTACTTTGAGGAGTGATGTCACGAAAGCAAACGCTGTGCTGCAGTGCTCCTCAAAGAACCTAGCAGATGTCGTAAAAGAAGAATATGTGGTGAACGCCACCTGTGTGGAAGTTGCTTCGCGAGACGAAAACATTGCCGAAGAATTTTCCGCCCTATTCTATTATCTATCCCACGAGAATCACTCCTCCGTATTGGATAGTCTAAAGGATTCAGCCCACACCTTCTTCTCTTGGTACGAATCATCGAACATGACCGTTCTCACCACGGACGTAATGAACGCTCTGATCTCGACCTTGCAGTCCGTCTATCACTACCTGCTGTCCTACGCGGATGGATCCAACGTGTACGTAGAGAAATCTGCATCGGTCGTGGAAGTGCTTCGCGGAGATCTCGAAGAAATGAATCACAAAGTGGTCGGTCATGTTCCTCGCTGGCCCATTATCGTTTTTGTTTGTTGTGCCATTTGGTGTCTTGGAGGCAGTGCGATTTACCACCTCTTTTATTGCTGCAATTTTATCGTTTCCAACATCCTGCAGACACTCGACTACTGTGGAATCTGCATCCTCATCTCTGGTTCGTATGTGCCTGTCATGTACTACAGTTTCTATTGCTATCCGGACCATTTGAAGCTCCACCTCACCATCGTCATCATTCTAAACGTTATCAATGTTTGTGTCATGGCCACACCGAAGTTTAGGTCCTCTTCTCGATCTCCATTCACACGTAGACAGCCAGAATATCGCTCTGTGCGAGCACGATCGTTCACACTCGTAGCGTGCTATGCAGTGTTTGCATTGATCGATTTGTACCATCTCGACGGACTCAGCAACCCGCTCTTCCGCGTTATGGGGTGGTATATCGCGGGAATGGGAGGCACCTACATCCTGGGAGCCATCTTCTATGGATCGCGGTTCCCGGAGAAGTATTGGCCGGGGTACTTTGACTATGTGGTATGGATTGGGGGATCGGGTGATTGGGTAGTTCTCTTCTCATCAACTTTTCCATGTATGTATTGTGATAGCTGCGCTCTTCCATTATGTCGGATGTTACCAGGTGTTCGTGGATCGATTTAACAGTCCATGTCCAATTCATTGAGCTGTTTGTTGGAAAGAGAAACGTGTTGAGGAGAAGACGATTGACAAGGTCAAAAATGATTGACAACCGTTCAATGGTATCTTCCACTGTTTGCTTGCTGGATTCCCATAAGGTGAACAGTCACAAGCCTTCGCTTGATTTGTCCAAAGATGATCTTTACGGAGATCTTTCCTGGATGCGTGATAATGACTATGTGACGAGAGGCTATAGGGCTTGTCTTTCATTTTATAACGTGTTAGCAAGGTAGGGAGTTTGGTTTCGTTTTTCCATAGTCTTTTTCGAAGTCATAATGAAACGATGAATATCTGGACTCATCTAATTGGTTCTGTGTTGTTTGTTTTCCTGCTGTATCTAACATTTGCAATTCCCATTTCTCCGGACTTTGGAAAATCAAAGGTTGTGGGAATTCATGAGTTGATCCAAGAGGAATTAAACGAAATGGTCTTTGGGTCTGGATCCGGTTCTGTTGTGCCTCGATGGCCAATCACTATTTTTGTGCTTTGCGCCATTTTCTGTCTCTCTGGAAGTACCATCTTTCATTGCTTTTTGTGTTGCAACGAGAAAGTTCGAGCAATCCTACAAACAATCGATTACTGTGGCATTAGCATCTTAATCTCTGGATCCTATTTCCCAGTGATTTATTACCCATTCTACAATTACAGTCAAAGTCTCCGATTCCATCTCATGGTGGTCATTATCATCAACGTTCTGAACGTGAGTGTAATGATCACTCCGACCTTTCGACAACCCAAATACCGTGCAGTGCGTGCTGCGTCCTTCACCTGCGTAGCCTGCTATGCTTTCATTCCACTGTATGAACTCTACACGTTGGACGGATTTGCAAATCCGATATTTTCGGTAATGAAGTGGTACATCGTAGGAATGGGAACGTCGTACATCCTGGGAGCGATTCTTTACGGATCGCGGTTCCCAGAGAAATACTGGCCAGGATCGTTTGACTTTGTTGTAAGGGTGTGGAGAGAGGGTGAGAAATAGTTTTCATCACATCAGTTGTTTCATGTGTGTATTGTGATCGCTGCTCTTTTTCATTATGTGGGTTCGTATCAGCTTTTTGTGGCGAGATTGAATTCTTGTCTCTGATATTTTGTTTGTTATAGAGTTGAAAAGAAAAGAAATGGAATGGAATGGAGTGAAGTCAAGTGATTGCTTCTGAGCTTCTTGCGTCAATCACCACACACACAAAGTCCTCATTTACAATAAATCAACCAACATTTCCTTCCGTCTCAAACAAACATTTCACGCATTCACTTTCTTTACAAACTCCCAAATGGAGCTCACTCTCTCCATCTCCGCATATTCAAACCGAAACTGTCCCAGATTCACCAGCACCGCTTCTTCTTTTTCTAAACTGATCACCGGAAACACACCACCGATCGCATACACCCCCCTATCTCTCACTCCTCCCTTTTCTTCTCTACGAAAACGCCACTCCCAAGCTCTTCCCATTCACCGAATATTCCAGCGTTCGCTTATCCGCATCCAGCAGGCATCCCACCACATCTCCGGGCTGGCAGCTTTCTCCGTACGGCTCTCCGTCGCTCTCTCCGTGCCATTTCCGTCCTCTTGCCACATCTATTCCTCAGCAACCCCCCCATTTCGAACCGAATCCCCAGCTTCCCTCGCTGTCTCCCACGCCGTTCTGCTCCTCCTCGGCGCAGCCGTGGCTCTGCGAGGCCCAGCCGATCTGCACGAGTCCCTCCGTCAGCAGGTGGACTTCGAAGTAGTACCGACCGCTCACCACGCGGATGGCGCCCAGCTGGATACTGGGAAATGCCGAGTTGGCTACAAAGGAAAGAAAGAAAGAAACGGAGTACCCGAGATGATTCCATCGTCTTGAATCGACGCATCGCCCGTGAGAACGGAGAGCTTGGCTCGGAACTCCTCGGCACCGGACGTTTCGTTCTTCTTCCCAGTTTTGTTTGCTTTGTTTGCTTTGTTTGCTTTGCTTTTCTTCGGAAATGAATCAAATCCCAAGGGATCAAAGTCCTCCATTTCCAGTAGACTCGCTCGCTTCTGCGATTTCTTCGCCTTCGGCGGCTTGTAGTTCGCTTCGATCGCATCGATCGCATCGATCGACATGTCCTTCACCGTCGTGTACGCCTCGATTCTACGTTCCACACGCACCCAAATCGCTACGCTTCTTTTTCCTCGCGCTGCTTTTTCAGCTCCTGCTCGTGCAGAAACTTCGCACGGCCTTCGCCCGTCAGCTCTTCAAATCCGTGCGCGAAGTCGCATTGGTCACCGCGGGGACAGCCCCAGTTTTTATCCGCGTTTGGCGGGACCGGACCTTTTTGCCGCGCATTCCACCAAAAATCGCACATTTTTTGCTTTTTCTGCTCGCGCAGAAACACGGCGCGCGACTTCTTCACGCCTTCCGCCCAGCAGGGAACTTCGCAGTACCAGCCGACCACTCCCGCCTTCGGAGCCTCCATTGGCACATCGGAACTAACCATGAGAAAAGAGAAGCAAATACATACATGGTAGCGTTTGGATCCTTCGCCTTTAGCTCTTCGAATCGCTCCTGACGCTCTTTCCACTTCTGAATGGCAACTAATGCATTCACATAACGCATATGTCTGCCATTGAGGTCTCGACAAGCACTGAAATCCAGTGTTGCGTTTGGATTTGTAACTTTAGCCTTCTTTTTCAGCATGTTTCCGTAACTATGGAATTATTCATCATACAACAGTAATACCCTCCCTTTCCTCCGCGCAAACGGAGAGTTACGTGAATTGAACTGAATTCAGCGATTTTATCTTGGGGCTGCAAAAGACGCCCATTTTGAACTAAAACCAATTCATCTTCAGGAATATTCTCGATTTTCTATGAAAACATTTAAAACAATCATCCCATACAGAAATGACTTGGCGAACATTTTTGCCGGTTGCATCATCCGTAGAGCAGACTTTTGTTTCGTTTAATCGGAAAAAGAACTGAACCATGGCTTTCTTTCCTTTCCTTCACCGAAAATATGATCTATTTTTGGAATCTATCAATATCAGCTTGTATGGAATGAACGCGACACGGCCTGTACATACGCTCCCTCTGCGGCCCGAAACAATTCGTAGAATCTAGTTTCGTTGTCCATTCATCGGCTAGGCACACTTTTAAATGAGGGTGTTAGTACAGAGGATGAACTAACCATGTTTGTGAATAGCATGGAATCGCAGCAATATCTAACGTTAGAAGAGCAAACTGATATCCAGACTTATTTTGAAAGAAAATCAGGCTTATCAAAGTCTTTCTCTACCGCTGCAGATCTCCTAGTTCATATTCAACGAACATGGAGAGATATCTCTACAGGGAGTAGCGAGATCGATAATCTACTACTCGGAGGGTTTAAATGTGGCACAGTCACAGAGATTTCTGGAAGAGGATCCACTGGTAAAACCCAGCTTGTCATTACTGCCTGCGCAACTGTGCAACGCTATAATACTCCATCACATCAGTTTCAGTGCATCGTTATCGATGCGGAGAACACGTACAGCGCCATTCGGCAGCAAGAGGTTCTCACCAACCTAAAGAACCCGAATGCTTCACTTCGAAATATATTTGTCTGGAAGCCTCAGTCACTCACCGACCTGATAGAACTGCTAAAATCACTTCCTATATTCCTGGAACAGCACCCCCAAGTATGTATGGATCAAACGGAATCATCGAATTAGGTGAGATTTATCGCGATCGATTCCATCGCTTATTACTTCAGGCAATTCACAGACATGATCGAACGATCCTCAAAACTGAACGAAGCCATTTCCTATCTCACAAAAATCGCAAATCGAATGCAGTGCGCAGTATGATCCATATTCTTGATTCATCGCAGATCATCGTTACCAATCACATCACTTCCTACATCTCAGATTCTCCCGAATCGATTGTTTCCGAAGCCCAAGTGGTTCAGCCTCTTCTCGGTCCTTCCTGGTGGCACTCTGTGACCTCGCAAATCCTCCTCTCCATCGAACAAAACGGCCAGCGGCGATTTTCCATTAAGAAATCTTCCTATCTGCCCTCATCTTCCTGCTTCTTCCGCATTTCCTCGCGCGGGATCGAAAACATCGATTTGATTGTTTGTAACAAACACGCAAAGCATGCTCACTCGTCCAACGACAATGATAGAACTGGCCTCTCGGCTGATCCACACGCTCGTACGTGTGCGATCCAAAGAAATCGCGCTGTGCCTGGATCATGTTCGTCGGCAATCTCTGCGACCGGAAGCTATCGAAGTACTGCAAACTCGCCGTCAGCGCCGGAATCGACACGCCGCTCGCCGCTGCCAGCGTCACGATGCGTCTCCACGCCTGCTGTCGCTTCACTAACTGATCTGCGAACGCAGGATCGAGGAGCAGATTCTCCAAACCGGCGTCCTGCGCGAACGCCCCGCGGATTTTATCGAGAATCTTCGCGCGAATGATGCAGCCGCCCTTCCAGATCCGCGCGCATTCGCCCAGATTGATGCCCCAATTGAACGTCAGCGACGCCTGGCGGATGATCTCCAGGCCCTGCGCGTACGCCACGATCTTCGAGCAGAACAGCGCGTCCTTCAGATCCGACACCAGCTGCGTGCGATCCACGGTTCCCCAGTCGAACGCGGGACCTGGCAGCAGCGACGCCGCGCGCATTCGCATGTCCTTCTCGCCCGAAATGTAGCGTTCGAACAGCGCAGAGGAGATCGTCGGCGCCGAGACGCCGCGCTCTGCGGCTTCCTTGACGGTCATCATGCCGGTTCCTTTGCTTCCAGCAACGTCCAGAATGCGGTCAATCAGATAGCCCTCGCCCACCAGCTCGTCCGGCTTCGCCAAAATCAGACTCGTGATCTCGATCAAGTAGCTCTCCAGCTCGCTCTTGTTCCAGTCCGCGAAGATCGAGCTCATCTCCGGGTTGCTGAAGCCCGCCGATTTCAAGAGATGATACACCTCCGCGATCAGCTCCATATCGCCGTATTCGATTCCGTTGTGCACCATTTTCACATAGTTGCCAGAGCCCGCGCCACCGATGTACGTTACGCAGGCTTCGTTGTCGACTTGAGCGGCGATTTTGGTCAAAATATTCTCCAAGGCTTCGTAGGCGCTCTTACGACCGCCAGGCATCAGCGAGGGACCGTGGCGAGCACCGATCTCGCCTCCAGACACACCCATGGACACGAAGAGAATGCCCTTCTCCTCGAGGTTGCGAGTGCGCTGGATGCTCTTCTCGTACCACTCGTTACCGCCATCAATGAGGATGTCGCCAGGCTCCAGGTAGGAAACGAGGCTTTCGATGGTTTTATCCACGGGAGCGCCCGCCTTCACCAACATGATGATCTTGCGAGGTCGGATCAGCGATTCACAAAATTCTTTCGGCTACAAATCATGCAGGAAATCAAAAACGCACAGTCTGAGACCCAAAAACCTTATCTCCCAGATTTTCTTCTTTGGCTCTTGTTTCGCATTCTTGCACCTACGTCCTATTCAATCCCTAATTCTTACTCTCTCAGGAGAACGGTTTGATACTGCTACATTAAAGCCCTTGGAAGCAATGTTCAGAGCAAGATTGCTTCCCATGACGCTTAGTCCATATACACCAATATCACACGACATATTGTGAGTGTTTAAACTGTTTGATATACTGCTATATAAATATAAAAATATTATGAGCGATATTAGGTGAAGCTTTTCAAGTCATAAGTATCCAAATGAATCTTTGTTTGCCCATCCAAATCTACCTTTCCAACGATCACTCACTCCACACTTAGTCAACAAACACACAACTAAACATTTAACCCAGAATACTACGCATGGAGATCTGCATCATCAGCTTCTGGTTGTACTCCTTCAGCCGTTCCTCGCTTTCCTTCACCAGGGTCTCCTTCTCCTTCTCCTCCGACTCCTTGACCACCTCTTGGTACATCTGCTCATACTTGCACGCGTCGGACCACTTCATCATCAATCTACATTCCATCGCATCCCCCGTCCACTCCCTACGCAGAGCACTGCGCCAGTCCCTTCACACACTGCACATAGAGCGGGTGCTTCTTCTCCAGTCTGTCCACGGCGATGGCGAGGCAGTCGATGGCCTTCTGATAGGACACGAGCTCTTCGTACTGCAGACCCAGATTCGCGTAGACTTCCCCGATTTCCTCCGAGCCGTCGCCGCACGCCATCACGTAGATGTCCAGACACGCCTTCGCATGCAGAATCGACTCATTGCGCGCTCCCGCGTGGCCCAGAGCGTCGGAAAGCTGGCTGTGGCAGATGGCGGCCTCGATGCTGTCCGCACCATAGGCGCGCTGCGTGTATTTCAGCGCCAGTCGGTTGTATTTGACCGCGTTGACGTAGTCCTTCAGCATGAAGAGGATCGAGGCCATCATGTTCAGCGCGCGGATCGCCACGGGATGCAGCTTCTGGCACAGCGTGGCCGTGTTCAGAACGAGCTGGCGGCTCTGCAGGAACGCTTCGGAGAGGAAGCCTTGCTGCAGATACACCGCGCTCTGCTGCAGCGACTGCACCAATTCGTTGCTCAGAAGCGAGTTGAATCCGCACTTCACGTGGGGCACGAACGACAGTACGTCTTCAGGCGCCAGAACGCACGACGCGCTCATATCGTACATGCGGCTGCTCACGCAGATGCCCATCAAGGAGCACACGCGGCGCAGCAGCTTCACGCGCTCGCTCTCCGTGGGCTCGAAGCCGCTCGTCGGCTCCGCGCCCCACAGCTTCAGCGAGTAGAGGAACTTCGCGTCCACCAGCTTCCAGACCTGATCCCACACGCCCGCAGGCGTCACCGCGTTCACAGCCAGCTGCACCGCGATCGACTCGGGCACCTTCGAGCCGGACTTCGCCTTGCGGTTCTTGCGAATGCCCTCCAGACGGATCTCTGAATCGCGCTTGGAGGCCAGCAGCGCGTTCAAGAACGCGGCCACCACGTAGCCCGGCGCCGCTGCGAGGGTCTCGTCGGCCAGCAACACGGTGAGCATCTGCTTCGCGGCGCGCGCGACCATTTCCAGCTCGCAGGAACGCAGAATGTGCATGTCCTCCGCGTCCACCGCTTCCAGCGAGTCCTTGACGCAGAGCATCGCCAGCTCGCCCAGATAGCGCAGATTCACGCCCGAGGCGTGCATCAGCTGCACCAGCTTGCTGCTGTCCTGGTTGTTCAGCGCCATCTCGCGGAGCTGCGTGTGCAGCACGGGCAGCACCTGGCCCACCAAGAAGTTCGACAGCATGATCACGTTGTTCTCCAGCGTGGTGTCCGTCTCCTTGCCCTTCCCCGCGGACACCGTCGTGTACGAGAACGGCGTCAGCGCGTTCGGGTCGAACGCCGTGGGCAGGTTCTTCACGATCGTCTCCAGCTCGGGGATCTGCGACCGCAGCGTCGCGGCTCGCTCCTCCGTCAGGCCTTCCACCTTTTCTCCCTTCTCCAGCTTCGCCAGCAGCTCGCGGATCTGCTGCAGCTGCAGCTCGCTCTGCTCGCGCTGCTCGATCAGCTGCTGCACCAGCTCGGGCCGCAGGAGGAACTGCGCGTCCTGGTTCGGGTCGCGCTTCAGCACTTTCTGCAGCCAGTACGCGTCCACCGGCTGGCACCGCAGGAAGTCGATGCCGTACACGTTCCCGTCCAATCCGCGCAGCAGCTTGCCGTCCGCGGGGCCCACGAACTCCACCGCCTCGTTCTCCTTCACCTCGACGGGCTGGCTCGCGGCGGGGGCGTCGAACGCGCCGCGCGTCGTCTTGCGCGGCTGCGTCGCCTTCACGTTCAGCTGGGACGTCGCCCAGTGCAGCTTCTTGGCGAGCTCGGCGAGCTGCGGCTGCACGCGTTCGTCCTTGTAGAGCGTCTCGCAGCTGTCGTACGATCCGCTCAGCATCAGGTCGTCGAGGGGTCTCTACAGCTCGCTCCACTCGCGGACGCTCACCTCCACCACACCCGGAACGGGCGTCTGCGCGAGGAAGCGACGGCCGCGGTAGTCCACCACCGCCATCAGGATCGTGCGAAGTCCGGGCACGTTCGCGGTGTTCAGATTCGTCACGCCCTACATCTCGCTCCCTCCCCTCTCGCCTACAAGCACGCTGTAGTTGGCCAGAACGCGCGCTCCCGTGTTGGCGAGCGAGGGCTCGATGTGCGTAAACGTGATCCCGTCCACCTGGTACGTCTTCAATCCGCCCGTCGTGGGCTCCGCCACCAGCGCCTCTACACAAAACGCGTGCGATCCGCGCCTACCATCCACGATGCGACGCGCTCCGCGCACGGCCGCCGCGGCGAACTCGTTCTCGAGACTGTACGAGTAGAAGGGCTGCAGCTCGGCGTCCACTTGGTCCTTCACCAGATTGTACTCCTGCAGCCAGTTCGGCGCGGGAGTGACGTCCGAGGAGAGGTACGGAAGCGTCTCGCCAGCCAGCAGCTGCGCGGCCTGATGCAGCAGCTCCACGCTGACGGTGTCGTCCTGCGAGGAGGCGAACCAGTGCTGCGGGGGAATCGTGTTGCTCGCGAGGGTGGGCAGCGAGTCCAGGATCTCCTCCAGCGAGAACTTCTCCGTGCGATCGCCCTCCTCCACGTGCTGCTTGTACCACGCGGCGAACGCGGGGGACACCGCGACCAGCAGGTGGCAGAGCGTCGAATAGACCGTGGAGTGCTGCTCGCTCACAGCCGCGTTGAACACGGAATCGGAAGACTGGCTCACGTAGAAGCCGTTCGTGCAGCAAGTGATGTGGAGCACCGCGTTCTCCTTCGTTACGATCTACGATGTACGAGGCTACACGGCTCTACGCGCAGATAGGCCAAGTCGCCGATCAACTGGCGATTGGAGCTCGGAGGGTTGTAGGCGGACATCTGCATGCTGCACAGAGGATATTCCTTCTTTTCGCTCAGCAGCGCGTGCGTCTTCGTGAAGGAATCCAGGTTGAATTGGATAGGGAACTTCGGCTTCTCGATCTCGCTCTTGAACTGCTGGTCCTTCTCGATCGCCTCTTTGTCGAGATAACTCTCCTTCGGCTTCATGTCCTCCGTGGGCTCCTTTCCTTCCATCGAAGCCTTCAGAATGTTCTCGTAAGCCAAAACGCTTTCAGGAACATCTTCTACCTGTTTCTTCGTCATGAGCATAATAAGCGGCAGCGTGTCAGTTACCAACGCTACGGTCCGCTTGATGTGCTCGCGTGCTGCCATTGTAGTGTACTGGTCGCAAACTAAGTTGAAAATAGCATTGTTCTTGATAGCATCAACTTCTCCGAAGGGAGTCACTTCGTCAAGTCGAGTGCGAGTAGGTTTCGTATCAATCTCGAAGTGATAGTTGGAATACACAGATAAGCTGTAAAAAGCAATAATTCTTTCACGCAACGAGGCTGCCGTGTCAGAAGATGTTACACTGATATCAACCTTTTCGCCATTGGGTCCTTTTACCACAATAGTAAACTCGTTCGTGCTTTGTGCAGGTTGATCGCTCATTTTACCGATTTACCTATATATTATTTCCTATGAAATTGGTTTCATACCCCTAGAATGTATAGAAACTTGGTACTGGGAAGAAGGAAACGGGGAAACTGGGGTTTCAGAGTTGGTTTTCTGAACAAGGTCTATTATTATTGCTTTTGTACAACAAACAGGGAAGCATTTCGACTGCTAGAATTGCTGCCGTCCGCAAGCAGGACAGCGGGCTAGATTCGTTGTACATACTCCGCATTCGCAATATCTATCATTCGGATTGACTCGAATCTGCGCTCTTGCCTGATTAAGACTTGAATGCAAAGAGGATATGCTTCTAGAAAGCGAATGTGAGATTTGATCAAGTTCCATCGTAATCGATTCATAGATTGAGCTTATGTCTTCACTCTTTTTGTCAATCGCATTATGCAAGGTCTTTAAACTCAGTATTCTCTTGATAGTTGCTTTTCGAGGATTCGTACTCGGATCAATTTGGTTGTCCAGTTTGATGGCACGACAATTGAAATCTCGAATTTGTTGTTCGATTCCATTGTACTCGATCTTATAGCGATTTCGCAGCTCGCTAATTCTACTGCGTCCCAGGCGAATAACATAATCCAATCCCATGCCTTGGTCCTGCAGAAGCATCGCGTGAGCATGATAATCGTTCCGAACAGCCTTCTCAAACAGCTCCAATCGTTTATACAAACTTAAGAGCGATTTCCGAATCGTTTGGTACATCGCATTCAACTCAAGAATCGATTGGTTGTAGAGGGTCGTCGCGAGAGGCGGAATTACTGGTCCGTTCTTTACATATTCATAAGCATCGACCAGACAATTGAAACTCTTTTCTGCATCCTGTAAGGCCGCGTTTAACTCCCTAACCTGAGTTTCACATCCATTTAGCTTGCCATAAAAGAACCGGTCTGGAAGCACATCCAATCCGTTCTCAATGATGCTACTCTAAAAGACCACAATGCAAAAATACAAATTCCGATTCTCTCTCTCCCATTCCTTCTCACTCCAAATCTGGTTTTGGCAACCGTTTACACGACTCATCAGGATTGAAACCTGCGATCTGGCATTCCGGATCTTTTCACTGGTTGTATTAAACATGCCTTCGTTGAACGAGCTGAGAACCTCATGGACTTCGTTCTGAAGATCCTGCTCTGACAACGCGTACAACTACATGTCACACCGAATCTCCTATCCCACGTTTATATTAAAGTTGCTGTGCCGAACCGCGTCCTGCAACTTCTCCTCCAAACTCCAAAGATTCAACTCGTTTTTCATCTCGACCGCAAGCGTTTCGGCATACCTCAACATGTTGTCTGTGACCTACTTCGAAATGAGCAAGCACTCCTACGCTGTGAGGAACAAAAGCGTAGAACAGCTGAGACCTGGTTACTTCAGGCTCATAGAATTCGCGGGGTTCTTCGACGGGCTCGTCGATTAGAATGATCTCCCCGATAGAGACCAGATACGCCTCCAGCTGATTGTACCTAATAATCTCTTTGACTCTATTCATTTTCTCCTGGATTGTATTAAGATATGAAGCCATCTGCTTTTGTAGATAGCGAGGAAGACTATCGATCTTTTTCAAAACATATTCGGCTAGGCAGAGACCCTTTCCATAAGGATTCGAAAACCGCTTGTTTTCTTTCATGAACATTCGAGAGTAATCTGCTAATCTGCGAAGCTCACAAAGCTGTTTGGCGTTCTCGCAGATGTCAATCCAGGACTGTGAGGCACGAGCATTATTGAAAAGATTGCTTGCAGAGTCAAATAAGGAGTAGGACTCGGCAGCCAAAGCAGCTAGTTGGGAACATTTAGAATTACTGGTTTTGTATAGTTTTTCATATTCTATGGACCAGTAAAACGCGTACAAAAGGTTGTGTAACTATCTGTAAACTAGAGGAACAATGCAATACTGCCATCAAGCCCTTTGGACTTAACTCCCATACGCTGATGTTGCTGAATGAAAAAGAGAGTACATAATAAATGTATTCAAATGTTTGGCTGGCTTTGAGGAAATTGTAGCTCGCACCGTTGAGATCATTACTCTAAGTACATTAAAAAACTCTATTTACACACTTACGTTATATTGTTTACATGCCCGCTGAGAGTAGAGGCAGGCTAAGTTAAATATAACTAACGACCGTTCATAACTAAAATTATACTCCTGGAATTGTTTCTGGTTATCTATTGAACTCCAACGCACTGAAATATCAAGGCACTACATAACAGATATCTCAGTTTAGTACATCTCTTTCGTACAGTGCACATGAGTTTGATATGTTATCCAAAATAGACTGGTATTCCTCAAGTGTCAAAATATCTTGATCTGTGCGATAACTCTCTATGGAGCAAACTGACTTTCGAATTTCATCAATCCTTGCTAGTTCATTTTGTAGTTCAGACAGATATGTCTACAACAGATAAATTCCGTGATCACCTACATTTCCTTTTCTTTTACACAAATAATTGTAAATTGGTTTTTTAATTGATTTCGCCTGTGATTTCTTCAAAGGAATGCTGCAATACATGACTGAAACAAAAAGATAAAAATAATTGAAGTATATTGGTAAACGGAACTTTTATATATAATGTGCATTATCTTATTATCTATTTCGGTCTTATCTAACTTTCTTCAGTTACTAAAGTTCCGTACTAATAAATAGGCATATCATTTTGAGACTTGAAGGCAAGTATGGAACGAAGGTTGTTGTGAATACTAATGTTATGTTAAGGGTGGATACCAGATAGGAAAAGATCGTAGAGATTAGTGTTTTGAATATGAAATGTGTACATTTCCCTGCAAAATAACCTATTACAATGAAATCAGTTCCATAACGACTCCTCAAATGAAATTCACTCCAGTCTGAGCAAGGATAATCGATCTATTGAGATTGGAGACGAGGATGAGGATGTCAATGAGGAGTATTATGGTCTCGTTGTGTAACTCTCTCTGACTTGAAGATTCCTCGGATATTTTTACAATAGCTGTTCCTAGAACTACCGGTAAAGATAAAAAGAAAAAGAAACCGACACAAAAGTTAGATTCCGTTGAGTTTTGAATATCCGTGTTATTACTAGATGGATTGGTATCCGGAATCGAATGACCTATTCAATTCTTATCAATACACTGTCATCCTCACTCTTTTCACTTAGTTCTAGAAACAGCAAAACCCTCGTTCTTTTTTTCCTGAAATGTCTAATGGTGTTTCCAGAAACCAGGATTTTGATCGTTTTCGTGATCAGACAGAGATGAGTCCTGATTTGCCTTTGTCTATCTCGAACAATATTGAGGAAATTGATGTACTTTAGACAGGACGAGATAACACGTAGAATAGTGTCCAGAAACTGAAGCAGCATGCCCTCTCTAAGACCGAACAGGATGAGTACTTTCGTCTTGAAATTGAATACAGGAATAATGAGCAGAAAATCGTTCAGTTAGTAAGTGTAGAATGTCAGTATTACTGATAGCAAGGTACAATTAACCAGCTTTATTCGGATTACGCAATGTTGCAGCAAAAACAGATCGATGAAGTGAATGTATGGTACTGAAATGGATCGATATCTTCTAGATGATCCGGAAAACAGAGGAAGATTTCATTGCGAACTACGATGTGAAAGAACTGACTGCTATGAAAAAGGATTATGTCAATTTCTTCAAGAAGAGAGAACAATATATACTCACACAGATTGAGGACCGATACGAAAAGCCAGTTCGAGAAATGTACATCAGTACGCAGGCTGCGATTCGAAATATAGTAGAAGATGATTTGGTAATCGTGATTTTTGTAGAATCGTTCGATTCTGGGAAAGATAATATTCACGATCGTTTGGTTCATTGAATATGTGTAGAACTGGGTCAAAGATGAGTGGTCGAAAATAATGACAACAGAGAAGGAGGAAGAAGAGCCAGTGTTCCAACGACCTGATAAGATATATAAGAAATCAAAGAAGGGGAAAAGTGATCGAAACTGAGGTAGTAAGCAAAAGAGATCGCGTGTTTGTAACAAATACTTGCTAAAACAATTCCTTTTCATAGCATGTCGCTATTCCCGACATTCCTTTCTTCAGTTTTGCAGGCGTTTCCATATCTCCTGTCTGAGCCAGTCCATGATAATGCTGCTCATTGATGAACTCCAGCATTGGGCTCTCAAACACAATCATTTGATAATCCTTTTCGTTGATTTCTGCCTCAACAAGCTCTTCCTCTTTCACATCGCCCAGCAGTTTTCTATGTTCAACAGTCATTCCAAGCATACGTGTAATCGTGAATATACACCGACTCCCACGCTCTTTCGCCGATAGAAATCTCGTACTCATAAGGCATAATGATGGGGAACGGATATTCCTACAGGGGAACCAATACTACTACTACAATTACATGCGTATCGATAAAGCAACTGCGTTCACAGCCAATCAGCACGAAACCTTCCATTCCAGGAAAGTTTGCGAGCTTCGGAAGTGTGAGTTTCCCAACCATGAAGGGATAAGCAACCTGCTCATGCTGCTCTGCGAGAAAGGAAAGTCGGTTTAGCATTTCTCTGTATCGATAGACAGAAAGCGTGCCCATAACAATTCCGAACATGCGGAGATTCTCGAATCGCTCGATGTTCACATAACGTTGCATTAAAAACTTGTTTAAGGTCTAGAATAAATGCTTAAATATGGAAATACGGCATTTTGGAGCTGGGAGTCGCAAAGAACAGTTGCTTTCGTATAAGTCGAGTCGATCATCATTGAATACAGATTTCCATTTTCATGGTAATTGCTGATCATGGCTCCATCACGAGCGATAAACAAGACCATTCCATTTGGATCAATTTCATCGATTTTAAAGTAATGATAGCCCATTTTAATGTAATGGGAGTCAAAGCGAACACTGTTCGAGAGATTTTGACTTCGCATTACCTCACCCTTTATCAGTGTAGGGCAGTAGGGACGGAGTGAATCAACAAGAGCATCGATACTACGAGCAAAGGACAAATCATATCCCAAATAGATTGGAGAAGTTATTCCACCAAATCGTTCGCGAATAATTTCTGTACAGTAATCAACATCGAGAAGCTCGTTCTCGAATGCGTAGTAAACCGGTATATCTTGAACGAGAGACATGCATGCGTCACCAAAATGAACAACCATATCTGCATTTACGTGTTCTAGAGCCACCTATGCTAGAAAAGCACAAATAGTTAGTACCACATCAACACAACAAGGGCAAACAGTCGTATCTCCCAAAATATAAATATTGCAGTCTTCATCTAGGTGACTCTGTACATTACAAAGGTAATATTGTCCAAACCTTCAATTCTGAACTTATCACATCTGCTTCCGATAACATACTATCGGGAAACTGAAGAGCAATCTATTGTCATAAATACACCGACAAGATAAACCTTTTTCGCATTCACTTCTTTTACAACGTTTACTATATTTTTGCAGTCATAATAATCATAGACAGACTGTTGATCACGTCCCATGTCCTCGATACACAAAGATAATGTGACGGTTTTTAGGTGGATCGATGATGTGATGCTGAGTAGATATTTCGATATTTCACAGTATATTCAAGAAATCAGACATTTAATCGGAACTGCCCCTGGGTAGCAATCTCCAGTCTGTGGTTGGCAGGAGATTCTGTGACCCCCAAGCAAATGAGTTGTTCTAGAATATGCATTTTCCCCAGATTACTTTTTCTTTGTGCAATAACTGATGAAAAGCATTCTGAAGTATTTGCTCTATACGCTTATGGTGGTTGCGCTCCTCTCTGGACCGAGTAAATCCTGAAAGAGTTGATAATTGATAGGTATGACGGTGTTTGCCCAGGAGGATGATGAAATTATGGAGGAAAGCCCTATCGAGACTTCGGAGGAGGCTGTAGAGGAGAATCCTACGATGGAAACTTATGAATTCCAAACGGAAGTGAATCGTCTTATGGATATTATTATTAACTCTCTTTACCAGAATAAGGATGTGTTCTTGCGTGAAGTGATTTCGAACTCTGCTGATGCGCTTGACAAGATCCGTTTCATTTCTCTGACGAATAACGAGGTACGTAGTTGTTCAATGCAATGTCAAACGTTGTGAATTGTGCTTCTTTTTGTACGATTATGATGAGCTTGTGTCTGTGAGGATAGAGATCTCCAGGAACAGCTTTGTGCTGGCGAACCCTCCTGGTCCTCTATTCGTATGAACGCACTTTGCGTGAAAACGCGGTCTGAATCATGCTGTTGTGTTCGAATGAATGAATGAATGAATGAATGAATTTGCAAATTGTTGAACATTTATCTAACGATGTCTCTAGGCTCTGGGAGACGACTCCGTGGACGACTTGGATATTCGCATCAAGTTCGACGAGGAGGCTGGTACTCTGACGATCACGGATCGTGGTATTGGTATGACGAAGCAAGAGCTGATCGAGCATCTTGGAACGGTGGCCAAGTCGGGTACGACGCAGTTCGTAGAGAAGATGGCTGCTGGAGGCGATCTGAACATGATCGGTCAGTTCGGTGTGGGTTTCTACTCTGTGTATTTGGTGTCGGATCGCGTGGTGGTGCGATCCAAGAGCGACGAGGATCCCGTTCAGCACATCTGGGAATCCAGCGCGGATGCGACGTTCAAGGTGGGCGAAGATCCTGCGGGCAACACGCTGGGTCGCGGTACGGAGATCACGATGTATCTGAAGGACGATGCGAAGGAATATTTGGATGCGGACAAGCTGGAAGGCCTGATCAAGAAGTACTCGGAGTTCATTACGTTCCCGATCTATCTGTATAAGAGCCACACGGAGACGGTGGAGGTGCCTGTGGAGGAAGAGGAAGAGGAGGATGTGTTCGAGGGCGAAGATCTGGAGGATGAGGAAGGAAGCAACGCGGAGGAAGTCGAGGAAGAAGAGGCGGAGAGCGACAAGCCCAAGACGCGCACGGAGGAGAAGACGGTGTGGGACTGGGAGCTCATGAACGAGCAGAAGGCGATCTGGTCTCGCGACAAGAGCGAGATTTCGGACGAGGAGTACGCCAACTTCTACAAGACGCTGGTGCGCAACAGCGAGCAGGAGCCTCTGACCTGGACCCACTTCAAGGCGGAGGGAGAGATCGACTTCAAGTGCATTCTGTACCTGCCCAAGAAGGCGCCCGCCGATCTGTACGAGGACTTCTACCACAAGAAGATGAACAACCTGCATCTGTACGTGCGCAAGGTGCTGATCCAGGATTCGTTCGACGATCTGCTTCCTCGCTATCTGTCCTTTGTGGTGGGTGTCGTGGACTCGGACGATCTGCCTCTGAACGTGTCGCGTGAGCAGCTGTCGCAGGACAAGGTGCTGAAGGTGATGGGCAAGAAGATCGTGCGCAAGGCCATCGAGATGATCAAGAAGCTGGCCGAGGAAACGGCTGCGGAGAAGGAGGCCGAGAAGGCCGAGAAGGAAGCCGAGAAGACCGAGACGGAGGAGCAAGTGGAGCAGACTGAGCAGACTGAGCAGAAGGAGGAGGAGGAAGTGGAGAGCACGCAGCCTGAAGACAACGCGAACTACATCGAGCTGTGGGAGCAGTTCGGCAAGTCGCTGAAGATCGGAGTGATCGAGGACAGCGCGAACCGCAACAAGCTGGCGCGTCTGCTGCGCTACAAGTCGTCGACCTCGGAGGGCAAGTGGACCTCGCTGGAGAACTACGTGAAGCGCATGAAGGACTGGCAGAAGCAGATCTACTTCGTGAGCGGCGACTCGGAGGAGAAGCTGGCCGAGTCGATGTTCCTGGAGACGTTCAAGCGTCGCGGTGTGGAGGTTCTGTACTTCACGGAGGCGATCGATGAGTACGTGGCGCAGAACCTGCGGGAATTCAACGGCAAGACGCTGCAGGACATCACGAAGGAGGGCGTCGAGCTGGGCGACGAGAAGGAGCATCAAAAGAAGGTGCAGAAGGCCTACGAGGAGAAGTACGAGAGCTTCACGAAGTGGCTGAAGGAGCTGCTGGGCGACAAGGTGGACAAGGTGGAGATTTCCAGCAAGCTGGAGTCCGCGCCCGCCGTGCTCTCGACGAGCCGCTACGGCTACTCCGCCACGATGGAGCGCATCATGAAGTCGCAGGCGCTGCAGAACCCGGAGCGAGCGAAGTACTTGAAGTCGCACAAGATCATGGAGATCAATCCGCGCCACCCGATCATTTCCAGCCTGCAGAAGATGGCCGACGAGGATCCGGAGAGCGACGTGGCGCGCGACTTCGCCAATCTGCTGTACGACAGCGCGCTGATGAACTCCGGCTTCATGATCGAGGAGCCCAACGAGTTCGCCACGCGTCTGTACAGCCTGATGAAGGAGTCGCTGCAGCTGGAGAGCATGGAGTTGGAGCCCGAGATTGAAGTGCCCGAGGAAACGAACGAGGAGGAAGAGGAGGAAGAAGCGACGGAGGAGGACGAGGACGAGAACGAGAACGGCATCAAGGTGGATCTGAAGAACGGAGAACAGATGGATGAGGACGAGTTCCGCGAGATGCTGAAGAAGGATCGCAAGGAGGACGAGGAGGATGACGAGCTGTAAAGAGAGGAGAATGTACACTGGATTGATTGATTGATTGATTGAGTTGGGCTTATTTGCTGTATTTAAATGATGGGTTGAGTGAGTTGTTTGTTGGAAATGCGTTGGATGGATGGATGGAGAAGAGGGGAGGGTAGCTAGGGTATTGATTCATTGGTATTGCTTCATGATGAATGGTGGTCAGTCACGCGATATGGAGGTATAACTGAACAAACATACAAAATACGCTTCTGAAGTCTACAAACACTGCAGTGTCCTGCAAAAGGGGAGTGCCCGAGATGAATAAGAATGCTATGCGTGGCCACAAAGTTCTCAAAGGTGTTGATAGTGAACGAAATGTTGATTCTCTGGATAATGACATGTCGCAGCTCTTCAAAGTATCCCTCTCGACATGACAGTCCCAGAGACTTCAATACTGCCGAAAACTCTTCGTCCTTCATCTTGTAATGATTGCCGAGAGAGAGTGAGAGCCTAGTCAGTGCGACAATAATCTCTCTACGCGTCAAACACGCCGAATAACAAGCACCGGATATTGTTTTGCAAAGAACAACACGGACCGTACCCAATATAGGAGTCACAGTGGGCGCAGGGAACAGCCATCCTTAACACCTTTTCAATTTCCTCCAAGAGATAGGCGACATAAACAATCGTAGAGGACTCAATCCTACTTGGATTTGTCTGGATAAGAGCGAGGGAGAATGTCCTTGATGTTAGGGTTCCAATAGTATTACGAAAAGTATTTGTGCAGAAACTGTGACTCTTGAAGTTCAATATCGGTTGTCTTGGTCGTTTCTCCCTCTTGTTTCGGTTGGGTCAACACTTTGATATGCATAGGCGTGTCAACAGCTGAAGGAAGCCCACTGTGAGCTTTTAGAACAAATAGCGTAGAATAGACGATGATGTCTACACAGTAACGACCTATTTCATATCCTGACCAGTTGCAGAAACTTGGTTGACAGCGGTATCCGATAGAAAATGTGATAGCTCTCGATGTTGCTTCGCGGAACCTCTATTAACAACTTGAGAAGCCAGTGAATGGGTTGGAATAAGATTCAACTGAGCTTGATTTACGGTTGTACGTTTGATGCCAAGCATGGAAAATACACAAAGGAACCTCAGACTAGCTCGAATAACGAAAAACACTTCCAATAAGAGGGGTATCGATTAGTAGAATACCTTTGTATCACGTGGTCCAATCAAATTGGTTGGAGGTAGAATGAAACGACTGGCTTAAAAACATGGGAAACTAGCTCTAGATTTAATAAAAACTCGTATATTTGTACTATTAACTCTATTTTGCGTTATGCAGCGACATGAGCACAAGTCTGCAATTTCCTTCTTCTTCGAGCAACACTTGTTTCACAGCATGTAGATTCGTCCGAATGCAAGGAAGGCGCAATCTCTTCTTATACGCGACAATTCAAAACAGAATAGTGCAATGGTCGAAATAAAGTCAAGGGTTGAAATTCTGTTGGTCACAAGCTTATTTCGACGACTGCACGAAATTGAAGGAATGGTTTCTAACTCAGAATTTCTTCATTTCAATTTGAAGTATTTGAATAATGTATGTGGAGTGAATGTCTGATGTGTGTGGTCGTTTGGGATGGAGTCTAACCTGTTTTGTAGCATGGGTAAGGAAAAGCCTCATATTAACTTGGTCGTCATTGGACACGTCGATTCTGGCAAGTCCACCACCACTGGTCACTTGATCTATGCTTGCGGTGGTATTGATAAGCGTACCATTGAGCGTTTTGAGAAGGAGGCCAACGAGATTGGTAAGGGATCCTTCAAGTACGCTTGGGTGCTGGACAAGATGAAGGCCGAGCGTGAGCGTGGTATCACCATCGATATTTCTCTGTGGAAGTTCCAGACTGAGAAGTACTTCTTCACCATCATCGATGCCCCTGGTCACCGTGACTTCATCAAGAACATGATCACCGGTACCTCTCAGGCCGATGTTGCCATTCTGATCATTGCTGCCGGAACTGGAGAGTTCGAGGCTGGTTACGGAAAGAACGGTCAGACTCGTGAGCACGCTCTTCTTGCCAACACTCTGGGAGTGAAGCAGATGATCTGCTGCGTGAACAAGATGGATGACAAGTCCGTGAACTACTCCGAGGCTCGTTACAAGGAGATCAAGGCTGAGATGACCAGCTTCTTGACCAAGGTCGGTTACCAGAAGGTGGAGGAGCGTATTCCCTTCATTCCCATCTCTGGATTCAACGGAGATAACATGTTGGAGCGCTCTGCGAACATGCCCTGGTACAAGGGACCCACTCTGATTGAGGCTCTGGACAACATTCATCCTCCTAAGCGCCCTGTGGATAAGCCTCTGCGTCTTCCTCTGCAGGATGTGTACAAGATCGGAGGTATTGGTACAGTGCCTGTGGGCCGTGTGGAGACCGGTATCCTGAAGCCCGGTATGACCGTGACCTTCGCTCCCGTGGGTGTGACCACTGAAGTCAAGTCCGTGGAAATGCACCACGAGTCGATTCCTCAGGCTCTGCCCGGAGACAACGTCGGTTTCAACGTGAAGAACGTGTCTGTGAAGGACATTCACCGTGGAAACGTGTGCGGAGATGCCAAGAACGATCCTCCTTGCAGAGTGGAGTCGTTCACCGCTCAGGTCATTGTGATGAACCACCCCTCGGGTATTCGTCCTGGTTACTGCCCTGTGATGGATTGCCACACTGCTCACATTGCCTGCAAGTTCGAGAAGATCATGTCCGAGATGGATAAGCGTACCGGAAAGGTCCTGCGTGAGAACCCCGATATCGTCAAGAACGGAAAGTCCATGATGGCCGAGCTGGTGCCTTCCAAGCCTCTCTGCGTCGAGTCCTTCCAGGATTATCCTCCTCTGGGTCGTTTCGCCGTCCGTGATATGAGACAGACTGTCGCTGTGGGTATTATTAAGTCCACTGTCCGTGCTAAGTAAGGGGAAACGAATGGATTTCTGTACACTGGGTTGTGTGTTTGTTGAAACAAATCTATTGAGAAAAAGGAAGAAACGGTTAGATGAACGAGTCTCTCCGTTTGTACTGGCAGGTGTAACCCCAGAAAGTGCGGTCACCTGTGCGAATCACGATAGCCTTCGCCTCTCCCGAAATCACTCGACTTGCCATGAAGCAAATGTCAGACTGATAGAACAGATGGGTTGCACTCGAAGGCTGGCTTCTACAGATGAACGGCACAAACGACACGAACAGCAAACAGTAGCATTCCATTACGGGATATTCAGAAAAGAAATAGGAACGGTCTATTTGAAGATGACTCTTACACTCGATCAACCGGCAATCTGCAGGGACAATAGTATCTGGCTTTAAACATATCTACAATAGAAATGCAAAAAGAGTAACACAATATCACCAACTACCAAATCAGCTGCATCGACTATCATAACTCGGCCACTCCGAATCACACGTGCTGTCTTGGGAACCATTTTGTCATATTCCTGCATTTTTGCTAAGGATAACGCTCCGCCAACGTACCAACGTATAGCTTTGACACATGGAAGAAGACAGCACATCCAAGAGGGCAGATTAATCGGAGGAGTCACTTTGTTCGGTCCGTCTCTTTGAAGTTTTGTTAATGCTTCGGCCATGTCCAAACCCTCAAATTTGATAGACATTTTGGTACCTACGACTTCCGGATTATGGACACCGAGAATACTATACAATTGATCGAGATCAACTAACCGTTCTCTCTGGAAGTGAATTCCTTCTAGTTCCCTTACCAGATCATACTCTTTTGAAATCGGGTCAATAAGATAGGCGCTTTCACTCATGCTAGATAAAGTATAAAACAAACAGATACGAAAGGGTGGTTGAGGTAACAGCTCCCAGTCGAAACTGGTGGTAACTCCATTCCTTAGAAGTAGATCTGCTGGACAGGTCCCATGGTGGACTTGATGTACACCACCTTAATGTTCTGCCACTTCTTCTTCAGCAGAGACACCAGGAAGTTGATGGAGAGCACGATGTTGCTCTTCAGCTGGTCCTTGGTGAGCTCCACATGGCCCACAGGCACGGACAGGCACAGCACCTTCTTCATCTGGAACTTCACAGTGTGAAGGATGCCCTTCACCTTCTCAGCGGGATCCTCGCTGTTGGTGATCACAGAGGGGAACTTTCCAGCTCTGTTCAGACCAGGTCCTATCAGTCTGGGAAGCTTCTTGATCAGAGTATCCGAAGCGAGGAAGGCGTCGTACTTCTTGCAGAGCTTGCGGATCACCTTCTTGTTCTTGTTGATGGCGGTGATCTCATCCACGTTCATGCAGGGGATGTTCTCCTTCTTGCACAGCTGCTCGTGCTTATCGTTCACGAACACGCACACGTTGATCTTAGCACGAGTGGGGTTCGGGAGCTGGAAGGAACCAGCGAAACGCTTGTCCTTGGCAGGGTCAATCTGCTTCAGAGTGACCTGAAGCTCCACGGTCTCCACGAAACCTCTCTTCTTTCCCTTCAGAGTCTCACCGTCCATCTCAATCTCCTTTCCGGCAGAGTAGTCCAGAATGTTATCAAGAGCCTTGCTCAGAGTTTCGCTGTTAACCTTACTAGCACAACGTTAGAAAATTCGACTTCACTCAACACCTACCTCATTGCTTTACGAAATATATGGAAGGGAAGAAAGGGAGGAATGAAACCACTATTCTTTTCTATAAATCGTTTTAGGATTGAATAGGTTTTATGAATAACCGACTAGGAAAACTCAAATATTCTGGACTAAGGGGTTGCATGGCATAAAGCTAGGACGAATCGAAAAGTAGATGAGAAGTATTGCTATGAATGGCTTATCCTGTGTATATATAGCTAGTTGAACACGACCATACTGTTCATTTCAAGAAATAGGGAGATCATCTCACTATGATCATAATCGATTATTTTCCTCTCTGCTGTGTATATTCCACTATTTCCTAAATAGAATTGCTGTTCATCCACAAAAATAGCAATAATGAGGATATCATGAATGTCACCCTCCGGTGAGCAGAAGCTAAATGTCTGAAAATCTGCCTCACAAGAGGGTGTCTTCTATTAGATTGTCTCAAATATCTTCGTATCTAGATTAATAATGTCTGAACAAGGTAGTATCTATGCTTAGCTTTGTGTTGTCAAGTTTTTCTGTGTAAATTCCATTGTTCTTGGTGTTTACCCTTGATGTAGAACAAACCGTTCCGCCCGCTGAGGTTCCTGCTCCTGTTGAGGCCGCTGCCCCTGCTGCTGAGCCTAGTGAGCCCGTTGCTGAGCCTGCGCCTGTTGCTGAAGTGGCTGCCCCCGTTGCCGCTCCCGCTCCCGCTCCCGCTCCCGCCCCTGCGAAGCCGATGGTAGCTATTCCCGAAGCGGCTCCTATGCCTACGGAGAAGGTAGGTTTGGTGATGTGTTTCTGATGGATGTAGCCTGAGTTTGATATTAAAGTGACGAACCCTACTCGTGTGGCTGATGGAATGTCTTCTCATGTGAATTATACTGTAAACACGAACACGACCAACGAGAAGTACAGCTACAGCCAGAGCGTCGTGGTGCGTCGTTACAACGACTTTTTGTGGCTGCATGATATTCTCACCGACGAGTACCCCTACGCGGTGATTCCTCCGATGCCCGAGAAGAACACGATGAACCGTTTCGAGATCGAGTTCGTGGAGACTCGTCGTGCCTCTCTGCAGTCGTTCCTGCGCGAGATCGCCGCGGATCCGCTGCTGAAGGAGAGCAAGCGTCTGCGCACGTTCCTGACGGCGGACGACGAGAAGTTCGCTGAGGAGAAGGCGGAGACGAAGTCGTCTCTGAAGGATAGTTTGAAGGGCAACCCGATGGAGGCGGGTATGAAGCTGCTGAAGCTGATGGGCAACGGCCTGAACAAGGTGGGCACGCAGGTGCAGAAGAGCGTGCAGCAGCAGATGGGCGGCGAGGCGCCGATGAGCAAGGAGGACGAGAAGCTGGCGAAGTACGTGCAGTACATCAACGATCTGTCGGAGCAAGTGAACGCTCTGGCGACGCGCGCTTCGGAGTTCGTGGAGCACCAGAGCGATTTCACGGCGAACCTGATCGACATGGGTCTGGCCATGAATCTGATGGGCCAGCTGCAGCAGGACGTCGTGGGCGACGCGATGCGCAGTCTGAACGACGCCATCAGCGTCATCCAGCAGATCTGGACGGAGAAGGGTCTGCGCGAGGACCGCGCCTTCGTGCAGCCCATGAAGCGCCTGGTGCTGCTGCTGAACGAGGTCAAGATGACCGTGGGTCGCCGCACGCTGATCCTCTCCAACTACCAGAGCGCCTGCCAGAGCCTGAAGAAGGCCAAGGCCACGTACAAGAAGCTGGCGTCGACGCCCGGAAAGAGCTCGAAGCTGCCCGGCGCCGAGGAGGAGATCGAGCGCTACAAGAAGCGCGCTGGCAAGCTGAAGAAGAAGCTGCACACGGTGACGGAGAAGATCAACGGCGTGCTGGACGACTTCCGCGACCGCAAGATGGCGCTGATCCGCAACATGGTGCTGGATCTGCTGCTGATCCAGATGCAGTACCACAAGCAGGTGGCCAACGTGTGGAGAAACTATCTCCCCGAGCTGCAGAAGATCAACCTGGAGGACGCGGTCAAGTCCGCGGAGGAGTTCGGTCTGGCGAGCGTCGACGAGAACCGTCCTCGCAATGCTGTGGCTGACTCGGACGATGACGAGGACGACGACGAGGACGATGAGAGCGAGGAGAGCGGAAGCGATAGCGATAGCGATAGCGATAGCGACGAGAAGCCCAAGAAGAAGGCGAAGAAGCCGGCGAAGAAGAGCAAGAAGGATTCTAGCGAGAGTGAGAGCGAGAGTGATTCCGATGATGATGATTCCGATGATGATGACTCTGATGATTCTGATGATTCCGATTCCGATGACTCGGACTCCGATTCGGACGAAAAGCCCAAGAAGAAGGCAAAGAAATCGGCCAAGGGAAAGAAGGCGTCCAAGAAGAGTAAGAAGGACTCGAGTGATGACTCGGACTCTGACTAAAAGCTGTTTTATGTGAGTGTTGCATTTTTGTTTGTTTTAAAGTCTCTCACTTGAATTGTGATCCCCTCCTGAATTGGAGATTGTCCCGCGGTTTTGGAAGGATGAAACGCCCAAATGATTCCCTATTTCTCCAGTTGGTGAATAAACTCAGAGATTCATTTTCTTCAAATTAGAGAGCATAATGTTCGGACGTTCCTTCTCTGGAATTCGTGGTGTAGGGGTTTGGTGACGTTTTGTGAGAGTCTAGGTTTCTAAACTTGCCAGAAGTTTTGCGACTGAAGGTAGGGAATTTTGAGGTGGATTGAGTGCGTAGGCGAGCTTCCGTTCAAGAAGATCCTGGTAGCTAACCGTGGAGAGATTGCTTGCCGTGTGTTCAAGACCGCTAAGCGCATGGGCATCAAGACGGTGGCTGTGTACTCGGACGCTGATCGCAACGCCAAGCACGTGAAGATGGCTGATGAGGCTGTTTACATTGGTCCTTCTCCGTCTGCCCAGAGTTACTTGGTGGCCGATAAGATCGTTGAGGCTTGCCGTAAGACTGGAGCTGACGCTGTGCACCCTGGTTATGGTTTCCTTTCTGAGAACTGGCGTTTCGCGGAGACTCTGGAGAAGGAGGGAATTATCTGGTGCGGTCCTGGCAAATATGCGATTGAGGCTATGGGAGATAAGATCGGTTCGAAGATCCTGGCCGTGAAGGCGAAGGTGAACACGATTCCTGGTTTCAACGGCGAAATCAACTCGGACGAGGAGGTTCTGCGCATTGCGAACGACATTGGTTACCCTGTGATGATCAAGGCGTCGGCCGGAGGCGGTGGCAAGGGAATGCGTATCGCTTGGAACGACAAGGAGGCGCTGTCTGGATTCCACCTGTCGAAGCAGGAGGCGAAGTCTGCGTTCGGCGATGACCGCATGTTCATCGAGAAGTACATCGAGGAGCCGCGCCACATCGAGATCCAGGTGCTGGGCGACAAGTTCGGTAACTACTGCGCGTTCCCCGAGCGCGAGTGCTCGATCCAGCGTCGCAACCAGAAGGTGATCGAGGAGTCTCCGTCGGTGCTGCTGGACGAGGAGACGCGCACGGCGATGGGCAAGCAGGCGTGCATGATGGCGAAGGCGGTGAACTACTGCTCCGCGGGCACGGTGGAGTTCCTGTGCGACAAGCACAAGAACTTCTACTTCCTGGAGATGAACACGCGTCTGCAGGTGGAGCACCCGATCACGGAGATGGTGACGCGCGAGGATATCGTGGAGCAGATGTTCTGGATCGCCGCGGGCCGCAAGCTGCCGGACCGTCTGATCAACTGGCCGCTGAAGCGGTACGCGCACGCGATCGAGGCGCGCGTGTACGCGGAGGACCCGCGCCGGAACTTCCTGCCGTCGCTGGGTCTGCTGACGAAGTACATCGAGCCGCGCGGCGAGTTCGTGCGATGCGATTCGGGCATTCTGGACGGATCGCAGATCTCGATGTACTACGACCCGATGATCTGCAAGCTGGTGACGTGGGGCGACGACCGCGCGACGGCGATCAAGCGCATGGACGAGGCGCTGAACACGTACATCATCCGCGGCCTGAACCACAACTCTGCGTTCCTGCAGGACGTGATCCGGTCGAAGCGCTTCGGCTCGGGGAAGATCACGACGAACTTCATCAAGGAGGAGTACCCCGACGGCTGGACGGGCTCGCACCTGACGGAGACGGAGGCGGAGCAGCTGATCGCGGCGACGATCGCGGTGCACCAGGAGCGTCTGGCGAAGGAGGCGACGAACGACCAGCAGATGGAGTCGTACGAGCCGGTGTGTGAGAAGGACCTGGTGGCGACGGTGGGCGAGAAGGAGTACAAGGTGCACATGGAGTTCGAGGGCGAGGCGATGACGCTGGAGATCGACGGAAAGAAGGTGAAGGTGGAGGACGCGGGTCTGGAGAGCGACCGTCCGATCGTGAGCGCGAAGGTGGACGGCGTGGACGTGAAGGTGCAGTACTTCGAGCCCACCACCGAGGGATACAGCATGCAGTACTGCGGAGGAAACTTCGACGTGGTGCTCCGCAGCGCGCGCGCCCAGGAGCTGAGCAAGTTCATGATCCCCAAGGTGCAGCCCGACACCAGCAAGTTCCTCGCCTCCCCCATGGCCGGATCCCTCGTCAAGGTCCACGTCAAGGAGGGCGATCGCGTCGAGGCCGGACAGCCTCTCGCCGTCGTCGAGGCCATGAAGATGCAGAACGAGCTCTACGCGCAGAAGGCCTGCGTCGTCAAGAAGGTCTACTTCAAGCCCGGACAGAACCTCGCGCTCGACGATGTCATCATGGACTTTGATGTGTCCGCTTAAGCGAGCGAACGAGCGAACAGGGAAGGAATAAAGAAGGAAAGAAGGTGTAGTCGTAGTAATAATCATCGTATAACAACAATATGAATACTGAAGTGTTTGTTGGAAAGAAAAAACACAGGAAATGAAAGAATGATTGATGTTGGTAGTGTGACTTGTACAAAGATAAAGTCGATTTTGGAGTTGGAAATGCAGGGAATGGGTCAGGATGGTCAAATATTCCACTTGGAATAACAAAACCGAATGCTATTCTTGCTTGGAAGAGATGCAAGGTACATTGTTTCATCATTATTTCCCTCCCCCATCTTGTTTGCCTTCATCCCATTCAATATTCAATAACATCCTCTCTTTTATACACACAAACAAGTCAATCAGATTCATTCTCAAATATATTTTCCGATTCCTCCTCATTCGAATCCACCGCCTCCTCTTCAGAAGACACCTTCTTCATTGTGCTCTTCGTCTCCTTCTGCTTCTTCGGTGTTTTCTCCTTCAGCTCAGGATGCTCCCGTCTGTACTCTCCCATCTTTTCCTCGTAAGCCTTCTTCTCCTCCGCGTGCTGCTTCTCGTACTCCTGCTTCTCCTCTTCAGGCAGCTCCTTCCACATCTTTCCTAACAGAGTCGTAATCTCCTTGTTACTCATATCTATGCATAAACAATACCCAATTGTTTTACGTACCAGGGTTCTTTCTTTTAACTTCCTCACGTTTGTCATTACTGAAGATAATATAGGAAGAAAGAGGTCTCTTCGGCTTGTTGGGATCCGCATTCTTCTTTCCGGTGGGATGAGTCTTCTTGTACTCCTCCATCTGCAAATCGTACTTCTCCTTATCGGCTTCATAAGCGTCCTGATAAGGCTACGTGTCATATACTCATCGTTACTCTACTTTCTTCTCCTCTTCAGACAGTTCCTTCCATTTTTCACCTAAGACCTTTGAGATCTCCGTAAGTTTCAATTCTATATGATGCGGTGAGCAAAAGATGCAGAAAAAAAGAAGCACATACCAGGATTTTCCTTCTTGACCTGCTCACGCTGTTCATTGCAATATCGCATATAACCACTCAGAGGCTTCTTTGGTTTGTCGGGGTCCACTTCCTTCTTTCCTCTTTTCGTGTTTTCCTTGGTTTTCTATTCTTATCAGAATATTTAGACACATACAGGTTCTTTATTCTTTGGGGACATTAAAAGTTAATTAATATTTGGAAAATTTGGATCAATTTAAATGTGCAAAGCCTAAGGTGTGGGCAAGTATTTGAGAAGTAGGTAATAGCTTTATAGGTATGTTCACTATACTGTCGTGCAATGGGTGGAATAATTTATTTTGCTCATTGCACTGCCAAAATATCGGGATTTTTCGCGTGTGCAAATCTGGGTGCTTCTTTTTCTTTTCACTCACTTTTGTTGGTAGGGTAGTTTTAAGCAATATTTTTACATCAGGTTGCTGTGGATTACTGATATGTGGGTTATTTGGATTGTTTGTTACGTTTGTAGTGGGATTTATACTCTTACCTTCTTATTTTTTGTATTCTCAGTCTACTAATAGTTTTCACATTCTGTATTGAATTCGAAGTTTGAATTACCTCCTAGTGTTTTTGGTACGTTATGAACAATATAAAGATTTCGAGATATGAGCAAGAGGATGATAATAAAAACGGGTATGTCACTCCTCGATATAACCAGCAACGAACCAATGGTGGTCGTTACATAAATAATAATCGTCAAAGAAATGCTGGTAACAGATCTGGTATAGCACCTGGAGGTATGGGAGGAGCTGGAACCGGAGGTAATTCCGTAACTGGTTCTTTCCCCTCATCAAATTCCAATTTCGATATTGAAGGATCTAGCTGGAGAAGAAGAAGGGCTTTCCTTTTGGTTCTGATGGGTAGGTGATTCGAATTCTCAGAGAACTCCATTTATTCGCACAGTCTCGTCGACGTCGAGTCGCCACGATAATTTCAGAAATGAAAACGAGAATATGGTGTCTGTAGAGGAAGTCGTCAGTGGCGATCTGTCCAAAGGGATCGTACAGGAATTCCGTGAGAAGCTCTTAGCGGACAGCACTGAAGAGGATCTGAGGCCGCAAGTGATCAATGACAAAATCGTTTATGTTCGTGTCTTTCGTTTCCTTGACTCTAGAGCTTGCTTTGTGTGTTGAAACTCTCCGAAGTGGAGCCTCCCGAAATGAAATGCCCTTTATCCTACACAATCTACGAGAAGAAGTTTTTTTATTCTCTGCTCTTCACTTTCAGAATGGTCTCCGTTTCTCCCGATCCGAACGACGAAGTGCTGGATGCGGATTGCTGGGATCTTCCTTCCAACGACGCTTCGAACATCGATGTCGTTTTGCTTCTTGTCTTCTCTCTAGCTCTCCTGCTCTCTGGAGATGGATCGCCAGCAGTTCCTCGACCAGCGTCAGAAAGAGTCCTGCGACGCTGTGGCGCGCGAGACCGCCGAAATGGATCGCGAGTTCAAGTCGCTGGAGGCGGAGAACGGTGTCGATTCGATCTTCAATCTCTTCGATCGCCGTCTCTCCTCCGACGACGACGAAGGCGACGAGCCCAAACCCGAGCTTCCATTAGCTCTGTATCGCCTCGTTTTTCGTTCGATCCTAGCGACAGTGACCATCGAAACGCTCCCAATCGTCTCGAGCCTCCACGCGAAGCCACCGAAGTCGCCGTGGAGCCTCCGGCCACCGAGTTCGCGCCGTATTTCGACCCTGCCGCGCATATTGGAGGGGCCGACGACGACGCCGCGGCTGCGCAGCCGCTCGGGAATCGCTCGCCGAGTCCGCGCGACGCTGTCGATCCGCAGCGAATGGTGAATCCGTCGCCGTACGCCGCGAATCTTGGCTGTAGGCGCGCCACGATGGGTGTCATGTAGATTCCGACGTGGGTCGCGATCCGTATCGACGCTACCCCACCGAGTTTGCGCTGGCTGGATAGAATGAGCGGTAGATATCAGCCTTTCCGGAGCTATCCGATGCAGAACGAGTACATGGAGAACCCCGCGATGGACCCGTCGCTCTATCGGCAGCCCGCGCGGCAGAGCTACCCGTATTCCTACCCGCAGGACACGCGTCCCGGCTATGTCCCGAACCGCTACTTCAATCGGATGCGACCCAGCGGGCAGCCGAATCTGCTGCAGATGATGGAGGAGTCGGACCGGCAGCAGGCGCGGCAGATGCTTCTGCGGCAGCAGCTGGAGCGATATGAGCCGCTGCCGCCGGATTATCGGCAGCATCCGGAGATGGGGCGAATGAATTATCCGAACTACGCGATGCGGATGCCCGGAATGGATCGCGCGGCGATGGGGTATTGTAGGCGATGGGCGGAGAATGAATGAGACGTAGCGGGGCCGATGAACTACCGAGGCCAGATGGGCGATGGGATGGCTCATTATGCGAATTATCAGGGAAATCGAGGGGCGGAAGGAATGTATACGAGAATGGGAAATCGACATATGGATCCTGGGTATGGACCACAGATGTACTATGGAGCAGGAAATGGGCAGGAGCATATGTACAACCGAAAGTATATGTAGTAGGGGTGAAGTGCCAGTAGACTGGACAGTGTGTTTGTTGGAATACATGTGGTGGGGATGAATGGTGGATCAATCGATGGTGTTGTGTTTGAATGAGATTGTATTGAAGTGAGGAGTTGTGTTGTTGTTGTTGTTGTTGTTTCTTATTTTTAGGTTGTTTTGTAATGTCCTTGATTATCAATCCTTTCATTGTGGCATCATTCAATACTGATTCTGTCTAAAAAATGCAGGCCATTCTTTTTGACATTCATGCAGTTGTCAGTTTGACAAATCCTTGTTTGAAAGATTCGCTGTTTGTCATTGATATTTTACGATTCGCATACCATTCATCCCTACGCATACTCTACTCATTTTCGTGTTTCCATACCACCACACTCAATATCGTGTTTCTTTCTCGCTTTCTGTAATACACTCTACTCTGTTGATAGGCGTTTCATCCATCAAAATCTTCGTGTTATCTCCCAAATTATGAATTTTTGTTCACAATTGCTTTCTATTTTCGATGATTGGGACGAATGGGATAAATGGTTTTACCAAAATTAGTGGTTTCAAAATATCGACGAGTACAATCTCGATACGTAGTATCCGCTTTGTGTCAGACAATTCTAGCATTCGATATTGCAAGAGCAATGGAGACTCAGTGAAAGAGTACAGGATTCGGTTATGCGAGCCATGCACCATCACAATCGAAGTTTTGGTTCCTTATGAGTCTCTGTCTGAAGCAGCATAACATCTAGATTAGACGGATTTGATAACCGTGGTATTGAAACACAAATATGGACAAATCTGTGTGATAAGTATAGTTCGACGGGCAGATGGCATGCAATCCCCTCATGTCGTACAGAAATCCGAAGAGAACTTCGCGGGAGGGTTCATTCCTTTTCAGTTTCAGTGATTCCTATTCGATGTGGAATGTTTGAATTCACGGCTCGAACGCGCGCTCCAAAATCAGGGAACAACGAGTGGATCTGGGCGTCCAAATTCGAGATGAACGAAAAGGTTCACGTAATTCGACCTGGAACCCAACGAACTGGATTTAGCCAGGGTTCTGTGAGGCAACTTGCTATTTGGTTCGATGATATTTTGATGTACTGGCAACTCAAAGACACCGAAAACCCATCTGCGATGCCTCACCGGAACCTCCTCACTGCGTACACCGCTGTTTTTCTCTCTGTTATTGCTTTGCAACGGGGAATCAAAGTGGGTATTCAGGGTATCATTCATTGGTAGTTAGAGACATGTGTGGCTCTAAGTCATCAGCTTGCTGAGAGTGAGTGGCTAAGCAACAAAAACAATGCTATCAAAATCCTAGTTTGGTGTATCGGAAGTTCTTATTTGGCGACTCTCTATGCGAACAGTATTGACTACTATGTTGTGATGCCTATAACAGGCGAATACACTCGACGAATTCGAATGAGCCTCATGGATCAAGAGAAATACTACTCCGATGTTCCATGTAGTATTTTGAGTCTCGCATCCTCGAATGACTCTGGATCGACGAAACAATTTATCTCCAATTCTTCGCAGTCCTTTAATAATAATAATAACAATAGTGGATTCCTAGAGTACACAGATGTGGATTGCCAGAATGATATTATCATGGAACTGCTTCTCTCTTTTGTCAAGGAACATGATACACGATGGTTTTCCAACCGATTCTGTCGACAACTTGTACTGGTTTCATCATCCTCTCATGTATGTTTTTGAATTGGTTGTGGTGACCGACGTAGTCACAATTGGTTAAGTTATTTTCACACCGAATATTTCGAAGCTTGTATTTTAAGGAGGCACAGATGGGTAACAATCTGCAAAAGATCGTGACGATGACCTTTGTGGAAACATTCGAGCTGTACAATGAATCGTAAGGCTATTTCAATATGTCATTAGGCATGTAGAATGCAAATGCAAGATAATGTTCTTAGCAAAGAGGAACTCGATAATTCTGTGGAAGAGTGCTCTTGTGAAGGAGGTCCCCTGTCTTCGATCCTATCCTTGATTCGTGTTGTATTTCTCTCGCAAGCTCCCAACTATTCACAGGAACGTTATCGACGAACAATCTCTGAAAACCAGAGTTTGTTACAGGACAGTATCCTTTTGAGTTCTTGCATCGTACGCACCTTTGCTCATATGGCAGAGAACCATCCTGATTTTTTGTATTTCTTCCTTTTCTTTGAACTCATTCTCAGGAAAGCGAAGGAACTGATCATTCTTTTTTCTCGAAGTCATGAAGATATTGCGCTCAACATTGTGAAAGTGATTCTCTGTCTCAAGACGGACAAATCCAACAACTATCTGTATTTCATTGCCATTTTGGAGTATATTTTAACTCACTACAGTTCTTACTTTTTTACAAATCCTTCCAAATTAGTAGATTCTCCTTTTGACTATTCACAACATAGAATCGCATATTTGGATATATTCTTGATTGCATGCATTCGATCAACATTTATGTCTCTTTAAAGGCTATTCAGTATTTTCGTATTGCTTTGAGTCTCATATAGACTCTTTAGCTCTAACCAGCGCTCGCTAATTTGGAAGTTATTTTTCCACTGTGATTCAAAAGTGCTCGATCGAGTAAGCAAGCCAATAATACAACATGAACATTAGTTTACTGAGTATCTCGAAGAAATGGAGAATCACTGGCTTCCTCACATTAAGTCGGCAGCCCAGTCAATCCACAAGGCACTTGAATCTTCAGGCGTTTTAAAGAATGGAGTGAGCCAAATGTGTCGTGTAGTAATCTATGTAGGTTATCAACATGGATGCCTTTTCTGCTTTTTCGGAAACTACCTATGAATCAAAAAGTATCCATGATTCTTCTTCTTCATCATCTTCTTCTTCTTTTTCTACTGCTGATTCCTTGTATTCTGTTTGTTCTCACAAACTTAAGAATTTGCCCACTTTTAATAAGAACACATTGAATCAACCCACATCCATTTCGAACACATTGAATCAACCCACATCCATTTCGAACACACTGAATCAACCCACATCCATTTCGAACACATTGAATCAACCCACATCCATTTCAAACAAACACACACCTGTAACATTCTAAATCACTACTCTTTACTCTTCTTCGCATTTGTTTCCTTCTTTTCCTGTGCATTCTTAGCAGCAGCAGAACTCTTCTTCGGCTTCTTCATGATAACGTTCTTCATATCCACGTTTTCTGCCTTCATCTTCAAAATGGTTTCCATTGTCTTTCCTCCAATCACGGTACCGGCTTCAATCACGGCACTTTCTGATTGCTTTAGAATTTGCTTACTCTTCTTGTTTCCGAAAGTACCCACAAGCTGCTTACGGCGTATAAAGTACTGATCCCGAGAAGAAAGGCCAGACATGTTCTCAGACTCGATTTCAGTGGGCTCAAATCCATCGACATGCTGAATGACGGGAAGCAAACTCGTAGTCTGCACCATTTTCACTTCTTCTTTTTTGGGGTTGAAAACTCCAATGTAAAGTCTAAAGACTAAATCGCCATCTATTTTTTGTACTTTTCAGTCTTTGAGTTCTTAGGACCCTTTCCAATCAAGGTTAGACGATCTCCTTTTATTTTCAAGGCGAGCTGGTCTTTATCTTCCGTAGACCTATTTGATCAGCAGCAACGATTCGATCTCTACTCGAATATACCGTAGGACGCACCAACGAGTTCCTCCTTGCATGGAATCGAGTTCTCGAAACCAACTAGCTCTTAGCTCCATAATTAGACAGCATACATATTACTGGCCGCGACTCTGTGTCCACAACAGTATACTTTACTTCCATGGTGCAAAATAGAGAATAATTTGAAAAATGTTCCCATGTCACGCAGGTTAGGAGTGTAAACAAAGAGAATAGAAAAATACTAAACAAAACATCATCACTTCTTAATCGACTTTGTTTCTTCGAAAACCACATGTCTACGTACAATAGGGTCGTACTATAGCGTAAGGCCGCTTTCCTTGGCAAAAACCTACCTTGATCAACTTCAACTTGTTTGGAGTGTTCATTGGATTCTTTCGCGTCGTGTAAAAGAAGCTAAACTTCACAAGCGCTGCAAAATCGTACCCTGTTCCCGCTTTGCTCAACAGCTTTATACTGACTCCCAAAACCTAATATGCTAGTCATACTCCTCAAGTCTGTACCTTCGGCATAGTTTTCCAATATCAAAACTAGATGAGAAAGTTAAATGTGAGGAATGGGAAATTTATATTCGCTTATCCTTGAAATTTGTGTGCGACCCAAGTCCTTCTCCCATATTGAAACAACCACCACAAAGCCGATTGTCTGAACAAACATAGCGCAATACACAAAACAATTACAAGGCTCCAATTTCGTGGTTTTCCATCTCCGACTTGAGATTTCCGCAATGAATCGGCACGAACCCACACTTGGGAACGACACACTTAAGCGTCTTTTCTTCGCTATGGATCTGCTGGTGTTTCTTGAGTCCATTTCGACTGCTGCACACAAAACCGCACGCTTTATGGGGACATCGATACACCTTCCCGTTCTCATGTACTCTCATATGTTTTTTCAGATCGCTGGAGGTGATCGACGCGTAGCCGCATCCCGCCACGGTGCACTTAAACGGCTTTTCGCCGGTGTGGGTTCGAATGTGGACTTTAAGATTGCTGTGGTTCGCCGAGGAGTACGAACAGTTCGGATAGGGGCATTTCAGCGGCTTTTCGCCGGTGTGGGTTCGGATGTGGATGACGAGGATGCTGCGCGTGACCGCCGCATAGTCGCAGTCGGCGTAGGGGCATTTATACGGCTTTTCGCCGGTGTGGGAGCGGAGGTGCGTCTTCATATCGCTCTTGCGGATCGTCGAGTAGCTGCAGCCTTCAAAGGTGCAGTGGAACTTCTTCGGAGGAATTACATTAAGGCAGCAAGAACAGCAGTTGTTGTTGCCGCCACAGGTGCACATGGGGGAGTACGAGGCAGGAGGCATAGCCGCTGTCTCTGCGAAGGAGAAGAATTCAGTCGGCACAATTACTAAGGACTGCTTCTTGGTCTGGAGGATCTGGGTAAACTCGTCCTCAATGCGGTTTCTCGGAAAGGGACTTGTGTTCATAGGCATTGCCAAAGAACTTCCATTTTCACATCGTTTCACCATCATAGATTCGTCACTAGCGATCTTCGTTTCTAAGAGGCGATTGATATGTTCCAATTCTTCTTGCTTGGTCATTCTTCAAATTAATTCGCAAGTAGGTCCAAAAGGTCCAAAAACAAAACAGCAACCTACACATCACTTACACGCATGATGCTTACAAAAAGGTAGAGTAATAACTTAACTACAAATAGAAGGTAGAAGAGAAATAGAATCAGGCTTTAACGCTTAAAATACCAAGATTCCAGAATAGAGGTGACTCTTTCTTGTTGATAATGAGACTTATGGAGAAATCTCATATTTTAGTCGCGGTTATTCGCGAGATTCAGTATTTCTCCTCACACGGGGTTTGATGTTTTGCCAATTTGGGTATTGCACTCGCATGCTGAGAGTAGGAAAATACGAATTGTCTCATTCAATACACATTTTAGAATCATGATGTGCGTTTTGAAGGGATTTCCGTCCATCACAATACACCCCATCTCTCCGAACAGTACTGAGCGATTTGCTTTGAAGAGAAGACAAAATTCATGTTATGCAAGTTATTTGCATGAATGGTTTTTGTGAAATGCCATCTGTACATCGCATTTCACATCTCCTGAAGTTGATACATTATCGCTATTGCTATTTTAAACCATAGAAACACAAAAATTGATTGACAGCCTTTTCAAACTATACCTTGCTTGTAACAGTATATTGTAATGCTGAGAAAGGAATTTGCGTTACTCTTCCCTCATGCGATTATTGCGGACAGCAGAGATGGAAAACATACGATTGACGATTTCCAACTAGTTGTTTCGCAAGGTCTGCAGCAATTATCAGAAACTCCTAAGGAGTATGCATACATTAATAGTATGGTTCTGAATCAGTTTTCACGCGTTGAACAATTAGAGAAAGAATTTTTGGTGAATGAGGCCGATACACTGCTTTTTGAGACGAGAGAGGACGCAGAGGAACTGCTGCGGATAGTTTCTCTTGATGTTAAAAAAGCCATTCTCGACACTGCTCTGGAAACTATCTATTCGCTTCCTTCTACGTCTGACCAAGACACTACGGACAGTAATTCGCCTTCAGATTACTCTCCTACCTCAAAGCCCAGGCGAAGAAGACCCAATCTGCCTATTTACGCTAAAGATATTTTGTCGTGTTGGTTCCGAGAACATGTGGATCACCCCTATCCTACTCAAGCGGAAAAGATCGAGTTGTCTGAAAGAACGGGACTAAATTTACAAAAAGTAGACAACTGGTTTATCAATGAACGTAGCCGAAAGTGGCGTTCGTATCGCAGAAAGTAGGACGTTTTTTCAAACTAATGATAATTTTATTTATGTTGATGATGTGTATCTAAGACCGTCTATTTGTTGTTAGTATGTTTGTTTGTAGTCACACAATTGTTATTTTTGATTATGGATATTTTGCGTGTTTTCAAATGAGGTTCTATGGATCTGATTATGATATCAATTCGGACGATGACGTTAATGTAAAATACACATACGATTCAAAGAAGAAGAAGAAAAAGTGGTTGCTAGTCATTGAGGTTGTTCCTTGCTCCAATCTCTTATCTAGACCATTCTCTCTGTCACTTTATGGTACTCCTTTTCCATTCTTGCAACGGTGATAAACAAGCGATTGCTCAACACTGGGAATGCAGTCTTTCCTCTGACTCTAACATTTGCCCATGTCCTTATTAGTTGTACCTGTGATAGTCGATTCTATTGTGTTTTGTGAAATGTAGTTCTCAATATGGGGATTTTTCACCGATCTGAACTGTTCTTTTATTTAGGCCGAGCTAATCTGTGGAAAACTGTACGATATCTCTATCCACTTTCTCTCGCGATGATGTGTGCCAAATTTCTAACCTACACATCCTACGGGTTAATACCCGTATCGCTTACACACACTGTAAAGGCGTTGCAGCCGTTCTTTAACGTGCTGCTGGTTTTTGTTTGGACTCGTGAAAGCGTGGACTCTTCGACTTTTCTTTCGTTGATCCCGATTGTCTTCGGTGTGATTTACGCATCTGTCAACGAGATTGAGTGCTTTCTGGGAATGAGGCTTACTATCCTGTAGATTCAACTGGTCAGGCTTTATCTGCGCACTTCTCTCAACCATTATCGGCGTCTGGCAGAGCATCTACCTCAAGATGCTGATGCACATGGGTATGGATCGCAACTACGTACTTCTTTGTGACTGGCTGTTTTACCCGTACAGGTCCACCTCTGCAACGGCCTGCTCAGCTGCTGCATCCTGTTTCCGATCGTCGTGTTCTTCGAGGTGCGTCGGTCGACCTACCAAATGATTCGCTGGGATCACGTGTTTATCAGCGCCTTCCTCCAATATCTGAGCTCGATCTCTTCCTATTCAGTGTGACTGCGTCTGTGTCGTGATGGATAGGCGATGTATCTCTTCTCGTCGCTCTCGTATTCGATCGCCAGCACTTTCAAGCGTGTTTCGATCATCGTGGCGACCAGCATCATCCTTGGAAATGTTCTGTCGTGGAAAAACATGCTGGGAATCGTTGTAGCGACGGCTGGTGAGCAGCAGAGAGGGGATTTGAGGGTAGGAGCCGTGGGGTATAATGTGGTGAATCGTCGAAGTCGGACGAAGAGGAGGTTGCCGCCGTTGGAAGCAGATAGGGATTTAGTGTATCAAAAGGTGTGGTTTGTTTGTTGAAATCGCGATGTTTGGAGGATGAGTGATACTTGTGTGATTAGAAATTATTTTTGTACTGTTGTTCGTGTTATACGTTTATTTTATTAAAAAATTCAAGGTACTCATTATCTCATATTGTGAATAAAGGTTACTTGATGAGTTGCTAGCTCCATGTTATTATTATTATTATCCAAAATGAAATATACACTTCTTACCGATCAATTATACCTTATGATTCAATTGATGATTTTTGTATTTTCGTTTGTTACAGACCTTTTAGTGTTTCTCTAGTCTCTTTCACACCTTCATGTTATCTTTTTTGTGAGCTTTATTTTTTCGGATATTTTGTTCTATTGATTGAAGTAGCCAGTATATGGAAAACCAGGAAAACCAGTCAGATCACACCTCTCCAAACATTAATGAAGAATTAGAAGGATCCCAACATCCTTCCTCTGGTAGAGATGAGCTTTCCGAATCCGATCCTCCTGCTGCGTTTGAATCCATTTCCCCTTTTACTTAAAGAAATCTCCCGAATGACCATAATAGAAGTGATCTATCGGATATAGATTACGAAGACTACATACCCAGAGACCAGGAAAGCCAATCCTATTCCATTTCTTCAGAGTATTATGATGACTATGAAGAATCCGATTATTCTGCTTCTGGGATGGAAGACTTTTCTGAATTTGATCTTCCTATAGAGTGTGGACAGAATTTTCCGCTCATCTATAGATTTGTTCCTCTCAATGGCAATGCAAATGGTAACACCGACGAAAACAATACGATTGAAAACCTTTTGAATGATAACAACCTGCAGTTTTTTGGATTTCAAACACTCTCCGAGCTGCTACAGCATGTATACAGAAACCGAGAGCAGCAGGCAGATTTCCATGTGGAATTCGTGCATCCAACGATTCAAAGCGAAGCCATTCTCCGCCATCCCTATTTAGTGAACATGGTTTGCCGAAGTGACACGAGAGAAGGACTCGAAGAGCTGGCGAATCGAAATGCCCCTCAGCTGCAGCAGCAACCAATTCTAAAGAATGTGCACATTTTCCTTCTGGATCGGATCCAAACCTACCCAGGTAAAGTCATTCCGCTGTTTACCACGATCCCCAGCGAAGCCGATTTGTTTCTTCGCTGTCTGCGTCACGAACCGAATCCTCCACTTCTCTGCATTGCCGGCTGCCGATTGAACGCGTTCGACAACGACCTGCACTTTGGCTGCCTGGTCCACGTCAAGCGCGGCTATCTTCACGAAGAGAACGACCGAATTCGCTTCGGCGTTCTTTTAGAATGCGTCCAGCCGTGCGAAGTGCTGAACTACTCACGAAACCGCGACCGCGCGACGCTGGGAACCGTCCGACTGTGTCCGTTTCATCAGCAGCTCGCCTCGCGCGAGGAAGCCTCCGTTTTGTCATTGTTTTCGCAGCAATGCGCACAGATCGAGCTGCCGAACCCGTCGATGCTAGGTAGAAACGAGCGGCCGCGTCGCGCGTAGAGTGGAGACTGCGGCGAAATTGCGGTCTGTGGAACGGAGTGCGCGAAGAAGCGTATCTGCAGCAAGCGGCACTGCGCGTTCTCCGGGAATGCAACTCGTTTTACGTAGCGATGGCGCGGGATTGACACGCAGCGCGAGCAGAACGACAGCGAAATCCTTCGAAGTCTCCCGCAGAACGACGAGACGTTGAGTTTTCTGCTGTGCAACCAGCTGCTGGTCGATTACGAAACGGAGCAGAGCCTGTTCCAATGCTCGCCGGCGCTGCGGCGCGTCCAGCGAACGCTTTCGCTGCTCTTGGTGGCTTCGGTGGCGTTCGCTGCGCGGATTCACGCGTAGAACGAGCTGAGGATTTCCTGCTCCTGCGGGAATTGCCTGTTCCGCGCGCGCGCGAGCGATCGGATGAATCTGTTCGGGGGCAGCACGGTGAAGCAGTCGCTGGTGAACGCGTGCGGCGTGGTGTTCAACGTGGTGACGACGCAGAAGCTGCAGGGATATGCGGTGTTTGGCAGCCCCGACTTGCATGATTCGTGGTTTCCGGATTATGCGTGGGAGATCTTGATTTGTAGGAGGTGTCATGAGCATTTGGGCTGGCGGTTTTCGACGACGAAGTCGATTGTTCCGGCCATGTTTTTTGGATTGGTGGAATCTTCCATTCGATATGAGTGCGTGTGTTTGTTGCAAACAGGGGAGAAGAGAGAAGCGATTGAAACGAGGCAGGAGAACAGAATGTACAGAATAAGCGGAGTGAACAACCCCCAGAGTTTCCATAAAGCGATTGTGAGTCTGCATGATAGACAACCCTTGGTGCTTACGTAACAACAAAGAGAACCATGAACAGCGTCATGGTGTACATCACATTCTACAGACAACGGATCTCAATGGATTTACAGGACAGTAGACGCTCCAGCTATCGTGTACATGTTTCCACCATGGCAGATAGATGGCGAGGTAAAGATAAAAGACAAAAAGGATCCCGGCAAAGAATATGCTCATTGAAAAGTATGATCTGCATTTTAAACTTTGAAAAATCGATTGGTACACATTCCATAGCTTGGCTTCATAGATGGTACTTCTGAACTCGCTACATCGAAAAACAAGGAACAGGACAATAAATCCAAGAAATTCGGTTACTTGCATGCGACTTCGTTGTTGCTGAAATGCAAGAGGTTGGAAAATGGCAGTTCTTATCATCTCTCGTGTTTGAAAACAAATTGGACACCTCACAGCACGATTAATTTTCCTTCTTTGGCTCTTCCGCCTCCTCTTCTGCGCCTGCAGCAACCCCCGGGTTAATCAAGTCCCATCGCTTCTTCACCCACTCGTTTTTCAGCACAATCTGCAAGTTCTCCTTGCTGTCACTCTTAAACACCGCGTTCCAGACGCTCTCTCTGCGCGTCGCCTCCATAAAAATGCGGTTCACGCAGCCCCTAGCGGTGATTCAATTCGATCGAATTCTCGCTTACAAACGCAGCAAATCGGGGCCGTCCAGCATGGCGATCACGCGGTTGCCCTCCAAGAGGAAGGGAGCCAAGGTTTGGAGGTCTGGTCATCAAAGAAAATAAAGAAAAAAGACTTTGCATGCTCGATTTTTCGGCGGTTTGCTGGGTCTGCAAATCGGCAATGTCTTCGTTGCACTTCTTTATGGATTCTTCGATGCTCGCGATCTCGCTCTGAGGGTTTATGACAATGTGGATAGCAGATTACCTTCAGTTTCTCCAGTTCTTGGAGTTTCTCAGAATGATGCGATTCGAGTTCAGCGATCTCGGATTTCTTTGCAGATTCTTTTTCGTCGCATTCCACGATTTCTTGCCGTATTTTCTGGAGGTCTTGAAGAATAACACTACCCATTCACTGCTCATCACAAGCAACCATACCGCGCACAGTCAACCTTTTCATCCACAGTAGGTTCGGGCATCACAATTTCAATAGAGTAGTACACGCTCTTCTCATGGAACCAGGAATAGGTATTATCCCAAACGAGATAATAGTTTCCGGGATTTTCGATCACCACCTTGCCCTGTTGCGGGTCTGACGGAGGGTAGGGAGTATTAGCCACGACCCACTCTCTCTCGTTGTTTTCATTTAGCTTGGCTATTCCGAAATGAACATCATAAACTGTTGTATGAAAAACCCAGTGAATAGTCGTTCCAGCTTTAGAAACCATAACTGGCAGAACGAACTCCTTTCCGGCCTTTATGATAACATCGGTAGCCTGCATCTTCATGACGCGGCTCTCGTTCCTATTCCTGAGCGAAGATCCTAACGGAGTACTTAAAGAGCGGAGACAACTGCTCGTATTTGTCCATGGTGGACGCGGAACTGTTTGACATTGTTTACAAGTGCACTCCTTGAGTGTATAACAAAAAGTGAAGATTAAGTCGTTAATGTTCATAGGCATTTCATCGATCTGCGTGCTGTAGTACTGCTCGATATCTCTCAGAACGCTGATATCCTCATTCGTGACAAAGTTGATTCCGACGCCCTTCCTTCCGAATCGTCCGGATCGTCCAATCCGATGAATATACAGCTCTCGACTATTCGGCAGATCGTAATTAATCACCAGCGACACCTGCTGCACATCCAGTCCTCGTCCCCACACGTCGGTAGCGATCAGCACTCGGCTATTCCCGGCTCGGAACTCCTCCATAATGCGATCGCGTTCCTTCTGCGGCATGTCTCCGTGCATCGAGCTCACCGTGAAGTTCGCCTCGCGCAGCTTCGCCGCCAGCCATTCCACTTTGCGCCGCGTGTTGCAGAAGATGACGGCCTGCGTGATGGTCAGGTTGTTGTACAGGTCGCACAGCGTGTCGAACTTCCACTCCTCGCGCTCCACCGCCACGAAGAACTGCTTGATGCCCTCCAGCGTCAGCTCATCGCGCTTCACAAGGATTTTCACCGGCTCGTTCATGAACTTGCTCGTCATGTCCAGCACCTCCTTCGGCATCGTCGCAGAAACAAGCACCACTTGCGTTGCTGGAGGCAGATAGCGGTAGATATCGTACAGCTGCTCCTTGAAGCCCTGATTCAGCATCTCATCGCCTTCGTCGATCACCAGGATCTTGATATTGCGCGTTCGCAAATGACGACGGTTGATCATATCGTAGACACGGCCCGGAGTGCCGGACACCACTTGGACACCGTAATCGAGACGACGGATGTCATCGCTCAGACTCTTGCCTCCAACGCATGCGTGGCACTGCACTTTCATGCAATCTCCGATCGAAAGCAACACTTTCTGTGATTGCTCAGCCAACTCGCGCGTGGGCGATAAAATGAGGGCCTGCGTCTCCATGAGAGAGGGGTCGATGTTCTGAAGCACTCCAATGCAGAACACACCGGTCTTTCCCGTTCCTGACTGGGATTGAGCGATAACGTCTCTGCCTTTGATAATGGGGAGAATCGCACGCTGCTGAATGGCCGAGGGCTTTTCGAAACCTACAAACACGTAAGAAACAAGCTTTCACCAACCACCCCTTACCGTATGCATAAATGCCTCGCAACAAATCCGGGTTCAATCCCATCGCATCGAAAGTCGGTACAACCTCAACATCTTTTGAAATCGTGTAAACTGTATCTGCTGTATCTCCAACAAGACCTAGAACTCACCCAATATTCAACTGCAATGTACCGGGCATATTTTGTAAATGGTGTGGAGATTATTTGGTTCTCTGACCAACGTGATGTTTTTTCACGAATTAAGCACATGCATTTTCAAATGATATCCCTACTTCCTGATCAGACTTTGTCTGGTGTGAATGCAGAGATTGCTACGGTCGCTAGACGTGAAGCCTCAAGTTGATTCCTACTTTTTGAAGAGGACTGCAACGGGAGGTTTGCGTACATTTCTGTATTGGGTATTTTACATAGTTTCCATATTGTCTTTGGTACTGTCGTTATTTGTAGCAGTCACGATTGTGTATTTGCACTCTGTATTGATGTTGCGAAACGAAGCTCATTTTTAGCAAATACCATCTTCTTTAGAGATCGACACGTCGCTACACCCAATTGAAACACTGAGTTTGGAAGCAACGTTTCCAAAGTGGGCAGGAAGTGAGAAATGGAGTGATTTCGTAGTGTTCTTTGTGAGTTTGTAAAGGTGTCGGGTAGCACGGTCACTGGAGAGTCGGTAAACGTTGAGCTGATGAATGGCAAAACTCTCACCTCCGAAGACATAGTAGATTTGCTTTATTATCATCGTTTGATACTGTAGAATCAAATCAATCGGCGATTCAACGAGAAGAACTATAATTGCTATTTCCCCTCAACGGAGAGCAGTATGTACAAATCGCGAGTGATTTGCGATTCGTGCGAACGCATTCTATCTGTTTACAGCCATCTAGGTTACAAAATCACCAAGCTGCTTCCTCGTTTGGACAAGGTTTTTTGCATGTGCGAATTTCTCTGTAGTGCGGGAATTACTCAGTTTTCGACTATGTCACTCGCATGAAGAACTCGCAGTGCAAGAAGCAGTGGTCGTTCCATCCCCCCAACGTTTGTCTTTGGTTGGCTTCTCATCGCAGGTGAAGTTCGAATTGTCGATCGACGCTTCGGGCATTTTCCCGTTTTTGTCGAGCGACGATTTTGAAAGCGACTCGCTTTTGTCTCTCGTCGATGTGGCGCCTTCGTCGCTCTCCATCGCATCGAACGGCCACGCTTCGAAGGCCGTCTGGTTTCCTTTGTCGGCTTGCAATGTGTCGAGTTGGGATGTGGATGTGACGCTGATTCCGATTGGAAGTTCGAAGAACCGCGATTATGAGTAGAGGCGAGGATGGTGTGGGATGGGATGTAGAGCGGTGAGCCGCGTGTCTCGGTTGTCGTTCGATCGAATTCGCGGTGAGAACACGCCGGTGGTGCGAGTGGTGATCAATCAGAGCGGATTGATGCGATTGGAGGAGGGAAGGGCGTGGACGAGGATGGGAATGGGGGTTGTGATGGGAGTGGGGTGCGTGATAGCGGTAGGAATGGAGAGCGGAGGCGAGGGGTAGACGATGGAGCTGATGGACCGGCTGGTGGAGAAGGTGGAGAGGAAGACGAAGACGAAGAAGTCGAGATTTGATGATGGGTTGCATGCAAATTAGGAGAGAAAGGTGTAAAACGGTATATGGATTTTCGAGTGGTGTTTGTTAGAACAAGGTGGGGTTTTCAGAATCAAAGGAATTTGTTAATGGATGAAAGGTGTCTCTCTCTCTCATTTCTTTTCTTTTCTTTATTTTTTGTTTGAGAATACTAACGAATTCGTTCCACAATGTGATACTCCTTTTCGTTCTTTTTACTACTATTATTATTTTTTTCACACTTTTTTGAAGAATACTCGATTCCACAAAATTGCAAATCACTTGTTTTCATACTAATTTGCATGAAATCCCTTCAAACAAACAGAATACAAAACAATACTTTTTCTTTTGAAAATGTCAAATCGTAAAATTCTATATGTCGGTATGTTTGCAGACCAGCCTAGTTTATCGGATAGGAGGACTCGATGACCAAGTCGACGAGCAAGTATTGCTTGGCGTTTTTGTCCCGTTCGGCGAAGTAAAGGAAGTAACAATTCCCCTAGATGCCGGAACTGGATTGAAGCGAGGTTTTGGATTTGTAGAATTTGAAGATGCGGAAGATGCAGCGGAAGCGCGTGATAACATGAATAGTGACTAGTACATGTCGATTAATGAAAATCTAGATGCTGAATTATTTGGGAAAGTGATTAAGGTAACCTATTCGAACCGCATGAAGCCGTCTCTCATATCTCAGAAGCCTAGTATCGATGTTCATTTAAATTAATATATAGTTTGGGCCCAGGTCGATGACTTGGAGCAGTTTATCGCAGAATCTAATAAGGAAGTATTTTAGTTCAATCGTTGTAAGGGTTAGAGTAAAAAGGAATGATCAACTTGCCTGTTTGTTATATGTCATATGTGAGAAATGATGGACATACATTCATTTATTTATTCGATGAATACGAACTTCAATCTGGGAAAGAAGCTCGAGGAAATCTTAAACCATTTATCTTCTAACCTTGAAATCGAGAAAAAGAGGCAATTTCTCAGTCAACCCACCAATCTAAGTATTAACATCACAAAGCTGGTATAGTATTGGGTAAGAACTGAATCATAGCCATTATCAACACTGGAGGTGAAATTGTTTGACTGTGCCTATGAGCTGGATTCCAAGTCAGAAAACTCGAAAGAGTGGATTCGCGATGGTTTGCTTTCTGAGTCCTACGCCAAGCTATCGCAACTTGTGCTTTCCATCTATTTTTATATATTTATTCATAAGACTGAAGATATATATCGATCCAATATGAACACAGTGTTTTTGTCGAGCAATCTACTCTACGTTTTGCATTTCCTTTGATTTTGATTTTAGGTTCGTGAAATGGTTGCTGCCATCAACAGATGTAAAGATAGAAGAGTTTTGCCGGGTGCTCTAGTCCAATCGCTTACTTCCAATCTGTCTCTTATTGAGGAGTTTATCAACAGCTTTTACAAGATCTACAAAACCAGTTTGGACCAGTTTCTCCAAGCGAACGCTACCGCTGAAGGGCTCAATCAAATCAAATACCAGCTACTGTCTGAAATCTTCCTTATCGCTGGCTGCTATCAGCTCGCGATCGACAGCGTAACATGTACGCATGATGGAACTTCGCTACCCGAATAGACAAGAAAGGCCAGAAGCTGTCGAAATCATCGCACTATTTCAAAAACGCGTGTTATTTGAATCCTGACAATGATCGAAGCCAATTCATGCTGGGCTTCGTCTATTGCGTTCATGAGTTTTATTTGAACGCGATCTTTCATTACTTCTTGGCGTTCTCTTCGGAGTGGCCTCATCGCGAGATCACGTCAAAAGAAATATCGCGAGTGTTTCGCATTTGCAATTCATTGTATGAATCCATAAACATGCAGAGCAATCATCCGCTCACGCTTTTGGTCTATTGCTTTTTATCGATAATGTACAAATGCATTGTGAAGAAGGACTTGAGCGGATTGGCGAGTCAGCTGTCGCAGTTCGATAAAATCGCGCAGTTGCCATCGTGTTGGAAGGACAAGAAGAGTGATATCCTTTCGAATGATAGAATTGGTGTGTTAACGATGAACGTGTGACCACTGTGATGCTTATCTCCATCATTGGCATTACGATCACGCATGTTTATTCGGATGAGAACATTCTTTTCTCCGATCCGGAGGAGCAGAATAACGAGAAAATGATTCAGATCTATATCCAGGTTTGCATGACGTGGATCAAGTTATACGATACTTCCAAAACGGTGTTTTTCGTTCCCATTTTGCTCATGCTTTTCTATGCCAGCAAATATCTCGATTCGAATTTGATCTCGAAAAAAGCAGCAGTTGCGTTTGTGATGATGAAAGAAAGAGTTGAGCGGGACATCAAACCCGTCGCTTCCGAAATCGACCCTCTCTACTCCAAGATCGTTTCGCTCTTCCGCTGTTGCTCGTTCGTTTTGTTTATTCAGCAAGTGACGGTTGTGCAATGGCCGGGAGATGAAGAATAGACGTCATTCATTCACGACGCTTTGTTTGAGTCCAGCGCAGAGAGAGTTTGTCATCTCATCAAGACCGAGCAATGGGTTTCGAGAGGGAAACCCGAAAAGAAAATTCCCGTGGCCAGTCAGAAGAATGGAAAATCGACACGCGCCGGTGGAAAGGACGGTAAATTGGAGAGAACTGCGAAGGACGGTAAATTGGAGAGAACGGCGAAGGACTTGAAGAAGCCGCAGAGAAGCGAAAAGGAGGAACGCGAAGAGAGCAGACTGGTCACGTCTCCGCCGAGGAAGGGGAGCAGTTCCCTAGCACTCTCTGGAAATCGCCGAGAGCAAAAGAAGGGTAGGAGGGGTGGTTGGAGGGATGAATCGCAGGGAACGACAACAAACAAGAGGTGTTTTTGACGGTTTCGAGCTCGCTGTCCCTCAGCGATTTTGATAATTTGGGGAGTTTGGTGAGCAACATCGACATTCCTTCGTCGGTAGTCGCTGAATTCGATTGAATGACTGTAGTTCTCGGTGGTTCTGGATGTCAGCAATATCGCGTTTTCCTACGGCTGCCATGAGACGTACGCTTGCAAAGGCATTCGCCTCGCGTGTGAATATTTTCGGAAGAAAGGATGCGCGATCAGCGGATATCTGAACGCGAAGTATTTTGACGGTATGACTTTTTTTCTGTCCATCATTCGTAGAAAGACCAACTACGAAGATCACAGTAGGGTTTGGAATAAGAGCTGAGTGCTAGAGGCCAGACGACCTCGAGTTCTTAAAGGAAATGAGAAAGGCGCATACATTCTACGCTGTTCAGGAGTATGAAGATATCTACATTGTGAATCATGCAATGAAGCATCGCTCGATTATCGTGTCGAACGATCGATACCATGATATGCCAGGACGGTATAAGAATCCTGAGCTTGTAAAACGTTTCTTTGAGCATTACTTGATGCCTTATGATTTCACTGCTGATGGGTTCCAGCCATCTCCATCCTTTGTACTGCCTTCGTTTCAGAGTGCTAGAAAATAGAAGAACAAATATACTGATTGTTGAAGGTGGTGTCTTTCTTTCTTACCAATATTTGTTCTCTTTGTTTAATAAAAATGATTATCACAGCAGATAGGTATATATTATGGTAGAGTCTATTATCAAAAGCAAGGAAATCCTCTACAAGCAAGTTGCTCCGTTTGTGAAGGAAATTGTTAGTAACAATGAGCAAAAAGGAAGACACACAACGATTGCCGTCTCTGGATCATCGCAGCCACTTCTGTTATCGAAGTTACTCACTGATGGATCCATTTCCTGGAAGAACGTGGAGTTTTACTTTGCTGATGAGCGCTGTGTTCCGTATGACCATCCAGATAGCAACTATTATGCATGGAGTAAAGCCTTTGAAGATGCGCACATTCCACAAAATAACATCCATAAGGCAAACTCTGGAGCTACTCCTGAAGAGTCTGCAGAATTGTAATTAGAAGTACTTCTTCTTTTTACTCTGAGATATTCCTCGGAATTGAAAGAACTGCCTGTTCAGAATTCTTACCCAGTTTTCGACATTATTTTTCTAGGTGTAGGTCCAGATGGTCATATTTGTTCGCTCTTTCCTGGTTTTCCGCACTTAAAGGATTCTACTCACTGGGTTGTGCCCGTCCATAATAGCCCTAAACCGCCGAGTGATCGAATTTCTCTAACCCTCCCAGTCGTTAATAATGCTTCCAATGTTTTCGTTATTGCCACTGGATCCAGTAAGCGGCCAGTCATTTCTTCGTCTCTGAAAGGACCAACGGAACTTCCAATTTCCCAGGTTTGCCCTACTCAGGGCAACATGGTCTGGTTCCTAGATAAAGAGGCGACTCCCTACTTTGTTTGTGAAAGATACTCTAGGTTTCCCACCAAATTTTTAAAGCTAAATCCAGAGTCTTATTTGAATCAACAAACAGCAATATTTAAACAGTCTTCTTCTTGAAAACGTACAGTTCAGTTCCCTCTTCAATACCATAATAAGATAGTTTCTTCTCTAAATGCAGAATCTTGTCACCAATCATAATTTGAACTTCGTCAGTAGCCAAGTGAGTTACCGCCTACAGAATATTAGAGAGAAACGATAACATCCTACAGAGATCTTCTTTTTCAAAGATAGCAACCAGTCCGAAGGCTCTACATCGAACTCATACACATTATCGAAATATTTAGCAGTGATATGCATGGCAAAAGAAAAACTGTACTTGTCTCAAAATAATAAAATAGGGACACTGGTTAATCCAAGAATTTTGTATCGGTTTGGAGCAAGATTGGCCTAATTATATTGGATCTAACGGAACGGGCTTATTCTAATTTCCTTTAACGAATTCTTGGATATGCTATTTATCCATGGAATGAAAGGGAGTGAAGGAATCACGTCTGATTACTTATTACATGCAATGTGAATATATGATAACAACAATCAGATTCACTGGCCAAGCAAAGTGGAATACACGATTTGATGCAGGCTCCTGATTCCATATTTGTCATGTCTATATAAATAGCGAGAGGGTAATGATTTGATTTCATCACAAACAAAGCAATCAACTCTTTAAACTTTCCCAGTGGGACGAGAAGGCTTGTTTGCTTTCTCAGTAGGATCATAAGTGTAATACTTATACACACCAATTCCTACTGCGATTGGAGCAGCAATGGCAGCTGTGGTCGCTAAGAATCCTCCTCCTGTAGCTAGAGCGAAGTGAGCACCCACACTTTGAAGAGTCGATATTACACCTCCTCCAATACCACTAGTCGCTGCAGCACTCATCATTCCGGCTGCAGTAGATCCTGCTGTTATCCCAGGAACACTAAAGCCGAGAATTCCGGCTACTGCTCCTGCGGCGTTGGTAACATACGCGGTTACTCCCGCTGTTGCTATTGCAACTTTTGTAGCAGTTGTACTTTTAGAATTTTTGTTTTCTTCAGAAGACATAAACTAATAATAGCGTATACTGTACGACATATAACACTTTTACTGTTTTATGCGGGGATTTTTTAAAGATGAAGCATAATAAATTAACCTAACTACAGTACCAGACTAAAACAAACATTTTGACATATATGTTACCTTTATTCTTGGCCACTTGGTCCGGTACCATCTTTCTTTGTCTTTTTCTTTTGATCCTCGGTTGTAGAACTGCTAGATAGCAACGAATATAGTCCAATTCCTGCTGCGATTGGAGCAGCAATGGCAGCTGTGGTCGCTAAGAATCCTCCTCCTGTAGCTAGAGCGAAGTGAGCACCCACACTTTGAAGAAATGAGATTACACCTCCTCCAATACCACTAGTCGCTGCAGCACTCATCATTCCGGCTGCAGTAGATCCTGCTGTTATCCCAGGAGCACTAAAGCCGAGAATCCCGGCTACTGCCCCTGCAGTGTTTGTGGCATACGCGACTGTTCCCGCTGTTGCTAATGCAGCTGTTGTAGCAGCTACATTGTTCGCTGTATTTTCTTCAGAAGACATTATATATATACTATAAATACTTTTTTCTGTATGACATACAACAAATTCGGGACTATTTGTGTCAATTATTCTTACATTGGAATGTTTTTTTTGTATGAATTCTAACCGTTCAATAGCGTTGATATTGTTCACTGAAAAAAAGGAACAGAAAATAGGAGCAGTCGTCAGACCTTGAACAACCATATTCCGGTGAATTCATGCTTTCGAAGAATTCGCATTTGAACTAGAGCCTCATTCAAAATCAAATCGAAATGTAAAAGCATTCATGCATTATAACCACGGTTTTTCATATCACCTTTTAGCATAACCCATATACATAAGTATATATATATATATATATAGTAGTAGGGAAAAGGCGATAGATGCGCGAAAATCCATTTTCTACCAAATAACCGCGGTGAACTTTTTTCGACCATTTTTCGACCATTTTTCGACCATTTTTCGGCCATTTTCTGCCATTGTCTACCTGCTCACCTCGATGTCCATAACAAGAAACGCGCGGAAACCCATGACTGCCATTTCCACCATTTTCTGCCATTGTCTACCTGCTCACCTCGATGTCCATAACAAGAAACGCGCGGAAACCCATGGCTGCCAATTTCGGCAAATTTCTGCAATGTTAACCTGACTTCCATTGTAGGCCATGGTATCCATGGGTGTGATGGGGCAACGTACGTTGCCCCGGGAGGAATCTTCGATTCCTCCCCATTGTCTTGTTGACTAAGGTAAAGAGAGAAAGACCATGCACTACTCCATGCTTATTCAAGGCTCACCTACCAACGGCTCATTTACATGGGTTAATCCGTACAAGTACAAGAATCCCTATATCACTTCCATGACTGTCCTGTTTCATCCTAATGGTTCGATGTTCAACAACGTGGACACGACGAATGTGATTACTAACAGCAATAACGAGACTGTGACAATCCCTGCTGGTTATTACACGATCAGTGAGATCATTGCCTTGCTCAATACCATGACCGATACTACATTTTCCATATCGACGAATGCCTCGTCGTTCGGTTGTATCTGGATTCAGTCTCCACACACGATTGACTTCACGGATGCACCTGACATTCGTGAGATCCTCGGCTTCGATGGACGAACGGTCATTCTACCTGCTTCGTTCAGTGGATCGAACGTGATTGATATCACGCGAAATCGCCAAGTGATCCAGGTCTACTCGACGATCGTGCGATCATCGGACTTGAAGATTGCCAACCAGAACAACAACCTGCTCACCACGATGATCATTGACGATCCAACGGCTGACTATGTGCGAAGTGTGGAAGACGTGTGCATACCAATGATCACTCGGTTTGATCAATTGATGTTCGTGTTCCGCGATATGGATGGCAAGATGATGCGACTGAACGGCGAATTCGAACTCCAGTTGACGATTGAGGACGTGATGGAGGAAGTGCCTTCATCGATGGGGGAAGCTTCGCTTCCCCCGGGGGTGACGATGTCACCCCCAACGATTGCCTCTGCAAACCAGTTCTCCATGATCGAAGTGTTCGGTAATACCACCAAGAAGGAAGTGAAGCTGGACAATCCCCTCTCGTTCGATCAGTGCTACATCTCGTCTGTGTCGTTGTATACGGACTTCGTGTTGCACAACGTGCCGACTGATCAAGTGGTGCTAATCAATGCTGGCAGTACGATTCAAGAGATCACGATACCACGCGGTGCATACGACATCGAAACGATCATTGCAAAGCTGAATGCAAGTGATGCCCTGTTCGAATTGGTGTATAGCGGTGAGAATGCGTTCCACATCACGGTAGATCACTTCTACACGATCGATTTCACGAAGGCACCAGAAATCAAATCGATCCTCGGATTCGAATCGGACATCTTGGTGAAAGGAGTGGATAACCCGAAGCGCTACTACTTGTCGTCCTCATGTAATCACGTGGTTGTTACTGATGGCAGGGAATCGCACATGTTGACATTGCCTGTCGGTTACTACACGTTCAGCGAGTTCATCGAGGCTGTCGGTGCTGAAATGGTGAAAGTGCTTCCACTCACATCCATGACGATCGAGAATGATCATGTTCGCTTCAATGTCCAAGCAGACGGATGGTATTTCGATCGATCCAGTGTTGACACGACGATCAATGGTTTTGGTTGGACTCCATGGTTCAAATTGACATCAACGGTACGCAATCTGTGCATCGAACGACCAGTGGAAGCTTCGTTCAACCCTGAAAGCGATTCACCACCTGATATGACGAATGATCAAGGTATTGGTGGTCATGCGTACATAGGATCAAACACCTTCATTGCGTATGACTGGAAAATGCGTACGAATGATAATCGGTTCCTGCTAAAGCCTCTCGCGACATACACGATGCGTTTAGCTGATGGCTCAGTACTCGATAGTGGTGAATTCTACATAACGGACGATACGTCTACCCCGATCAAGATGAATACTCTTACAACCACATGTTTTAATGAACTCAATGCTCGATATGCGAGTGCTATGGAACTACCTCCATCTCACCAGAATGCGATTGCGTGGACGGTGAATGACAATAGAGAAAGCATGTCATGGACTGCGAAGGACTATGCACCAGAATTGGAATTGCATATCACATCGGAAAATACAGGTGACTTGGTGTCATCGAATGGTTCTTCGACTCGGACCTTGGTATTCCAAGGATAGTATATATCACACGAAAGTGTTTATCGATACGACGAATTTTATACTTGGAATACGTGGATATGGCGAAAGACCTCTCACAATCCAACGAGGTCATTATAGCGCTATTGATATCGTGAATATGATCGCTAATGTGATCAATAAGATATTTGTAGATGCGTCTCTCGGAAGGTACTTGGTATATGTCATTGCAGATAATGGTGGTCGAGTACGAATGGGATGTCGAAATGGTACAGAACCACGATTCATATTGTTTTGTGATAATCCATGTTTCAAGATTATACCCGGACCATACGCTGAACCAGGTGGTGTGTATTTGTCTTGTTATTTCGAGTTTTATCGCAATTACTACATCAGGATGCCCGAGTTGACATCACCTTACGAGTTTGCGATGGCAAACATCGATGGACTGAATGTGACGAATATGATCAAAGGTAGTACGTATTCCGATCGTGCTGTGTCGATCGAATTCATACAACCGACACGTGTTACGTATGTGGGGAAGCAAAGCTTCCCCGGGGCAGCTTCGCTGCCCCACTATGTGAGGAATGATGAAGTTGTTGTTCCATCATTGGCTACCTTCGTTGACTGGGAACAATCTGAGTCGTACACGGCTAACACAACGATTCGCTTCCCGTACGGAATGATGACACTGGACGAAGGGGGAAGCACTGCTTCCCCCGAGACTGATATCACGTACACAGATGACGTTCAGACATTCACGTGGACCATACCATCACGGTTGACACAGGCTGACATGATATGGCACATGAACCAGTGTTTTGACTCGGCTGCACTGAACATACGATGGAAAGCTGAGTCAGATGGGTACTACATTCACGCAGACTACGTGTTCTCGTTGAGTGGTAACCTGGGAACCATCGTTCCCGCTTCAGGATCGCAATCGCATACATGGCGTATCCCTTTCGACGATGGTGTGTACTATGCCAACTATGGTCCGATGGTTGCCGAGTATCCTGTCGATATCACGAACGGTCTATCGAACATACAGCTGTATTGCAACATCGTGAAAAGCAAGACGATACCACTGCTTGCGAATGTCCCGTTGGACAGCTTGTACAAGAATTACTTCTACAAGAATCGCATGTTGGTACCATGTTCTGAATTGCTTGATCGCATCGTGTACGAATTGAAGGACGAAAATGGTGACCCGCTATCGTTCATTGGGAACGTGTACCTGCTGATCGGATTCACCGTTTCAGGAGGAAATAATAAATGAATCTAGTGTTCAACATTGCTCGAACGTACGAACATGAATTCACAAGTAACAATCTCATCAAAAGCGACATGGTAATCGACAGAGTGACTATGAAGGGAGAATCGCCTGGCACCTGCCTTGTCCTTGATCGAGTGAACAACATGCAAGAACGACGACAGTCTCCGTTGGTTGTATTGAACGAGGAGTTTACGGAGAATGCACACATGAACGTCGTGGTACCCAAAAGTCGCAAATGGTCATTCTCGTTGACCGATAAGACCGGTGCAACGATTGCCCTGCCAATGCCGATTACAGTGTGCATTCACTTCCACACAATAAATGAGTCATAATCGTGCACTACCGGTGAGTGTGATTAACCACAATACAGTAATTCCGAAGAACAACGAACGATACCATGAAACGTTCAACACAGTGATCATGCCTCGTGACCTTGTGTACAAGATCACTTCGATTACATGCAAGATCGATACCACTTCTCTCTGGAACATTCGTGCAATGAATGTGGTGAAGGTTCAAATGCTGTGAGGGTTTGAAATGGTGTACAACGTCGGTCCTGGCTACTACTCGATTACCGAGTTATGCCGTGCGATAGCCGATTCCATCCAGGTAGACGATGTTAACCGGGCACACCTGAACAGTGATGTGGCGACCGCTGTTGACCTTAGTGGCGCACCTGATTACACGAGTATCCTCAAGTTGGAAGGTATCGTTGAGGCAGGTATGGTAGCGAGTGAACCCTACGACATCACGAATGGCATGAGTGTGATCCGAGTGTACAGTAGTATCAATGCTCAAACATTCGGTCTGAAGAGTCCGCTGATCGATAATCTGATTCATGTATCGATGGGACTGAACAACATGATCACCTGGGACGACTTGGCAATTGATGTAATCGAACAATCGAACCTGGACTACATTGATTGGGTACTGACGGACGCGAATGACCGTCCGATCTCATTGAATTCGAATGTCTACATCTCATTCACGATTTCGTGCTATACCTCTTCAGTAAAGAATGGATGAATACGTTGCTACAATTCCGATCATTCGATTCAAACCACACAAAGTGAAGTCGAGAAACATGATGGACAAAAT